TTAAATTTTCTTCTACCATTGAAAGTTTAGAGAAAACGAATTATATGGAGGGGACACTTTTCTATCTGAACATTACTCTTAATATAATGTATTTTATTTTATTTTTTTATTTAAATGTTATTTTCATTCTTCTTAATTCGTTATACATAGACTGGCAGCCTGTATATATATATATATATATATATATATATATATATATATATATATATATATATATATATATATATATATATATATATATATATATATATATATATATATATATATATATATATATAGGTTTGTAAATTAATTTAATTTAATTAATTAAATTAAAAGACCTAATTTTGTTTAGCTTCAAGACTGTTAAAGAATCAATTGTTGATACTCTAGTAGATATGACTTCAGTCCAGCAAGATATATCTTAGAAATTGAACATTTCATTTAGTTTCTAATAATATTAAAATACTGCAGAAAAAGAATTATTTGCAGTATAATATATTATTATGAGCCAGTAAATGATGTATGACTAACTGATAGGACTGAAGCCTATTCTCATGTCTGACATTTTGGTCTATGTTCCCCGTTTACATAATGAATGAGAGAAAAGGAATTTATGAGGAGACAGCGAATAGTTATTATGATTATGGAGCATTTGGAAGAGATTCGAGGAAGGGTGCCCAACCGTTTTAGCCGTCGGGGATAGAACGCTGACAGCGCAAGATGCGAGGCTGTTTAATGTACTAGTATGATGGAGAGAAATAAAACATTTTTTTTTAATTAGCTGTTTAATCTGAGGTTATATATATCAATCATCATATTTAAGGTAAGGTTATTTGCAAGGATGTTGCCTTGGCGCTGATTGGTTACGCGGTTATTTGCTCATTAATTAGGAGGCACATGGGTTGGGGGAGGCAGCCTTAAGCTATAGTGAGTCGTAGATGCAGCTCTAGTAGGTAGGCGAGGGAGCGCTAGAGAGGGATGAGTTAGAGAAAATGAGTGAAGACAAGGACATCTCATTCTCTCATTGCTCAGCTCAGTGCCTCATTCCCAGCTCACAGCAGGCGGTGGTGGTAGCGAGAACACCTCCAGCACCCAGTAACAGAAACACGGCCTGTGGGAGAAACACCGAGAATAATTAAAACACTCACAAAATTGCATATGGTATTTCTCGGCGGATAAGGCCGAGTTTAAGGCCGATAAGGCGGATTTATAATTTAACTTTCAGATAAGATGATCGTTACATTTGAGTGTCGTGGTTTTAGCTCATATCGGTGATATAGGACGACCCCAAAATACCACACCCATCTGTGGTGAAGTCCTGGACCCGTGACGCGATGTTTCGGTTGGTGCTAGAACCTATTCAAAGTGAAACTTGAGACATATACATGTGGAGAAAACCACCTTAAGGCGTTATAATGACTTGGATTGTTGGAGTGTGATGGTTAAGTTATCGGCTTACATGTCTGGTAGATGGTATCTACCCAGAGGTGAGGTCGATGGTGATGGTGTCTACCCAGACTTCAGGTCATTTTGTCGTTGCGCTACGCAGGCATCGACACGACATCTTGTCGACATCGCTACACATTGTCGACATTACTACGCAGGCTCGTTTGCAACGGCCGTTGCAAACGAGCTTCAATATACCTAGTAGACAACGTTCTTCCCGCCAAGCCAAAACCCAAACAGTAAGTTGCCAACTTCTAAGGAGACACTTAACTTCATATACGTTCACTTCAGACTTAAGTTAGGCAAGTTATATTCGACACTAAGTTACGAACAGTTGCGTCGTTACGAAGTTACTCACATCTACCCACAAAGTCATAAGTCTTGTAATAAACTCATATTTATAGTTTAACTTCAGATGATACCAAACTGATCTTAGATCATGACTTGAGAAGCCAATGAGGGAAATCCAGTCACGAAGGGGTTCCCGAGAGCTCAGTCAGTCAGTCAATCAGTGTCAGTCAGTGTCAGCCAGTGTCAGCCAGTGTCAGTCAGTCAGTCAGTCAGTCAGTCAGTCAGTCAGTCAGTCAGTCAGTCAGTCAGTCAGTCAGTCAGTCAGTCAGTCAGTGTCAGTCAGTCAGTCAGTCAGTCAGTCAGTCAGTCAGTCAGTCAGTGTCAGTCAGTGTCAGTCAGTGTCAGTCAGTCAGTCAGTCAGTCAGTCAGTCAGTCAGTCAGTCAAGTGGTGTCTCGCTCACCCAGAGGTCAGACATGGAGTAAGGTTCCTGAAACTGGAGTTTTTTTGGCATCTTGAGGCAGTGGGTCACATTGGGCATCTGATCCCTCGTCCATCGTTCGTAGATACCAAACGCCCCCAGCGCCTCAATCCTGCAAGGATTAAGTTACAGTTAACGGCACTTAAGATTATTACACCTACTGGTTGTTAATAGATGGACTCGGTTACAGAAAGATGTTGAAGCAGCATCCATACACAGCTTCAAAAGTCAAATATGATAACTTCAGTGTTAGAAGTGAGCCCTCGCGCCAGCCATATGATTGCTAGAAAGGTCTAGCTATCATATGGGTAGATAGCTATCATATCTAGCCATATGATATGATATATCATATGGCTATGATATATGATATCATGATATATGATATCATGATATATGATATCATGATATATGATATCATATGATATATGATGTGATATATGATATATGATATATGAGTACATCGAGCTCCAGTTCTTAAGCCACATCTCATCTTGATGTGTGGAGCTCCTCTGGATGTACTCACCAAGTATATCTTGGTGAGTACATCCAAATGAGCACACAAACACACAATAGGCTCAGTAGTCTGTACTACCATCGATTGACAGCTGAGAGGCGGGAACAAAGAGCCGAAACTCAACCCCCGGAAGCACAATTAGGCGAGAACAGTTAGTACAATTAATTATGGCAGTCTTACAATCCTAATGGTAAACTAGGCTTTGTTATTCCAATATAGTCCCACCTCTTGCACGTTGTAAGCTCAATGTTACCCTCTTACCTTGAGGTTACCTTGAGGTGCTTCCGGGGCTTAGCGTCCCCGCGGCCCGGTCGTCGACCAGGCCTCCTGGTCTTTATGGCAAAATGGTTATATATGCAATGTAATAATATATATAACCAAAATTAAATTAACATTTAAAGCACAGCAAAAACATAAAAGGAAAGGGGGGGGGAGTAGGACAGAAGATCATGGAAACCGCATCGGTGGGGACCTAAACAAATCCCCTATGTGTTGTGTGTGCTTTTCTCCGAGGCTAAGGGTCTTCCGGCCAGAGGTGGTACTCCTCTTCCCTTAGTGAATAATGGCTCGCGCTTTCATGCACCCTTTGTGTCATATATACATATATATATATATATATAAACAAATCCACAAGGGCCGTGACGAGGATTCGAACCTGCGGCCGATAGCATCCCAGACGCTGCCTTAATCGACTGATTGGATGAGATGCCCTTGTGGATTTGTTCATTTGATACATCACGCTCCAAAATTTCACAACCCAAGATTATTATTGTTATAAAAACCTTGAAGTGCTTCAGAGTTCATAAACTATTTAATAAATGTAAACAAAGCCGCCATGTTTGAGAAAAGATGGACAGGTTTCGTGTAGTGTCTAACCTGGAATTCAAAAGTTGGCGTAGAGGGCTGCCACGTTGTACCACCATGGCGTAGATGAGTCGCCAGAAGTTGCCAGTTGACATGTAGAAGTTGCAGCGACCTGAGTCATCAGAAGCTGTGTCATTGTCATTTAGATGAATACATTTGTATATAGTATAAATGTGTATATATATATATATATATATATATATATATATATATATATATATATATATATATATATATATATATATATATATATACACGTGTGTGTGTGTGAACTAGATGCATGTACGGGAAGCTTGACAACCGCAGTACGGTTACTTGAACTTATCTATCGGGGAGACGTCATCATTCAGCTTCCGGGAGCTACAGCTTGAACGGTGATGAAAAAAAACAATTTATCGGCTACGTTTCGTAATGGAAACTTGAGTCAAGTTATTGAAGCCACGTCTGCCTCCTGGTGCGTGTCGTCCATGACCATATTATCTACTATGGACGTCCTTGATGAAAGTTCTCGAAGAACATCCCTCAGAAAGTATGAAACTTTACCTGGGTGTCAGATGCATGTGAGTTTCAAAGTTTTGGAAGGTGCTAAGAAAGTCATAGAGCAGTATATGTTTAACAAAAGTGTCCTCAGTTTTGATTGGCTGTCGTATAGCACTTTATGTTAAGCAAAGTTATATGAAATCATAAGCTTAATGAACATTTATTTTTACACTAACCAAGATTGTGCAACTGCGTTTACCTGAATCTAAAATAATATATGAATTCTGCGAATTTTTCACATTCCATTATTTAATGACGCAAAGTATGTGATTAGTTCTGCTGATTGAGTTTATATTTAGTCAAATCTACATCAGCAAACTCCCAAACTCCGAATGCGTGATAGAACTGATGAGTTAGTCAAAACTTTTGCTCGTAAAGAGGGAATTGATTACCATCTTGGACTGCCTTTGGGCTGCCTGAGGGCAGCAATATTCCGGGAACATCAATAAAAATTTCGTAGCCTTGGGGCAAAGTGAAATTCACATCAGTTACTCCATCTATCATCATTCTGTTATGCAGGAAGAAACGAACGTCTATGGGTCATCCAATAAGGTTAGCAAACTTCAAATGTTACCCCTGCTAGGTTTAGGCTCGGCTACAAGTACCTCTGAACTTTAAAGAGAAAATTAAATTTTCTTCTACCATTGAAAGTTTAGAGAAAACGAATTATATGGAGGGGACACTTTTCTATCTGAACATTACTCTTAATATAATGTATTTTATTTTATTTTTTTATTTAAATGTTATTTTCATTCTTCTTAATTCGTTATACATAGACTGGCAGCCTGTATATATATATATATATATATATATATATATATATATATATATATATATATATATATATATGTAATATATATATATATATTTGTAAATTAATTTAATTTAATTAATTAAATTAAAAGACCTAATTTTGTTTAGCTTCAAGACTGTTAAAGAATCAATTGTTGATACTCTAGTAGATATGACTTCAGTCCAGCAAGATATATCTTAGAAATTGAACATTTCATTTAGTTTCTAATAATATTAAAATACTGCAGAAAAAGAATTATTTGCAGTATAATATATTATTATGAGCCAGTAAATGATGTATGACTAACTGATAGGACTGAAGCCTATTCTCATGTCTGACATTTTGGTCTATGTTCCCCGTTTACATAATGAATGAGAGAAAAGGAATTTATGAGGAGACAGCGAATAGTTATTATGATTATGGAGCATTTGGAAGAGATTCGAGGAAGGGTGCCCAACCGTTTTAGCCGTCGGGGATAGAACGCTGACAGCGCAAGATGCGAGGCTGTTTAATGTACTAGTATGATGGAGAGAAATAAAACATTTTTTTTTAATTAGCTGTTTAATCTGAGGTTATATATATCAATCATCATATTTAAGGTAAGGTTATTTGCAAGGATGTTGCCTTGGCGCTGATTGGTTACGCGGTTATTTGCTCATTAATTAGGAGGCACATGGGTTGGGGGAGGCAGCCTTAAGCTATAGTGAGTCGTAGATGCAGCTCTAGTAGGTAGGCGAGGGAGCGCTAGAGAGGGATGAGTTAGAGAAAATGAGTGAAGACAAGGACATCTCATTCTCTCATTGCTCAGCTCAGTGCCTCATTCCCAGCTCACAGCAGGCGGTGGTGGTAGCGAGAACACCTCCAGCACCCAGTAACAGAAACACGGCCTGTGGGAGAAACACCGAGAATAATTAAAACACTCACAAAATTGCATATGGTATTTCTCGGCGGATAAGGCCGAGTTTAAGGCCGATAAGGCGGATTTATAATTTAACTTTCAGATAAGATGATCGTTACATTTGAGTGTCGTGGTTTTAGCTCATATCGGTGATATAGGACGACCCCAAAATACCACACCCATCTGTGGTGAAGTCCTGGACCCGTGACGCGATGTTTCGGTTGGTGCTAGAACCTATTCAAAGTGAAACTTGAGACATATACATGTGGAGAAAACCACCTTAAGGCGTTATAATGACTTGGATTGTTGGAGTGTGATGGTTAAGTTATCGGCTTACATGTCTGGTAGATGGTATCTACCCAGAGGTGAGGTCGATGGTGATGGTGTCTACCCAGACTTCAGGTCATTTTGTCGTTGCGCTACGCAGGCATCGACACGACATCTTGTCGACATCGCTACGCATTGTCGACATTACTACGCAGGCTCGTTTGCAACGGCCGTTGCAAACGAGCTTCAATATACCTAGTAGACAACGTTCTTCCCGCCAAGCCAAAACCCAAACAGTAAGTTGCCAACTTCTAAGGAGACACTTAACTTCATATACGTTCACTTCAGACTTAAGTTAGGCAAGTTATATTCGACACTAAGTTACGAACAGTTGCGTCGTTACGAAGTTACTCACATCTACCCACAAAGTCATAAGTCTTGTAATAAACTCATATTTATAGTTTAACTTCAGATGATACCAAACTGATCTTAGATCATGACTTGAGAAGCCAATGAGGGAAATCCAGTCACGAAGGGGTTCCCGAGAGCTCAGTCAGTCAGTCAGTCAGTGTCAGTCAGTGTCAGCCAGTGTCAGCCAGTGTCAGTCAGTCAGTCAGTCAGTCAGTCAGTCAGTCAGTCAGTCAGTCAGTCAGTCAGTCAGTGTCAGTCAGTCAGTCAGTCAGTCAGTCAGTCAGTGTCAGTCAGTGTCAGTCAGTGTCAGTCAGTCAGTCAGTCAGTCAGTCAGTCAGTCAGTCAAGTGGTGTCTCGCTCACCCAGAGGTCAGACATGGAGTAAGGTTCCTGAAACTGGAGTTTTTTTGGCATCTTGAGGCAGTGGGTCACATTGGGCATCTGATCCCTCGTCCATCGTTCGTAGATACCAAACGCCCCCAGCGCCTCAATCCTGCAAGGATTAAGTTACAGTTAACGGCACTTAAGATTATTACACCTACTGGTTGTTAATAGATGGACTCGGTTACAGAAAGATGTTGAAGCAGCATCCATACACAGCTTCAAAAGTCAAATATGATAACTTCAGTGTTAGAAGTGAGCCCTCGCGCCAGCCATATGATTGCTAGAAAGGTCTAGCTATCATATGGGTAGATAGCTATCATATCTAGCCATATGATATGATATATCATATGGCTATGATATATGATATCATGATATATGATATCATGATATATGATATCATGATATATGATATCATATGATATATGATGTGATATATGATATACGATATATGAGTACATCGAGCTCCAGTTCTTAAGCCACATCTCATCTTGATGTGTGGAGCTCCTCTGGATGTACTCACCAAGTATATCTTGGTGAGTACATCCAAATGAGCACACAAACACACAATAGGCTCAGTAGTCTGTACTACCATCGATTGACAGCTGAGAGGCGGGAACAAAGAGCCGAAACTCAACCCCCGGAAGCACAATTAGGCGAGAACAGTTAGTACAATTAATTATGGCAGTCTTACAAGCCTAATGGTAAACTAGGCTTTGTTATTCCAATATAGTCCCACCTCTTGCACGTTGTAAGCTCAATGTTACCCTCTTACCTTGAGGTTACCTTGAGGTGCTTCCGGGGCTTAGCGTCCCCGCGGCCCGGTCGTCGACCAGGCCTCCTGGTCTTTATGGCAAAATGGTTATATATGCAATGTAATAATATATATAACCAAAATTAAATTAACATTTAAAGCACAGCAAAAACATAAAAGGAAAGGGGGGGGGAGTAGGACAGAAGATCATGGAAACCGCATCGGTGGGGACCTAAACAAATCCCCTATGTGTTGTGTGTGCTTTTCTCCGAGGCTAAGGGTCTTCCGGCCAGAGGTGGTACTCCTCTTCCCTTAGTGAATAATGGCTCGCGCTTTCATGCACCCTTTGTGTCATATATACATATATATATATATAAACAAATCCACAAGGGCCGTGACGAGGATTCGAACCTGCGGCCGATAGCATCCCAGACGCTGCCTTAATCGACTGATTGGATGAGATGCCCTTGTGGATTTGTTCATTTGATACATCACGCTCCAAAATTTCACAACCCAAGATTATTATTGTTATAAAAACCTTGAAGTGCTTCAGAGTTCATAAACTATTTAATAAATGTAAACAAAGCCGCCATGTTTGAGAAAAGATGGACAGGTTTCGTGCAGTGTCTTACCTGGAATTCAAAAGTTGGCGTAGAGGGCTGCCACGTTGTACCACCATGGCGTAGATGAGTCGCCAGAAGTTGCCAGTTGACATGTAGAAGTTGCAGCGACCTGAGTCATCAGAAGCTGTGTCATTGTCATTTAGATGAATACATTTGTATATAGTATAAATGTGTTTTGAATAACATTGATCTCAAGTTCAAGTACGTTTATTGACACAATAAAATACATCTCAAAGGGGTAGAGTAGCTTAGGCTATTTCTACCCCTCCTATAAACGGTGATTTCTCTGTCTGTCTGTCTGTCTCTGTCTCTGTCTCTGTCTGTCTGTCTGTCTGTCTGTCTGTCTGTCTGTCTGTCTCTCTGTCTCTCTGTCTGTCTGTCTCTCTGTCTCTCTCTCTCTCTCTCTCTCTCTCTCTCTCTCTCTCTCTCTCTCTCTCTCTCTCTCTCTCTCTCTCTCTCTCTCTCTCTCTCTCTCTCTCTCTCTCTCTCTCTCTCTCTCTCTCTCTCACCCATCTCTCTCTCTCTCACCCATCTCTCCACCTTGCCTTCAGTCTGACCTGTAGCACTGAAGAAGTCGGAGAAGATCTTCCTGCAGACGACATTCTCCACCAACATGGCGTGGCGGCCGTCGGGCAGGAGGGAGTAGGCCGCCTGGTACATCTCGCTGGCCTTGACGAAGTTGGCCCTCCGGCGGGCCGCCCGGGCCAGCTCCCCGTACACCCCCTCCCTCGCCGTCTGCAACACGCCACGATTTTGAATAACTAGCGATATGGGCCCCTGGGCTCGTCAAGCTCTTACGAAACCTGTACATCATTCCTTAATCATGGAGGCTCTGGTTTATATTTCCTAAACAGTTTAAGAACTTCGAAACTTGGAAGCTCATGAAGTGCTTATTTAATATAAACAGAGCCGTTATGATTCAAGAAAGATGTACAGGTTCCGCAAGTGGTTGTGTAAAGCATGATGAACCTTTCCCCTGGTGCAATCCATCATCTTACTGTACGCTGTGTAGTTTTAACGCAAACGATCCCGGCGTAGAAATTGCGATGCTTTAGAGAAATTACAATCCCCTGGTGCATTATCGACTTAATTAGGGTCCAGGACGGACCAAAACGTCGTTGTGTCTTCATTCTATAGTGTTTGGTTTGGTCAACAATCCCTTTAGTATTGCCGATATTAGGTACTAATAAGTATTGCATCAGGTAGGTCAGGTTTTGATGCTTTTAATTAAAATATAGTCCCCATATCCCTTTTTGACTTGTAATGGTATTATTTGAAGTGTCTTGATATATATATATATATATATATATATATATATATATATATATATATATATATATATAAAATATATATATATATATATATATATATATATATAATATATATATATATATATATATATATATATATATATATATAAGTTGAACTTTTGTGTTCATGATAGAGATTAATAGACGGTAGTATATCATGGCTAATAATCTTTTATTATCACACTGAGAGAGGGAATGATGGGTAATTATCTCAGAAGGAAAATTTGGAGCTATTATCGCACAGAGAAGGGCGTATAATGATCCAATTACCCCACGGGTGAGGACTATGAGTCAATTACCTTACAGGATAAGATCACCCCCCCCCCTCCCACCCCTTCTCGGCCAGAAAACACAAAACTATGTAAAAACATTTTAAATACGCTGAGAACTTTGCAGCAACAGGAACAAAAATCGTAAAAAACATTGATTTTTTTTTCAAAGAGGTTTGTGAGTGTGTGTAGCTTAACTCACTACTCCAGGCGGTGGGTCTAAGATGTGGCGGTCAATCTGAGTGTGTGTAGCTTAACTCACTACTCCAGGCGGTGGGTCTAAGATGTGGGGGTCAATTCTGTTGCTACTGATGCCAAGTGGAAGTTGTGTATACATGTGGAGGTACCTTGAGGTGTTCAGTGAGGGCTGTGGAGCCCTCCATGAGGAGAGTGAGGCTCGGGTCGTCCAGAACGTCCCTCAGAGAGTCGTACTTCACCGTTAACGTCTTCACAGCCAGCAGGGACGTCAAGGCTCCGCTGTGCATCGTGCGGTGTGTTGACAAAGTGCCAAGGAAGAGATCAGGCTGTATTTTAGGTCAAGATCAGGTTATCTTGAGGTTATCTTGAGATGATTTCGGGATTTCGATCCTCCTCGACCAGGCCTCTAACCCCAGGAAGCAGCCCGTGACAACTGACTAACACCCAGGTACCTATTTTACTGCTAGGTAACAGGGGCATAGGGTGAAAGAAACTGCCCATTGTTTCTCGCCGGCGCCCGGGATCGAACCCGGAACCACAGGATCACAAGTCCAGCGTGCTGTCCGCTAGGCCGACCGGCTCCCTTTCAGGTTGCTTCAGGGTTAAGATGTTTACGGAGAGTTTTCTTCCGTAATTAAGAGAGCGTGGAGAAAGTACTATAAAATAATCATTGAAACTCTCACCGTGAGTGCAACGTTAGTACAAGCAGTGGCTCGCTAGTACACCTCAGAGAGTACTTAGAGTAATCCTTAATTAAGGACGTTTGAGTAATCCATAATTAACGACAGTGAAAAACTTATATTCACAAACACATATACAATGTACAGTGAACGGTAACAAATTGAAGATTGCTATGATCAAAAATTGAGAATCAATTAGTTTATCAGAGTCTGCATATTAATCATAACTTTGTTACTATAGTGACAATAACTTGATTATCTTAACCTCGTGCTCATTGTAGCTGAAATTCGTGATCACATTCAAGTACATCTTTTGAGAGTAAAAAGCAATGTTGAACACTTAAGTTCAGGGGGGGGGGAGGGGGCTGTGTCCTTGAACACCTGCTTGCAGTCAGTCACACAGCCGTTCTCATCACACCAACCTGTCTACACACCTGTCATTCTCACCACACTTGGCATTCTCACCACACCTGTCATTCTCACCTGTAGCTGCGGCTGACTACCAGGACGACGAAGAGCCATATGGTGAAGAGGAACCTGAGGGAGGCGACGGTGGGGAGCCAAGACACAGCTGCAACACATGTTAGCAGAGAGTTAAGCAGGTGTTGTAACAGGTGTTGTAACACTGAAACACTGTTGACACCTGATGGGAGACCGGGTCTGGGGGTACAGTGATGTTGTGTTACTGGTTTTGTCAGTCAAGCGTTGCAAGTTAGTCTGTCGGAAGTTACTCTAAGTATGCTGTAAAAATTAGTGTATGCGTGTTGCAAATTGATCGACTTTTGTCATCCTGGTCTCACTCTAGTTGCTTTAATATATAAAATTACACTAACTTCAAGTTGTCAACTTTCTTGTAATTATTTATAGCTAGACAAGTTAGTAACTGCCTAAAGAATTTGTCACTACAAGAGGATTAAAAATTGTATATATTATATGCCCACAATTATGACATTCGTCCATAGCTGTATTTCAGCTATTACTGAATATATTGCACAAATAAATCACATTAACGTGCTGTATCAGTGGGACAAAATCTCGCGCTTGAGAGTATTTGGGAGTACCCAGAGTATTTGGGAGTACCCAGAGTATTTGGGAGTACCCAGAGTATTTGGGAGTACCCAGAGTATTTGGGGGTACCCAGAGTATTTGGGAGTACCCAGAGTATTTGGGAGTACCCAGAGTATTTGGGCGTACCCAGAGTATTTGGGCGTACCCAGAGTATTTGGGCGTACCCAGAGTATTTGGGAGTACCCAGAGTATTTGGGGGTACCCAGAGTATTTGGGAGTACCCAGAGTATTTGGGCGTACCCAGAGTATTTGGGCGTACCCAGAGTATTTGGGCGTACCCAGAGTATTTGGGGGTACCCAGAGTATTTGGGCGTACCCAGAGTATTTGGGCGTACCCAGAGTATTTGGGGGTACCCAGAGTATTTGGGCGTACCCAGAGTATTTGGGGGTACCCAGAGTATTTGGGCGTACCCAGAGTATTTGGGGGTACCCAGAGTATTTGGGGGTACCCAGAGTATTTGGGGGTACCCAGAGTATTTGGGGGTACCCAGAGTATTTGGGCGTACCCAGAGTATTTGGGGGTACCCAGAGTATTTGGGGGTACCCAGAGTATTTGGGGGTACCCAGAGTATTTGCCCAGAGTATTTGGGAGTACCCAGAGTATTTGGGCGTACCCAGAGTATTTGGGCGTACCCAGAGTATTTGGGCGTACCCAGAGTATTTGGGCGTACCCAGAGTATTTGGGGGTACCCAGAGTATTTGGGCGTACCCAGAGTATTTGGGAGTACCCAGAGTATTTGGGAGTATCCAGAGTATTTGGGAATACCCAGAGTATTTGGGAGTATCCAGAATATTTGGGAATACCCAGAGTATTTGGGAGTATCCAGAATATTTGGGAGTACCCAGAGTATTTGAGAGTACCCAGAGTATTTAGGAGTACCCAGAGTATTTAGGAGTACCCAGAGTATTTGAGAGTACCCAGAGCATAGGTTCGAATCCTTCTCATGGCTCCTACTGATCTTCTCACTGATTATATTGTTGCAAATAAACTACTGCAACAAAATACATTTGAGAGGAAGAAGCGGTGTTGACACACGCCCAAGAGCGACGGCCAGAGTGCTGGAGTGGGGCCACCACCCCACGACAAAGATGGCGACACTCGACTTACGCTGCGTGAAGAACATACTGTAGAAAGCCCAGGTGTGTTCCCCAGCAGACACAGGTCCACCGAAGCCCAGTAGCCGCACGCTGCTGGCGCTGACCACCACCACGGCCACCACCGCCGCCACCAGCCCCACCCACACGTACCACCTGCCGGAGGACCTTCTCTGTAACAATCGCCTTCTGTAAAAGGGGCAGCAATTGGGTCTTAAGTCTTCCTTGGTCCCTACTAACATCTTCCATGGCTCTGGTTCCACCCACGTTCCCTGGGTCTGGTTCTTCTGGACTCCTTCTATTTTGAGTGATATATATATATATATATATATATATATATATATATATATATATATATATATATATATATATACTTTTCTCAATAGAAACTACAATTTCTTATTGGAGTATGGCAGGTGGAGTATGAATGAAGGAGTGTGCAAGCTACAGTGCTTACTTGAAGGGCGCCAGGAATCCCCACGGGTCCGGCACAGGAAGAGGCCTGGTCACTAAGACGTGCAGCATCTCCAGGAACACCGGGATGGTGAAGTCCACCACCTGACTCCTGGTGTAGGACATGCCAAAAGGTCCCAGCCCCAGGTCAGCCTCCTACGGGGAACAAAATAGTAAGACCCGCGCAAATACGACATTTTATGCTCGCGATTTTGGCGGATGTGAATGAGACGTTCGTTCAGTAGAAAGTGATCTTGCTTACCTTCCTCAGTACCGTTCCTATCATGCCGTTCCATGACCCGTTCTCATCCGGGGCACCCCAGTAGCCATCGCCCTGCACCACACTGTACCTGCAACACAGGTATTCTGCATCACAGTGTACCCCAACACAAGTAAACTGCTATGATTTTTAATCCATCAATGTGTGGCCATGGGAGGATTTAAACGTCAAAATAGAATACAATGAGGACAAGTTGTTCATTAGTCCATATCACTGTGCTTTTAATATTTCAATTGATGTAAAATTATACATATGTTAAACAGTAGGAAAAGAAGATGCTAAAAGGGGGAGACTTACGTAAAGTTGAGCGAGGCGGCCAGCGCGTCGAGGAGCTGCCCCATTGGTCCAGTAACCTCTGATGTTCCGTCGGGCTTAGTAGTCAAGTAGACGTGAGGCGGCCAGGGCTCCGCCGCCACCACCAGGTGCGGGGCACGAGGGAACCTGCACACACAGGCAGCTCTTGTACTGAGTGATGAAGATTACGCCACCCCAGGACGTGGCACGGGCATGAATAGCCCCGATACTTCTGCTGCCTTCATGCCACACAAGTCATGTTCCATACACGACACTCACTGATCCATACACGACACTCACTGATCCATACACGACACTTCCATATACTCTACCATATCACACTGTGGTAAACAATTCATTAAATGGCTCATCCAGCAGCGTATGTGTTATAATTTATTTTATCTCATTTAGTTACCAGGGAGCACTTATGACTTTGTTGCTCTAAGGCACACTGTGATAACATATATGTGAGAACATAATTGTCATGGGGATAGTGGTGTGCTGTCATGGGGGGTAGTGGGGTCCTGTCATATGGGGGATGGTGTGCTGTCATGGGGTCCTGTCATGGGGGTAGTGGGGTCCTGTCATGGGGTAGTGGGGTCCTGTCATGGGGTAGTGGGGTCCTGTCATGGGGTAATGGGGTCGTGTCATGGGGGTAGTGGTGTGCTGTCATGGGGTAGTGGGAGGACCTGAGAGTACCTGAAGGTCATGGGGTTCCGGCTGGTGTCCCCAGACTGGGCCGCTCTCTCCCCCCATCCAGGAGCCCCATTAACCGCTTCTGTATTGAGTGAAAAGTGAAATTATGAGAAGTAATTATATGCATCATATATCCCCCCCCCCCAATTACCTTGCCAGGAGGCAACCCACAACAATTGCGTAGTTCCCGGGTACTGTTAGGTGAACAGGCGCACCAGATGAAAGGAAAAATTTCTCAGCCGTTTCTGTCCTGCCCACAGAAAACGTATAGGGGTTCATAATATACAAAATCAACCTCAGAAATCACAACAAATTATGAAATACTCCTATCTTTAAATCAAAGAATTTATCTAGTTAGCACTAAATTATTAAGACTTATTTAAGGAATCTTCAACTATACCCACCGAAGCTGTAATTACCAAGACTTTGCTTCAGTTTAGAAAATCAGCTAGAAATACTCTTCAGGAACAATAAGGCACCTTTGGCAAGCCGCCGCCCTTGTATTGATGTCTAAATGACTGAAGATATTGACCCCTCACGGCTTCCTGTCCTCGTCGAGGTCACTAGAGATGGTGACCCCTCACGGCTTCATGTCCCCGTCGAGGTCACTAGAGATGGTGACCCTCAGTTAAACTCAGATCAAATCTTCGTCCACAAAACTGTGGGCGGGAGCGCTAGCAGCTTATCACCGCTCACAAGCGGCACACCAGAGAAAATGGGATGCGAGGAATCAGAAAGGCAGAAATGCAAACGTCGCAACCCGTCCTCTTAAAAATAAGGTCGTTTTTCGCCCGTTTGCGCACTATGGCCAAAATGGACGTAATTTGAAATGAAATCGGCTCACGAAAGTGACGTACTGTCCCGTTTTCTGTTTGAGTCCTCCGGTTTACTGGGTTAGGTTAGGAGAGGAAACTTTCTATTAACGGTTTTCATGACGTTTTGAAACTTTAGGAGAATTTCCTGCCCTCCTGACCGTCCAGAGGACCTTTAACGTACTGTTTTGGAAAAAAATCTAAAATTTATTTTCAATTAGTTTTCATTTTCAAATTACGTTAATTTTCGGCCATACGGGCAAACGGTCAAATTCAGACGTAATTTGTAAAAAGGACAGATTGCTCGTCGGGAATTACGTCAATAGATGCAAGGGTGTTTGATAACCTACTGTGAGCCATAGTTTGATGGCACTTACACAGAGTGGTGTGTATATCCTGTGTATATACAATGAGCGTTTACTATAGGGCTAGATTCACGAAGCAGTTACGCAAGCACTTACGAACCTGTACATCTTTTCTCAATCTTTGGCGGCTTTATTTATAATTATTAAACAATTAATGAACTCCGAAACACCAGGAGGCTGTTTATAACAATAACAACAGTTGATTGGGACGTTTTCATACTTGTAAACTGTTTAATAAATGTAACCAAAGCCGTCAAAGATTGAGGAAAGATGATCACGTTTGTAAGTACTTGCGTAACTGCTTCATGAATCTGGAAAAGTGACAAGCCTAAACTCTATCCCCCCCCCCCCCCCCACTATCCACTTGCACCGGTCCCCCACCGCTGATGACCTCACTTCTTACAAATCTACGTTCAATTCCCGATGATCCAAGGCGGGTGGGCACCATTCCTTCACTTCGTCCTCATATCCCAGCTTCGAGCCTCTCCTATCCCTTCCATGTGTTATATAGTCATGCTGGCTAATCACTCTTCCTTGATAATAACCTTATTAAGTTGACTGAAAATCAGAATATATATATGCCAACTAAATAGAGGCTTTTGGTAAGGTCATAAGATGAGGTCTGATAAAGACCTTTTGTGCCCTCTGTAATGCTTTTGCGCTACCGCTCACAGAATGAGTATGGGGTGCACAATAAACTAGCCGCCTTCGGCGGCAACAATCAACAATCGTATACTGATGATCGCCGGGTAACCTGTATCTGTTATTTCTGTCTGACGGAGAGCCCAGTTACACGTAGCTAGTGTGTGGCACTAAGGTGCGAGATTAGCTTGAACAATTATAGTGAGTCTTGCCTAGACAAATCTTTTATCTGAAGCTAAAAATAATTCCTACGTTATGTTCCTGATCTTGTTTTTCACGTTCACACACACAGACACAAACACACACACAGACACACACACAGACACACACACAGACACACACACAGACACACACACAGACACACAGACACACACACACACACACACACACACACACACACACACACACACACACACACACACACACACACACACACACACACAAATGGAATGCATTAGGAAGTGATGTGGTGGAGGCTGACTCCATTCATAGTTTCAAGTGTAGATATGATAGAGCCCAGTAGGCTCAGGAACCTGTACACCTGTTGATTGACGGTTGAGAAGCGGGACCAAAGAGCCAGAGCTCAACCCCCGCAAGCACAACTAGGTGAGTGCAACTAGGTACAACACACACACACACACACACACACTGGGACCATGATCACTGATCTGAAAACTCGAGTGTCATGTACAAACCAATAGTGTGGAACTCACCTGATAACTCCACCACCCACACGGTGACCAGCACCCAGCAGAGTGCCGTTGTGAACAGGATCACACAGCCCATCGTCACTATACTCCTGCAACGTCACGTCAATATGCAAGTGTTTAAAAGTTCTGTCACGCATTACCGAATGTTACAGGGTTGTTAATTTATTCAACAAATTAACGGGTAACATAAGAGTCATGGGATTGTTGTATTTGTTAAAATATTGGTTAGACATATATATATATATATGAAGAGGTTTGGGTTGATGTACATAGGAGCTGACTCGTATGGACCAATAAGAGCTGACTCTTGTGGGTCATAAGGAGTTGACTCATATGGGCCAATAAGAACTGCCTCGTATGGGCCAATAAGAACTGCCTCGTATGGACCAATAAGAACTGCCTCGTATGGGCCAATTAGAGATTTCTCGTATAGACCAATAGGAGCTACTTCGTATGGACCAATAGGCGTTTTGGGGGTTTCAATTATTATTTTTGTATTATGTGCTATTAAAGCCATTGTGAAATTTAGTATGAAAGGGTAGTATTGGCGGGAGCCCCGTTACTCTGTACTCAAGCGTTGCGGCGCACTATGTCTTGGTACTAGTCTGCCACCACTCTTGGTACCGCAGGGCTGCCACCACTCTTGGTACAGCAGGGCTGCCACCACTCTTGGTACCGCAGGGCTGCCACCACTCTTGGTACCGCATGGCTGCCTTTCAGAATCATGTGTATGAAATACATGGCTATGTTGGGAGACTTTTGGCAGTGTTGAGTTTGTTAGTGTGGTCCCGAGAGAGCTCAAGTCATTGTTTATATCCCAGCCAATCTCAATCTCAGCCAATTTGTCTCAATTTCATATTCCATCAGGGACCAGAATTAATCAAGCATTTAAGTGATCACTGACGAAACCTGTACATCTTTCAGTAATCATGTTGGCTTAAGTTTTATTTAAAAAAGACAAGAGCTCTTAACAATAATACTACCCCATCGCAGCATTTCCAAGCTGTTTAATGCATCCGAGTTACTAGTCTCGTGGAGGCCAGTAACTTCCCTGGTCGCTGCGGTCATCTTCCCAATTTCAGTTCTAGTTCTTGTCATTATCTGATGACGCCTCCGACGGCCCTATTGCGTTCTTGGACTTCATTACAAATTCTTTGCTACAATTTGTACTGATGAGGTATTATGTAAAATTCTAAAATACAGAATACAATGGAGTAGTTTATGAAAGTACTGTATAGCACTTGTTATTTCTATTGCATGAGGCAGGAATTATTGCAAGGTATTAAACTTGGGAAACAGAGGTATTGCAAAGCAATAATAGTGTGGATGCGGATATTGCAAGAAGTAATTCAGGAATATTGCAGTACGCAAGGTGAACACTAAACTGATTTGTTAATGGTGTTTGCATAAGGTGCAACAAAGTTATTGTTTACAAGTTGTAACTCGGGGTATCAGGACAAAAATACATTTATGGTCTTTCCAGCCCTATATGGCAATCTAACCTTTTGCAGCAGATGGAAAAGAGAAACAGACTACTAAATCCAAACTAGGCTGCAAATCCAATGCGTTTCAAATGTCCAGTGCCATTGAAAATTGTAAAGATTCCGAACACATCTGATTTTGTTTACATAGAACTTATAATAGTTGTAAATCTCTCTAATAAGATTGAAGATTTCAAATTTTCCCCACAAGGTCAAGGTCTGGGAGGCCAGAACTCTGAAAATGTTAAAGATGTTAAACTTTAAAGAAAATGTTAAATCAGTACTGACACATGGCTCATTGTCTAGCTGACACATGGCTCATTGTCTAGCTGACACATGGCTCATTGTCTAACTGACACATGGCTCATTGTCTAGCTGACACATGGCTTATTGTCTAGCTGACACAGGACTCATTGTCTAGCTGACACATGGTTTATTGTCTAGCTGACACATGGCTCATTGTCTAGCTGACACATGGCTCATTGTCTAGCTGACACATGGCTCATTGTCTAGCTGACACATGGTTCATTGTCTAGCTGACACATGGTTCATTGTCTAGCTGACACATGGTTCATTGTCTAGCTGACACATGGCTCATTGTCTAGCTGACACATGACTCATTGTCTAGCTGACACATTGATCATTGTCTAGCTGACACATGACTCATTATCTAGCTGACACATGGTTCATTGTCTAGCTGACACATGGCTCATTGTCTAGCTGACACATGGCTCATTGTCTAGCTGACACATGGCTCATTATCTAGCTGACACATGGTTCATTGTCTAGCTGACACATTGCTCATTGTCTAGCTGACACATGGCTCATTATCTAGCTGACACATGGTTCATTGTCTAGCTGACACATGGTTCATTGTCTAGCTGACACACGGCCCAGTAACCAGCTGACACAGAAACTCTCCAAAGTAACAAGTCAAACAGCCTGCCAGCAACACCAGAGGGGGGGGGGGGGAGGTGGCCAGTTGGAACATTGAGGCGAAACCACTTTCTGCAACATGGAAACAATCCGGTAATTTGCCTACCTCAACCCCGGCTCGCAGTCTCAGGAAGACTGAAGGCCCCTCACACCTACTGCTACCATTATCTCCATCCTCCGGTACGTTTTTTTTTTTTTACACATGCCAGTGAATGAACGTATTTTGGGAGCTCCTTAAGCAAGTCTAGAAGCAGGTGGCAAGCGAGACATGGAATAACTTATGTCGTCCACGTAGTAGACGAGACTTCAATGCAGAAAAATACACGAACTTTGCGCAATCACGCATGAAGTATTTATGTGTAAAAAGTGTTTTACAGTCTGGTCCGGCGTTCAGTACTATGTGAAGGGAAAAAATTCTGGAGCCACCTGCATGCCAGCTGCTCTGCTTCCCCCGCTGCTGCTTGTTGAGGATGGCGTCGGGGTTTGCTAGACTTTAAAGGTTAGTTAGACCCTAAAGGGTAAACCTACTTGAGTGAAAGTAGTGTCTTTTATTTATAGTTTTATGACAGCCTGCATAAAACTATATTTCTACGTACATAAATATACAAATCTACATATGTAACATTATGAACGTGAAAATATTATAAAAATATAAAATATCTAGGCACAAACATACGAATCTATGTAGGTAAAAATGATACGTATTTTATGTACGTAATCTATGTATAAACACAGACTTTCACACATATGTGATAGCAGCATTTCCAAGCGTATACTAGATACGAAGACAAGAATAGAGAAAGAAGAAACTAAAGAAAGAAACTGAGGAGAACTGCATTTAAGATTCATACGCCATGGGACATTCAGAAAATACCAGTGGAAAGTACAGATGCCTTCACAAACTTAATCACAAGGTAAAAGGTAGAAAATGATTGTGTTCTCTACCAGATCAAACTCGGAGCATGATCTGATAAAGATATGTAGATATGAACAAATCCACAAGGGCCGTGATGAGGATTCGAACCTACGTCCGGGAGCATCCCAGACGCTGCCTTAATCTTACCTTAAGACCTTCATTTGATGCATCACGCTATTGTGATTTCTGTGTGTGTATATGTAGATATGTTTACATGTTGGAAAGATAATTGGGAGACCTTTCTCTCTATTCTTTGAGAGGTTGAATGCTCTAGTTCCTAGTATCACATTTAAAGTTGAATGGAAGTCAGATGACGAATTACTCGTTAACATCTTTTTACACTCAATTTGTGTTAACATCTATATCTATAAAATGAAATGTCTATTTTTGTCAGTCCGAAGTTGGAGGCTAGCTGCTTGGCGCTAGCCTCACCCAACTTTGCAAGGTGAGAGGTCTGGGGTATGGGATTGTCATAAGCTGGCCAGGATCGGTCCTATTGGTCCTATTAAGAGGGGTTGGGCAGCATAGTACCAATCCCACCACGAAATCATTGGAATGTGGCTAGCTGATTCCCTAAATGAATTGAATTTAGTTTTACGTTTTCTGAGATAGAAACAAAAGAGGAGGGATAGGGTAAGAGAGAAGAGAGGGGAAGATTGGAAGAGGGAAGAGAGACCCGGGAACAGCCGGATATTCCCTCTAGTTTCATATACAGCTCTCGGAAATAATTGGGACGAACTCCAATAAAAAATATAAATATACAATTAAAGTGATTTCAAACAAGCGCGTAAATTTCTTCGAGATTCGGTATCTCATTATCGAAGAAATACAGAGCCTATTGTACAGATTGACGTCCACCCAGCCCGACTCTTGACCTTACCCAGGATGGAACCCACAACAGTCGACTAACTCCAAGATACCTGTTGGCTGCTAGGTGGAACAGATGTATCAGGTGGAAGGAAACGAACCCAGTCATCTCGTCCATCTTGGATTCAATTTGTTTGAATCCTCTTTCATAGGTTTGTTCAGGTGTTGACAAAATATCAAGTTCTGAGGCTTTCGTAATGATGGCCTGCAAGTTCATATGGATTTCAGTCCTTGGAGTGTTCAAGTCCAATAAGGAAGATGCTTTTATATGTGCTTGTATAAAAATAATTTGATTTTCTTATATCTGATCCTTTGCAAAACGGGCAAAAACTTATGTTTATAAAAGATTCCATACTCTATCATGGTTATGTAGAATTTCATAATAATTAAATTCTGAAGTTTAGGTTAACAGTTCTTTTAATTTTTTTTTATAAAAAATATAATATTAGGGTTAATACAAAAGTACCATAGTTAAGAGTATTTTCTTGCGTAAATTTCCTTAGGTGTGATGATGCTACAAGTACCAAAAATTCTTCTTAATCGATGATTTTTATGTATAAGAAGGTTTTCTTCCTATTAAATTATATTAGAAACAGATATGTCGCTATTAATTTTATACTCAGTGTGGTCCGGTGTACCATTATTTAACGTATTCAACAGAAGGATTTTGGAGCCTTAGTGGCTAACTATAATGTAAACATGAAGGTACTGATGGCCATATTGAAATTATACTATTCAATCTTTTAAGAAGTTTAATTAATTAATAGATGTATTACCCACGAAGGAAATTTGTCAAGGTTAATAGTTTAATTTCTATTTTAACGCCACAACATTCATTGATATAACTTGTAAAGCGAAGCGTGAGCAGTTCCATACCAACTAGACAGTGACACGTTTTCACACGTTATCCAGAATGTGTAAGATGCACACATATAGGCCTAGCCTCACTAACTGGAACGTGTGAATAAAATAATGGACTGCTTCGACCAAACTCTTTCGAATGTAAATAAATTTTGGAAATTAAGCAGAGAGCCTACAGCATAATCCCTCAAATTTGATTCTCCGTCATTTGAAAAGTCAGCAATGTCAGAATGGCACCGTACATTAGGCATTTGTAGAAAACCCTCACTCACAAACACTGCCCAGTTCTGTTACAAGTAAATAGAGTGTCATTGGGCGCATCGTAACTGCCAACACCTGTCATACAAACAAATATTTCCTTCTTTTCGATGTGAAACTAAAATTTCTATCATTATATTTTGACATTGGTATAAAACTAGGCAGATTCAGAACTGCATAGTTACTCCATTTTCCCCGTTGGAACTGACTTGTTCTTACTTTGCTGAACCAATATTTATTTGCATACAACAATATTAGTACAGTTGTTAATAATTGGTAATTAGTACTTATTAATTAGTAACACAGTAGGCCCTCACCCTAGTTATTCTGTACACAAGTGCGTCTCCACCTCAATAGACTTACCCACTTTCATCTCAAACAAAAGACAAAGAAAAGTTTTCGAAGCATTATTACTTTTTAATAGGTTTTCAAACAGAAAATTAATATATATATAAAGAGATGATCTCAAAGTCGACATAAAAAACATCTTCGTGTTTGTCCAACAATTTTCATTGTTATTTTTTGCCAATAACACATAATAATATTTGTTCAACTGGACACGTGCAATCCAAACCTGAATATTTTTCTTTAGCAAGATCATATACTTTGCCTTGGTACAGTAACCTCTATGATACAGTAACAGTAGGTCGGTATTTGACCAAAACTTTTTTTTTTTTTGTCGACGATGTATACTTGAATGTCTACTAAAAATAAGGCATTCAGATCTTTATAAATTATAGTTATATATTACGTCTCCAACAAAAAAAATACATAAAGATTTTCCTTCACAAAAAAATACATCCTATATCCCACAGCATACACATAAATATCCCACATAGAAAATAACTCTTTACCCCCACGAGGATTGATTACAGGTTTCCCTACTCAAAGAACACTCGCAAAATTTTGTTTTGAGAGTGCTCTTGGAGTGTTCTTTACAAACACTCTATGTCCGATTGTTCCACATTTGTATATACAAATAATAACAATAGTCTTATGCAACTGAATGTCTTGCACGGCTACCAAATAACCATATCTGAAGGTTGTATAAAAACAAACCTACGGTGTCAACCTCGTAGCTGAGTGGCAACTACATCTCTCGTAGATGGCTGAGCGGCGAGCATCCTCCTCCTCCTCCTCCCCCTACGGGGCCTTCGGATGAGTGCCTTCCGGACTCCATTTCTGAGGAGGCGGAGGAGGAGAGAGTGGTGTTGGATCCCAGGTGGTCGCTTTGCACAGACATGGAACGGTCGTGGGAGCGTCGAGTCCGGTTGGGGGACAACTTGGCCGGGTCGATGCTGCTGGGGTCGGCCTGTGGAAGGGGACGAAGGACGGGGCTACATTGTGATGTGGCACAGTACCGGCTGCTGCCATGCTCAATTGTTAGGACAAGGACAATATAATAGCTACTAAAGGTTAGGGTAAATAACCAAAAACTAGGAGCAAAGACAGTGATATCACTGGCAATATGTAGAGCAGTGATGGTAATGTACCATACGATTATACTTGAAGAAAACCAGATAATATGAAGGGAAGGTCTCTCGTTCCTCCATTTTACTCATTCGAGGATTTTCGAAACTTTGCTATCAATTTAATCGATAAATATCTCATTTAATGCTAAAGCATAAGAATTGGCATTTTAGTGCTGCTATACAAGAAGCAAGTAACCATAATTAATCTGAAGCAGAGGTCCTCGCTCGCAGACACCTTCCACGGGAAGAGGAAAAGTTGATAGTAATGACACTGAGGGAATCGACCAGAAACTAGTTCCACATTTAATTAAATTTAGTTTATTGTTGTACATCAAATACAGTCAGACACAGAATCGAGTTACGATTAACAATGATACATATACATGAAAAAATTAATGGGAAATATAACATAGTTAAAAGTTGCATAAAGAGTTTTAACAACATGAACAACAGGAGTCTAACACACCAAACATATTTCAGTAAAACATGATGAATTAGGATAAATTTTGAAACAAAAAACTGATGAACATCAAAAGTCACTTTCGACAGACAAGGGATAAATAATGTTTTAAATAGATGACCAAAATATATAATTTCATGAATTAATGAATTAATAAATGTTTTCCCAAATCCATGCAGCCTCGCTGACAAACGCGGCATTTTAAATTGCGCGCCGCGAAACTTTTTGTGCAAGCTTTGGGAACATCAGTTGCTCGGTCCAGGTAAAAAGATCTTTATCAAATAGATAATTACCAAATACATATAAGTTGTACTCTTTTGTGTCAAATGACATATCAATCGAAAAAGGGAGGACTTTGCATATTTCCTCTTTAGGGAAAAAGTTGGAGAGTTTTGGTGGGTATAAATAGGATCTTTGTCGCTACAATAGGCTTTATATATATTCCTTCACTGATGTGCTTTGATGGTTATGCATCGTTTCAGAGATTGCTTCCTCTCCTAAAGACACAGATACGACTCGTCGTATTACGGCGTAAAAGTGATAAATAGTGTACACAAAACTCCATTATAACCTTTTACTGCTTTCTCTATTAATTTGTCAGGTAATCATTGGGAAGTCTATAGAGCACTTAAGAGTCAATGAGAGTCGGAAGTCACTAAATTGTAATGACAAATCAATTCACTGATGAATACACCAAATGTAAATATAATTTACACTTTAAATTTACTTTGCCCTTGTTCAGTCCAGCCAGAATTTGTATGAAATTGTCATGAATGAAGCCTTTTTCTGTCAAGTCTGAAAATCACCTAATATCCAGTGATATAAATTACATCACACATGATATAATTTGCGTAAGAGTTATGCCTGGTAAATGACATGATAATTCGGCTACTGGTCTGTACTTGAAGCTGCCACGGCTAACACATGGATCACGGAGGGTCGTTATATAACAGCTGATATATGGTGAGCACAGCTAATGAACGTATTCACGTGTAGCTGTCACGTAGTTGCCACGTGGATTTGTTACGTGAGTATCACGTGGAGTAATGAGGTGTTATCATATAGTTGATAAATGTTATCACGTGTGGTGGTCACGCTAAGCTCATAAATCTACCAACAAATTCTAACAAGTGTTATCCCAAAATCTGTCAATGTTATCGCACTTAGCTGCCAAGTGCTCTCTAGATCACCTAGCGTATACACTCGAGAGCAGCTAAAATATCCTACCATACAGACGTAACTTATGCTATTATATATAGGTAACTTATGCTATAGTGTATATTTAACCAACGTTACTATGTACTGTAGTCTCTGAATTGGTATAATGCAGAGCTAACATTATATATCATATAATGAATTCTATATTGTAAAACTAGCATGTTTCCCATGTATGTTAGCAAATGCTCTCATGTATGTTAAATTAATTAATGAACTACATGAATTAATGTTAGCAAATGCTATGTGAACGTAATTCTAACATGTTGATATAATAAATGTTGTCTTTTAAAACTAACAAAATGTATAAACTTACATAATGGTATTACATGAATTAATTAAGAAATCATCAACATAAGCGCTAAGCCAGAATTACTGTTTTAGCAATACATAAATGAGAATATGTGTTGATAAAGCAAGTATTTCAACTGTTAGCCGATCATACTCAAACATCCATTATCTTAAATTATTATATGGCATACACACACATATATATATATATATATATATATATATATATATATATATATATATATATATATATATATATATATATATATATATATATATATATATATATATATATATATATATATATATATATATATATATATATATATATATATATATATATATATATATATATATATATATATATATATATATATATATATATATATATATATATATATATATATATATATATATATATATATATATATATATATATATATATATATATATATATATATATATATATATATATATATATATATATATATATGCATTGGTTTTGAATCTGTTTAGTAAGGTCTGGTAAAATTTATGGTGGTTTTGTTCAGGCATTGTAAGTTAGGCAGGCTTTACACTGCGATTGGTAAGCTGTACCCCACGCTGGTAAAGTAAGCTTTACCGCATGCACATACCCAACTGTAAAACAATTAAATGGTAAATCGTTACAGCACGTAACTGCTGGATGTGCGTAGGAGACGCGCTGTAGAAATGAGCAACAGTTCAACATCAACAATCATTTGTTTGTAGTATTTGTTATAGATTATAGGAGTCGCTCGCTAACAAGTGCTTATTCAAATTTCGCGCCTTGGCGCGAGGATCATAAACAGATTGTGAAATGAATTTGAAATATTACAAAATACCATTTTGAAATTCCATGTTTTAATAATAGTGGCTGTTTGATATTTTTAATACGATATAAATACCTTTATAGACATATATATAACGTCTAATAAACGTTTCCTAGAGTCTAACACTAACTCAAATTTTGTACCGAAAATGAGACTATGTACGAAGCATTCAGAGCTTCATCTTCACAATGATTCATGAAAGCATTTAGCTTTCTTATAGTTACAAAGTACAGGATATTATAGTACAAAATCTCTAGAGTGGATCACCATTCTAGTCAATATTTTTATAAAAATAATCTACGTTATACACATTGGTATACACATTGGATTTTGTGATTATATATATAAATATATATATTATATATATATTTAAGAATTATATTATATATATATATTATGTATTATATAAATTATATATATATATATATATATATATAAGAATTACATTATATATATAAATATATTATATAAATATATATATATATATATATATATATATATATATATATATATATATATACACATATATTTATTTATTTATATATAATGCACATAAGCAACCACAAGGATAAAGAATGTGATAGCATAAAATTATTGCAAAGTACATGATTCAGAGATAAGGAAAATTAGAGAAACCAATAGAATTATACTTGCACTATAAAGCCTTGACCATGAGAACTTGAAATTAGCATAGGATATCGATAGCCTGAAGCATGAAAACCTTGTATAACATTCTTCTATAATTCCGTACAGAAAGGTTGCACAAACGTGTTGCAAATAACACACAAGATTACATTACACATGTTTACAGTTTGTTATAAGTATAAACACATTGCAACAGTTGTATGTTTTTGTAAAGCTCCTAAATGTTTTTGTTAGCTTGTGTTGCCAGTATTTGTTCTTGCGTTTCTGGATATATTGGTAGTGCACTGTAGGTGAGTGTAGTGCACTGTAGGTGAGTGTAGTGCACTGTAGGTGAGTGTAGTGCACTGTAGGTGATTGTAGTGCACTGTAGGTGAGTGTAGTGCACTGTAGGTGATTGTAGTGCACTGTAGGTGAGTGTAGTGCACTGTAGGTGAGTGTAGTGCACTGTAGGTGATTGTAGTGCACTGTAGGTGAGTGTAGTGCACTGTAGGTGATTGTAGTGCACTGTAGGTGAGTGTAGTGCACTGTAGGTGATTGTAGTGCACTGTAGGTGAGTGTAGTGCACTGTAGGTGAGTGTAGTGCACTGTAGGTGAGTGTAGTGCACTGTAGGTGAGTGTAGTGCACTGTAAGTGTGTAGTGCACTGTGAGTGTAGTGCTCTGTAGGTGAGTGTAGTGCACTGTAGGTGAGTGTAGTGCACTGTAGGTGAGTATAGTGCACTGTGAGTGTAGTGCACTGTAGGTGAGTGTAGTGCACTGTAGGTGAGTGTAGTGCATATATCAGTGTTAATTTAATGAGACGGAAAATAGTGTATAAAAATATTACAATTAATGAATATTGCCAATTTTAATCTCCAAACTTACTGCGAGTGAGAGTGCATGACAGGTGCTCATTGTGAGTGACAGTGCATAACAGGAACTCCGTTCGAATGGCTTTGCATGACAGGATCTCATTGTGAGTGACATTGCACTACATGAGCTCAATGTGAGTGATAGGGCATGACAGGAGCTCACTGTGAGTGGCAGTGCATGCCAGGAACTCCGAGTGACAGTGTGTGATAAGAGCTCATTATGTTAACTCTCCATGTAAACTTTCGAATACAAAAATTAGCTTTAACAATATGTTTAATTATGTTATAAATATATGCAAACTTCAGACACAATCATCTGATCAATCAAATTCATTATTTATAAACATCATAAATCTTTAAATGTTAGAAATGAATCATGTTAGACACATATGTGTCAAGTTAAACACAAATGTGTCAAGTTAGACACAAATGGATCAAGATAAATATAAATGAATTTAGTTAGATACAGATGAATGAAGTTAGACGCAGATGAATAAAGTTACATAGAAATGGATCAAGTTAGACTTAAATGAGTCAAATTAGACAAAATTGGACCAAGTCAGTCACAAGTGAATCAAGTTAGATACAAATTCATAAAGTTTGACACAAATGGATTAAGTTAGACACAAATGAATCAAGTTGAACACGAATGAGTCAAGTTAGGCACAAATGAATCACGTTAGACACAAATGGATCAAGTTACACACAAATGAAATAAGTTAAACATAACTTAATTAAATTAGACGAAAATGAATCTACTTAGACACAAAAGATTGAAATAAGAAACGAAAGAGCAAAGTTAGACATAAATGGGTCAAGTTAGACACAAATTAGTCGAGCTAGACACGAGTCAATCAAGTTAGACACGAATGAGTGTATTTAGGCATGAAGGAGTCAAGTTAGACATGAATGAGTAGAGTAGACGAAATGAGTAAATTTAAGCTCAAATAAATCAAGTGAAACAATAACGTATAAAGTTAGTCAAGTGGAACCTGATAAGGAAATATTAAATTTTTGTATTATTATTATAAACATCAATAATTAAAACAGACAACATAAGTATACACATAGCGTTCAGAACAGTTGCTTCAGAACGAAGTCTTATGAGATGACCCGCTAACCTATGACAATTGCCTACATCGTGTCCAATATAAAATGAAATCATGAATACAATTTCTTATGTTTTTTAATTCTTTATCATAATTATTTATTTAAGACACTTGAGATAATAGAAATCTTTTCAACAAATTTGTACCTTAATAATGTGCACCATATGACTTAAATTTACAAAGAATATATTATACATCTAAATGCATATACAATCAGTGGTAACTTGATTCTGTGTTCAGTCAAGATGAGAAAGTGGAGAACTTAGTCTCTGGTCACGGAAGGTAAGATGGGGGGGGCCGTGTTGAAGTTGGCCAGAGTGAAGTAGGATGAGTGCAGGCCCTCCCAGCCTCTCCTCAGCCTACGAGTAGGGGTAGGCCAAAGTGCTGATGCACCCCCACCTCAACCTACGTGTGAGGCAGGCCGCAGTACAAGCCTACCCTACCTTTCAATCTACAAGTGGGGTAAGCCGAAGTGCAGGCCCACCCCCCACCACTTAGAGGAATTAGCCACATGTTTCAAGGGGGTTCCGACTACAGGCAGTTGCAAAAGGAGGAGCAGATGACAGTTGAGCATCATCAAGTAGAAGGATGTGCACAGAGGGAAAGAGTAAAATAAATCATCAATATTGACAATGTTGAAAAGAGCATTACTTCAAAAATACGTTTCACATGCTTCTACATAGGCCTACGTGTCAAAATCATATTGGTCACATATATATGACTGCAAAATGTCGCTTTCCAAGCAACTACGAGAATACTACTGCTTATATCAAAACTGTCAGAGCTTCTAACGTGTAGATTCCTCGTCTTGGGTGAAAAGTTTAGCACGACATAAGCAATAGTTTTGATTGCTTTTTCTGCACAACCTACTCAAGTCGTTGAGCAGTAGCCTACTCAAGTCGTTGAGAGGTAGTCTACTCAAGTCGTTGAGAGGTAGTCTACTCAAGTCGTTGAGAGGTAGTCTACTCAAGTCGTTGAGCGGTAGCCTACTCAAGTCGTTGAGAGGTAGCCTACTCAAGTTGTTGTGAAGAAGCTCAATTCCTTGAGAAGTAGCCATCACGGTACACTGCACTGTGCTCACTTTAGGAAACAATACATTTCTTAACCTGCATTTATATTTTTTTACAGGTAGATAACTGTAAAGGAGTTTTAGTCTTATTCCCAAATATAAAGAAAGAAGCTGAAGTTGACAATACAATGTGTATATAACGTCATGCAATATAACAAAGCATTTAAAAGTCTAAACTACAGAATAGTTGATAAATATTGCATATTTGACTCAGCAAGCCTGAACTAGGCTCTAACTATAAAGATTTAGGCATAACTAGCATAGCAATATATAGTTTCCACTGTTAAAGATAGGATTCTCCCTTCTCCAAGCCCATTTATCTGACAAGGAAATTGATAACACTTTATCTTAGCAACTTTCTTGCTCTTAACTACACAATATGTGAATAGATATAATACTTGTGGAGAATACCGTAACGAGCACACATTTTAGTCTTCTGCTATTCCTTGGTTTCTCAATAAAGCCCGTCACAGTGTGGTGGCAATGGTAGTGTGTTGGTCAGGGAGGCATTGTTGACTGTCTGCAATGTTATTAATTCATTTCTCCCCATGTTAGGTATGGCTCCTCAATATTTCCACCAAACATGATATACCACTGATATATATATATATATATATATATATATATATATATATATATATATATATATATATATATATATATATATATATATATATATATATATACACGATAGAAGTAACAAACATTTCTTTTACCATCACCAGCAAATGTGGAGAGATGCTATTGCTAGAGAAATTAAACATGCGTTACCATCTACGCTTTTAACAGAGCCGTAAACCACCACAACACCACACGTACACACACACAGCCAGGAAGCTTGTCCAGTCTTCTTCCCAAATGATTATACAGTTACCACAGAAAGTATGAAAGAGAAAATACTTCGGCAAGAGTTACTAGGCGAACATATTACTACACACAACTCACACCGAAGAAGAGAAATGCACATGAATTACTAAAAACATTATGTTTTTTTTTTAATATATTTTGATAATAACTAGGAGTACCTATCACAGCTGTAACGAGAGTCGTCCAGAGAGCAGAGGCTACTTGATCGTGTCTACTCCCAGGGGGGAGGGGTCTTCTGCCGCCCCAACTGGATACTCATTAACCATTATTTTAACAAATATTTAAATCTTTAAAGGCCATATACAAAGATAGTGTGTGTGTGTGTGTGTGTGTAATTACCTAAGTGTAGTTACAGGATGAGAGCTACGCTCGTGGTGCCCCGTCTTCCCAGCACTCTTTGTCATATTACACTTTGAAACTACTGACGGTCTTGGCCTCCACCACCTTCCACCTAACTTGTTCCAACCGTCTATCACTCTGTTTGCGAAAGTGAATTTTCTTATATTTCTTCGACAGCTTTGTTTAGTTAGTTTAAATGTATGACCTCTTGTTCTTAAAGTTCTAGGTCTCAAGAATTTTTCCCTATCAATTTTATCGATTCCTGTGTGTGTGTGTGTACGTGTGTATTCCCACTTTAGAGATCGTCAGTATCTAAAGTGAGAATGATATGACACTTAAATACGACAGTTTCTTGACGTTGGGAAACCTTAAGAGGACGGGCTGAATAAGCTCAATGTGCCTAATAGTTTGTTTTATATATTAGGAGTGTAAACTATGCTTTGTTTTATTAGATAAACAAGTCAATTGCCAGGACCAGGATTCATCAACCATTTACGAAACCTCTACATCTTTCCTAAATCATATCGAAATAATTTACATTTATTAAACAGTTTACGAACTTTGAAACTTAGAAGATCATTATTGGTTTAATCAACCCCGTAGTGCTTCGAACCTCATAATGATGGATAAAGAGTAATTTTTTTTTTAAAGCAATTACTTTATTGTTCCACCTTGTCTTCCCAATGCTATGACACATGCTGTTGTCATAGGCATAGCATTGCAGACACAGACATAATGTGTCTGCAATGGCATATCATTGCAGACACATTATGCAGACGATACCACGAGTTTTGTGTCGACAGAAGACTCAGTGGTGAATGTTCAGGTTGAGTTAGACAACTTTGAGAGGGCAATAGGTGCTGTCATTAACAAGAATAAAACGTGTATGATGGGGCATGGCACTTGGTGTTATATATAGTTACCTGGACAGATTCGTGGTTCAAGGTAGTGGAGTCTATAAGGCTCTCGGGATTTGTTGGTGTATAACATATGGAACACCATTGGCAAGTACTATGTAGAAATATAATAGTAGCTACGAACATGTTGTCAAATAGGAAATTAACCCTGTTTCAGAAGGCTGTAATAATCTATTGCAAAATTTTGTCAGAAGTGTGGTATTTGTTTCACAGTTTTCCAATTGATAAGAAAATTGTTATGGAGATTTGGACAAAACTATTTTTAGATATGTATGGCATGATAGATACCAACCAATTAAACGGACTACATTATGTAAAGATAAGAAAAACCGCGGAATAGGGATACTGAATGTGTACCATAGGTCATTGGCTATCTTTTGTGTTACCTTTAGAAAGGAAATAATGTAGAAGAATAGTGTAAATGCTTTTTTTGTAAATTATTTTTGTAAAATACGTGTTAGCAACTTCACTTTTATTCTTGTGTAATTGATGTTCTCAGGCGGATTTGTCATGTTGAAGTTTTTTTTAATGATGAACAGTAAACACGTGTATGGTGTCCTGCTCCCACATATAGTTCCTAGAGTTCATACCCACTTTTTAACTGGCGAGTAATATGGGCAAACCTTCATGTTAAATTTATTGCCCCAAAACAACGTGAACTAGTGTATGGCAACTTTTAGAGTTGTTAATTATTTATTATGAGAAGTTACAAAATTTACAAGTTCTGTGCGAAACTCTGCACAAGTTATCCAATGGCAACGAACTTTTTTAATAAAACATTCAAAGTATATCACTTGGAGAGTTGCTTTAACAATAAATCCTTGCCTAGCCTAGCCTCACCTTCGCTTAGCCTTACCTAGCCTTGCCGTGTCTTACCTAGTTTAATCATAGCATTAAGAATCTGTTTGCGTAGCAAACATTGCATTTTAATGGTATATTGTTTCAAATTAAATTACTGGAATTGAAAAACAGTGAAAATTTGAACCCTGTCTCCAAATAGCAGTGTGTATTATTATAATGAAGTGGAATGTGACTTTTTTCCTATATATATATATTCATTCATCACTGAGTGACTTATTTGATAACGCTACCCTTATTCTCTACACTGCCACCAGCCTACAGTGAAATCCGGCTATTGACGCCATTTATGGGTTTGTTACGCGTTCAGTGCCAGATATGGCGCCCGTTACATCAGCAAATTGACTTTTAAACCAACACAGGAATATCTATAAATTCCAATTTCTTGAAAAATGGCATGTCACTCTATCACTACTCAAAACAATATAGTTTGCTCACCACTAAAACTTTTATCGATTTAAACAAAAATTATATATATATATATATATATATATATATATATATATATATATATATATATATATATATATATATATATATATATATATATATATATATATATATATATATATATATATATATATATATATATATATATAAATTTGTAATTTAATGTTCATTTAATTTATTATACTACATTTAACAAATATTTCGAAACGATTTCAAGCCGAAAACAACAAAAACTAAATTATCTTAATGCATAACCTAGAAAATAAATTATAATTATTAGGTAAATTTGATTATTTTTTTAGGCAACTTTGCATAATGTTCTATTATAAATACATAGAATTTGTATTTACGTATTGTCAGGTGTGTGAGGGGTTGAGCTCAATGGTTTGTAGTGCATCTTGGGGACTCACCTGGCGATGTGGGAAGACTCACTTGGTTAAGATGGTGAAGACTCACCAGAGTCTGGCCAGGTTATATGGGAGTAGACTCACCTGGTGACATGAGGGTAGACTCACCTGGTGACGTGAGGCTAGACTCACCTGGTGACGTGAGGATAGACTCACCTGGTGACGTGAGGGTAGACTCACCTGGTGACGTGAGGGTAGACTCACCTGGTGACGTGAGGATAGACTCACCTGGTAAGCGAGAGCATTCATGATAATGTGGTAAGGAACGAGTCCTAGTGGATGGATCTCCTTCATGAGGATATTGGCGGGGATTTTGTAGAACTGGATATACTCGAGGAAGTTCCCTATCACCTCCTTGAGATCGGTATTGGGTTGATTGTCGCAGTGCTTCTTCGACCACATCAGACCAGCCTGTGGAGGGGGAAGGGTATGAGCTCTCTTTGGTAAATTTCGCATTGTTTCTTGCGTGGCAGTTGCATCAATTATTGCTTGTATGGCGAGCGGTCCAGAAAGATTAATATAAATTGAGGAATGTAAAGGAATCCATTGTGGTTCAATACAAGCGAAAGAGAATGTAATTATATACTAATTACAGAATGAATTGCCTACAGGGTGGCAATGTTTCCAAACTATGTAGATATAAAAAAGGAAAACAAATGTTAATACCAAAATACTACCCAGACACCTACACTGAGTCTGTGACACCTCTCCTGAGTCCATGACACCTCCCCTGAGTCTGTGACACCTCCCATGAGTCTATGACACCTCCCCTGAGTCTGTGACACCTCCCCTGAGACTGTGACACCTCCCATGAGTCCATGACACCTCCCCTGAGACTGTGACACCTCCCATGAGTCCATGACACCTCCCCTGAGACTGTGACACCTCCCATGAGTCTATGACACCTCCCATGATACTGTGACACCTCCCCTGAGACTGTGACACCTCCCATGAGTCCATGATACCTCCCCTGAGACTGTGACACCTCCCCTGAGTCTGTGACACCTCCCCTGAGACTGTGACACCTCCCCTGAGACTGTGACACCTCCCATGAGTCCATGACACCTCCCCTGAGACTGTGACACCAATCCCTGGGTCAGTGCCACATCTCATGCCTGTCTATTCCGCCTGACCTGGAACTTGGTGAACTCGTCTGCGCGTAGCTCTTCCCTGGCCATGATGAGTCTGACGACGTGCTGGGGGAGGAGGGTGAAGGAGCCCAGGTTCAACACCTCGTTCCCGTGTTCGTCAACGAACTCCAGCACCTGAGCGTCCGCCCCACACACATATCCAAAAAAATTGTCAGTAACTTTTATAATAACAATAATAATTATTATTATTAGCCTTATTGTTACGATTATGAATTCATGTAATGTATTTACCTATTTTTTTAATATCATAAGGGTATTTAAGTGAGTTTATTTTTTGTATCGAATGAAGCAACAAGAGACTAGTTATAATGAGATCAGAGTAGGGAACAGTGAAAAACAGAGTAGACTGAGAAAACAGGGTTGGGGGGAGGGGGAGTGATCCAGTCATTGATATAATTAATTAGTTGAACCAGTTAATAGCAACCAATATAGGGATGGGAGTGAAATCAATTACTATAGAAAAAAATTGTCTCGTAGGGTGATTCTTCCCCTCCTATGTTAAGACAGCCTGTTATCCAAAATAATGCGACTTATAGCAACTATGGTGAAACGTACAAACATGATATACATTAATTACCATAGTTAAGGGGCCACATTAATTAACCAGCAGCCTAACGTAACTTGCCCAAAGAGTTATAGAGGCTCAGGGGATGGAGTATAGAGAATCCTTACTGTTTACTGACATTCAGGTATTTCTCTTCTTTTCTTAATTAATAAGGCACTTGTAATAATTACTACTTAATATCTTGGAGGGAGGTAATTTGACATTTTTTATCTTTATTAAATAATATACAATATAAATCGTATGTACATCAATTTTACAAGGAAATACTACATTACATATACAGTAGTATAATTCTCAATGAACAAGTGTTTCATATCATCACAGAGCATGAACTTTAAACAGATGAAATAAAGCCATGGGAGTTACCAAATTTAAGGCCCCTACTCCCTCCCCCCCCCCCTCTCCCTACAATGCCCCAAAAGGCCCACACACCCGTCCGAGTTGAGGCCCAAGCTTACACTAATTAAAAATCCATCTTCCCTAGCTCTTGTTCCCTAAGTCTTCACCGCCCCTCGTGGGGCAGTAATATAACATTGACTCGAAAACGTTGATCCCACGTTCATTAAACAGTTGATACAACGTTGTATAAAAAGGTTGATCCAACGTTAAATAAAACGATGACCCAACATTTATTAAAAGTTGATTAAACAATGTTCCAACGTCGATTAAAGCAATGTTCCAACGTCGATTAAACGTTGACCCAACGTAATTAAACGTAATTCGAGCACATTTTGCCCACTTTGAGTGGTAACTACAATGGTAATCGTAATTACTTCAACGGGAGGGAGGGAGAGATAGAAGAAAGACTAGAGCAGAAATCTAGAGAGTAGAGAGTAGGAGCACCGACCTTCTGCACCATGGACTTGGTGCACTTATACTGAATATAGCGCTCAGCGGACGCCAATAGGGCACATACAGTGTCCACGTTGATGCAACATTGCACGAATCCTGAGCAACCCTTACGCAGCTCGTCAAGGCCATAGTAGTCCGCCGCGTTCATTAACCCTGTGGGATATAGAGGTGTGTATAAACTACCTTACCAGACTACCAGGCAGTCAGCCTGGTAGTGTCGTGTGAGGGGGAGGGGAGGGTAGTGGAGGTTACAATACCAGGCAGGTTGTGATGGGGGGAGGAGATTGTAGGTGGCCGTGCCTGGCATGAGTTGTGACTCCAACATTTCAAAATATTCCCCCTTTCATTAACTTGAACTACACAAAATATTCTTAAATTTAGAAGCCTCCTATTACCCTCATTATGAAAAGCACTTTTTAATATATATATATATATATATATATATATATATATATATATATATATATATATATATATATATATATATATATATATATATATATATAATATATATGTCATACATGGATGGAGAAAATACATCCTTCTGAAGATGTATTATTAAATACGAAAGTACTTAAGGAAATTCCAGTTTCAAATCTTCCTTTGTAGCCTGACACTGTCATACATTATATATATATATATATATATATATATATATATATATATATATATATATATATATATATATATATATATATATATATATATATATATATATATATATCAAACATGTTTTATGAGTTAAAATATATTAAAAGTTGTATAAAATATGCTAAATATATTTAAGAGAATTGTTTATTTGTTAAATATCATTTGATAAATGCTATTTTGTCATATTTTTCTGAAATCAATTATAAACAACGCACTGTATTATTACATGCATTCATACAGACAAAAATAAAGAATTGGAACAAAAAAAAAAAATATATATATATATATATATATATATATATATATATATATATATATATATATATTTTTTTTTTTTTGCTGGAAGAGCATATGTAAACCAAAATAACTTCATAAGCTTAAGGAAGCAGCCTATGTACCATTTATAACTTTCGCAGGACAGAGGATAGATTGATCACAAACCATAACTATTCTGGCTACGGCAGGAAGGAGGTCTGGCCGCCCCACCATAGCAGAATGTGTGGTGGCTGGACTCACCTAGACAAATACGTTGTTGCTTAGTTCACCTAGCAGCACGCTTGATGGTTAGGCTCACTTAAGGAGGGGCTCAGTAGCTAGACTCAACTAGAAGAGTGAGTGGCGCCTAGGTTTACTTTTGAGAGTGCGTGGGAGGTAGACTCACCCAGGAGAGTGCGTGGTTGCAGAGTTACGCAGCCAGTGTGGATGTATTCAATCAGCTGTCTGAAGACGTCTGGCTCAAATTCCTCCACGATAAGGGTTTGGTGGACGTTTCCTTGTGGCTGTTGGGAAGGAGAAGCAGTTGTGATGTGTGTATGTGTGGGGTGTCAGTGTGTTGTGATGTGTGGGGTGTCAGTGTGTTGTGATGTGTGGGTATCAGGGTGTGTTGTGATGTGTGTGTGTGTGTGTGTGTGTGTGATGTGTGTGGGTGTCAGGGTGTGTTGTGATTGTGTGTGGGTGTCAGTGTGTTGTGATGTGGGGTTCAAGGGATGTTGTGAATATGTGGGGAGACTGAACGGAGGTAACTGACACCTTAATTGTTGTTGTTATAAATATGAGAACTGTAACAGAAAACGATTATACGAGAATATAAAGAAATCTAACCTACAGTGAAGTATCTACAAGATTTATTTCTGAAAAATTAACACATAAACGTAATAAAGTTTAAAGATAAAAAGCATACAACTGTGTTCCATTTTTGGTTTTAAAAACACGCAGTGCACAGTACGAAAATAATTTTAACTGTTGAAGCGAAACTACTGCACAGGAAGCGACTAAAAATTTATATCGTAAATATACAATGGAATTGTGTAAACATGAACTTGAAAGTAATTAAATGTATTTTTTCCTATTTCTCTCTCATTTCAAAAATCTAATTGATGTGTATATATATATATATTATTTCCCCATTAAAATGTGCAGAGAAAATACGTAAGATATATTGAAGCCTGAACTGAATCTAGCAATTATGGTAGCAGATAATTAGGACCATCTTACAATGTTTTATAACTTATCAAAGTCTGCATGTCTCGAGTCATGAGTGGCGTGGATCATGGAAGGGAGATGGTGAGGTAATGTGTGTGTGATGGGGAGGTTGTTGGCGACATGCAAAGGAGGTGTAGGATATGACAGGCGGGATGGCAGGACTTGTCGTACGACGCGGGGTGGGAGGGGGGAGATTTAGGGAAGATGTGTGGGATGAGAGCTGATAGGGTAGGTACATGGGATTGGGGGTTCTTTGCATGGGGTGTAACTGACACTGTGTGTACCCTGCTGGGGGTGTAGCTGACACTGTGTGTGCCCTGTTGGGTGTGTAGCTGACACTGTGTGTGCCCTGTTGGGGGTGTAGCTGACACTGTGTGTGCCCTGTTGGGTGTGTAGCTGACACTGTGTGTGCCCTGTTGGGGGGTGTAGCTGACACTGTGTGTACCCAGTTGGGGGTGTAGCTGACACTGTGTGTACCCTGCTGGGGGTGTAGCTGACACTGTGTGCCCTGCTGGGAGTGTAGCTGACACTGCGTGTGCCCTGGGAGGGGGTTGTAGCTGACACTGTGTGTGCCCTGTTGGGGGTGTAGCTGACACTGTGTGTACCCTGGGAGGGGGTTGTAGCCGACACTTAGTGTCCTTCTGGAAGGGTGCACAAATGTATATTTCTAAACTTAAATAACATTGGGGGGGTCCAGTTGCTGACTGCAATATGTAACTAATATTTCCGCCACCGCCTTCAAGATAGATCTGAGGTCCATAATAAACTAATCACAGTTATTAAAACTAACATGCAAGCCAATGGAGACCGCAGACACAATCGTACGGAAATGGTTGGAATTCACGGGCCAGACCAGTCGAGAGAATCAGAGCTATTCTATCTGTTTTTGTCGCTATGATTGTCTTAGTAAGATGTCCTACATAATTATATTTGATATTAAATATAAGCTATACCGATAAATGGTAAAAACTAATGTCAAATAGCCTTAGTTGTGGTTTGTGGCTGGGCTTGAGGCCTGCCAACTAAGGTTATTAAAGGAAACCTGTCCTCTCTCAGAACACATAGTATTTTGACAAGGAAATCCCACAACGTCATAGTTGATGTACTAAGTAAGATGTACTAAAAATCATAGCTGCCCCAAATTTGACGCGATATCGCCATTTTCTATGGGTCCTCAGGTTAGATTCAGGCACTTTAGAACATTATTTAAGTGACGTTATGAACGCTAGAGAGAACGCACCGAAATGCCTTACTGACCAGCCAGCAAGTATAATTTAGTCCTGAATATAGTCCAGGACTAAACTCTCAATTTATACACAGGTACAACAATATATAGTATATACCGCCTAGTGAATATGTGTACTTTATATATTCCCTGTCTGCTAGGCTTCTTGCAGGTGTGATTGACGCCAACATATATATTTCAATATTTTTTCTTGCAAAAACTTATTTTTTGCAATAAAAAAGGTATAAATATATACATTTTATATTAGATTATATTTTATTTATTAAAGAACATTAAAAACTTTAAAGTTTTAAAACGTTGTGCAATTTTATCTGTGTTTCAGGCGACTAGGAATTATAAATTAGATCTTGACATTCCAGTAAAGTTTCTCTTTATTTTAATATTATTTTTTTTGTAAGTTATAAGTTGCTTGAATCACTGCTTATATTATAAGTTTCTATAGATAAGTTTTGTTGTGTCTCCTATAAATCACAAGAAAAAAAAAGACAGATTTTTAAATATCAGTAGAGGTGAACTTTTAAAGTCAATACGTTACAATCGTGAAGATTTTATAGTCATGCATAGTACTATGAGAGTGTGTTGATTGTCACTTCATAGGTGGAGGTGTGCTTGATGAATGATATTACCCATCCAGAGTGTGATTGATGAATGATATTACCCATCCAGTGTGACTGATGAATGATATTACCATCCAGAGTGTGATTGATGAATAATATTACCCATCCAGTGTGAGTGATGAATGATATTACCCATCCAGTGTGAGTGATGAATGATATTACCCATCCAGTGTGCTTGATGAGTGATATTACCATCTAGAGTGTGGTAGATGAATGATATTACCCATCCAGTGTGAGTGATGAATGATATTACCATCTGGAGTGTGTTTGATGAATGATATTACCCATCCAATGTGACTGATGAATGATATTACCATCCAGTGTGAGTGATGAATGATATTACCCATCCAAAGTGTGGTAAATAAATTGTATTACTACTCTACAGCGAGATAAAAATATTACCCATCCAGAGTGTGATAAATGAGTGATATTGCCCATTGAAATATTAATGAGAATGGTTCGGGGGGTTTTCAGATTTAATTAAATTATTTTTTAAAGAAGTTGCATGCTAGTTTATTATAAAAAATATTTACTTATCAGAAACTAATTAGAAAATTAACTAGTTTTTTAATATGTGGGAAAAGACGGAAAAACTTATATGTCGAAAAATTATTTTTATTCATGGAGTATGTCTCGTCATTTATTTGTAAAGGAATAGAGCATTCAACAGAAGAAACTAATTTCTAGTATTCATTATTAAACTGTTATATGATAGCTAAACATTCCATTTATCTTCAAAAAATCGCCCAATTAGCGATATTTTATAATCTGTTACTTTGGGAGAAACAGTATGAAAATTACATATAAAAACTTATCGCGAAATTGAACACAGACGTTTTCTCTGATAATGCTCGCTGGTTATAAGGTACATGCTGTTGAAGGGTGTGTGTGTGTGGGGCACTCTAGCCTGCTCCAGGTATGATTACAGGTCTTGTACACGACTACAGGGTAGGAGTATGATAGCAGCTACTGTGACAGGGAGAGGGAAGAACAGCTACAAGAGACGAGTACTGGGAGAGGCAGCCTACCTCAGGAATGGTGTCCAGCTTGTGAGTGTAGCCGGAGCGCTGGAAGCAAACAAAACACAACGCTCGCGTTAGCTAACCCAACTACTCGCATGCTCTAGTTCCTCTAGTACACACACACACACACACACACACACATCCCTACCTGTTGATTGAAGGTTGAGAGGCGGGACCAAAGAGCCAGAGCTCAACCCCCGCAACACAATTAGGTGAGTACACACATACACAACAAGTCACGGGAAACAGGAGACCTACCAGAGAGTTGGAAGACAGATATGTGGCGAACAATGTTCACCACATATCCCGGCTCCGACGACACCGGCAACGCTCTCATTCTACACGAGAAACACTGCTGCGACCACTGCTGTAGGGAGGCAGCAGTGTTATCCCTGCTAGGGAGGCAGCTGTATTATCCCTGCCATAGAGGCAGCAGTATTATCCCTGCCATAGAGGCAGCAGTATTATCCCTGCCATAGAGGCAGCAGTATTATCCCTTCCATAGAGGCAGCAGTATTATCTCTGCCATAGAGGCAGCAGGATTATCCCTGCCATAGAGGCAGCAGGATTATCCCTGCCATAGAGGCAGCAGGATTATCCCTGCCATAGAGGCAGCAGGATTATCCCTGCCATAGAGGCAGCAGGATTATCCCTGCCATAGAGGCAGCAGGATTATCCCTGCCATAGAGGCAGCAGCATTATCCCTGCCATAGAGGCAGCAGGATTATCCCTACCATAGAGGCATAACTCGCAAACTGCAATAGGAACTATCACCTTTAACCCTTGGACCTGGCCATACCTCGGAGAATCGATAATGTCTGCCTTTCGCAAACCATTGAATAACGAAAGGGTTAGCTAGCCTATCAGAGCTGATCTCGAGGAAGCCTATCAATGCTGATCTAAAGGAAGCCTATCAGTGCTGATCTCGAGGAAGCCTATCAGTGCTGATCTCGAGCGGGCCTATTACATCTAACCTCGAGGAAGCCTGTCAGAACTCCTATCGTGCGAGCCTATCAAAGTTCCCCCTCATTGAGACAAACGCACTAGGCTGGTTCTCTTATAAGATCCGATTTGTGCCTTAGTTTCTTATTTACATCTCTCCGTAAACTAGTTAAGTGTGTTACCAGCCAGTTAGACTTAAGCACAAGCGCCACACATACACTCGTGCTCAGGCTTTAGTAAGAGTGGTTGTGTCAGACTTGTCAATTCATATTAAAAATGGCACTAATGCACTGGAATTGGGATTCTCCTTCTTATAATAATAATAATAATAATAATAATAATAATAATAATAATAATAATAATAATAATAATAATAATAATAATAATAATAGTTATCATTGAGAACATTCGTAGGAGCTGTGATGAGGATTCGAACCTGCATGCTGGGTATTCCAAGCATACGCCCTAAACCACTCGGCCACGACATACTAAAAGCAATGCAATTTTTACGCTATCGACCCAATCGTAAAACAAATTTGTTGTTAAAGGGTTTTAAAATGGTTTTTGACGCTCGATAGGTTAGGATGGGCTGCCTAGTTTCCAACTTTCCTGGTTAGGCAAAACTACTGCAAATGTGGCACTTGTCAGAGCTTGAGAACGGACTCCCCCCCTCACTGAGTCAACATATTCCAGTTCTTAGTCTGTCTCGTATCTCTCCCAGGCATTATACAGTCAAATTTGGCTTGGCGCTTTCTCTCACCCCTTCACAACTCATCGCTGCCTGGTTGCCTTCCAGACTGTCAAATATATTTCTTCTTTCATGCTGCAAATCATTTCCAACGGCAGTTTACTTTTTATGGCACTAAGACGGGTCTCTATCTATACCCCAGTTACTCTAATGGGTCCTTATTGATCTCCACTCTAATGGGTCCTTATTTACATCTACTCTAATGGGTCTTTATTTACATTCACTCAAATTGGTCTTTATTTACGAAGGCCGTCTGCAAAGGTCTATTCTTCAAAGTTAGGCCACGTCTCCTCATTTAACCGGTCAGCTGGGAATTTACATAAAGAGTTAACTAGCCCAGGTATCACATTCGCGACGTACCTGCATGCACTTTGGATCCCCAACTAACCATCTAATAGGTCCTTATTTACATCTACTCTATAATATCTGCGTCCTCAATCGACAAGCAGGTTCTTAACAATCCCATCCAGCTGGCGAGCTCTTTAACAATCACAACCAACAATTTGGCTCTTAATAATCACAAGGAACCGGAAGTATTTTAACCATTGCAACCAACCAACAGACTTTACAACCACAACCAGTCAACAGGCTCTTAACAATCACCACCAATCAACAGGCTTTTAACAATCACCACCAATCAACAGGCTCTTAACAATCACCACCAATCAACAGGCTTTTAACACTCACCACCAATCAACAGGGCTTATACAGTCAATTCTGAAGGTACACATGTATCCACAGCCAATCAACACACACAGGCTTTACATCAACGGATAATCAGCACAGCACATTTTCCAGCAAATTCCCAGCAAACACACAACGCAATAGCGAGATTATATTTTGCATGGCGTACAGGCATTGGGACGAGGCTTCGACGTGGTGTGTTTGTTGGGTTAAAACGTACACACCCAGTGGGCACAGGTTGGGCAAACGACGTTGATCTAACGTTGAATCAACGTTGAAGATTTGGATCTAACGTTGAATCAATGTCGATAACGTTGAATTCGACATTGGATAACGTCTATAACATTGAATCAACGTAACTTGAACACAGTTTGCCCAATGGAAAGAATTGGTCTACCATCAGACTCAAAATTGCAATGCAGACTTAACTCTTTCAATGAGACATCAGTAACATAGGTAAGTGGAATTCTTTGGCTTTACACACACACACACACACACACACACACACACACACACACACACACACACACACACACACACACACACACACACACACACACACACACACACACATATATATATATATATATATATATATATATATATATATATATATATATATATATATATATATATATATATATATATATATATAGACAAAAGGAAGGGGGTGGTAGGAGAAAAGCACACAGAAACTGTATTGGAGGGGACCTAAACATACTCTCTAATGCGTTATGTGTGATTTCCTCCGAGGCTAAGGGTCCCCTTCTTCCAGCCAGAAGTGGTACTCTAAAAAAAAATTATCTATCTATTTGTCTATCTTTCTATCTATCTATCTATCTTGTCAGAACGCACTGCTTGACCTAATAGACAAGGCCCGATTTATCTAACAGGCAGAGTGATTTTTCGTTATTTTCGAATATTTCTTTTGAATTAATATTATTATATTACTGTATATTAGAACATGAATTACTGACCTAGTTATTTATATTAAGTTAGGTTAGGATAGGATAGGGTAGGTTAGGTTTGGTCATATTTTTACGATAGTTTAAACTCAAATTAAAACAAAAATGCTAAATATTATATAATATAATGGAAATATAATCAATCTATAAGAAAAAAAATGTCATTTCAGGAAAATTCGACTTGTTAGGCAAATTGAGCCTTGCATTCCAGGTCAAGTAGTTCATTCTGGCTATTAGGTACAATATATATGTATATATATATATATATATATGTCGTACCTAATAGCCAGAACGCACTTCTCAGCCTACTATTCAAGGCCCGATTTGCCTAATAAGCCAAGTTTTCCTGAATTAATGTTTTTTCGTCTACCTAACCTACCTAACCTAACCTAACCTAGCTTTTTTTGGCTACCTAACCTAACCTTACCTATAAATATAGGTTAGGTTAGGTTAGGTAGGGTTGGTTAGGTTCGGTCATATATCTTCGTTAATTTTAACTCCAATAAATAAAAATTGACCTCATACATAGAGAAAAGGGTTGCTTTATCATTTCATAAGAAAAAAATTATAGTAAATATATTAATTCAGGAAAACTTGGCTTATTAGGCAAATCGGGCCTTGAATAGTAGGCTGAGAAGTGAGTTCTGGCTACTAGGTACGACATATATATATATATATATATATATATATATGTCGTACCTAGTAGCCAGAACGCACTTCTGAGCCTACTATGCAAGGCCCGATTTGCCTAATAATCCAAGTTTTCCTGAATTAATATATTTTTCTCTATTTTTTTTCTTATGAAAAGATAAAGCTACCCATTTCATTATGTATGAGGTCAATTTTTTGTTATTGGAATTAAAATTAACGTAGATATATGACCGAACCTAACCAACCCTACCTAACCTAACCTAACCTATATATATTGGTAAGGTTAGGTTAGGTAGCCAAAAAAAGCTAGGTTAGGTTAGGTTAGGTAGGTTAGGTAGACGAAAAAACATTAATTCATGAAAACTTGGCTTATTAGGCAAATCGGGCCTTGCATAGTAGGCTGAGAAGTGAGTTCTGGCTACTAGGTACGACATATATATATATATATATATATATATATATATATATATATATATATATATATATATGTCGTACCTAGTAGCCAGAACTCATTTTTCAGCCTACTATGCAAGGCCTGATTTGCCTAATAAGCCAAGTTTTCATGAATTAATTGTTTTTCGACTACCTAACCTACCTAACCTAACCTAACCTAACTTTTTTTGGCTTCCTAACCGAACCTAACCTATAAAGATAGGTTAGGTTAGGTTAGGTAGGGTTGGTTAGGTTCGGTCATATATCTACGTTAATTTTAACTCAAATAAAAAAAAATTGACCTCATACATAATGAAATGGGTAGCTTTATCATTTCATAAGAAAAAAATTAGAAAAAATATATTAATTCAGGAAAACTTGGCTTATTAGGCAAATCGGGCCTTGAATAGTAGGCCAAAAAGTGAGTTCTGGCTACTAGGTACGATATATATATATATATATATATATATATATATATATATATATATATATATATATATATATATATATATGTCGTACCTAGTAGCCAGAACTCACTTTTTGGCCTACTATTCAAGGCCCGATTTGCCTAATAAGCCAAGTTTTCATGAATTAATTGTTTTTCGACTACCTAACCTACCTAACCTAACCTAACCTAACTTTTTCGGCTACCTAACCAAACCTAACCTATAAAGATAGGTTAGGTTAGGTTAGGTAGGGTTGGTTAGGTTCGGTCATATATCTACGTTAATTTTAACTCCAATAAAAAAAAATTGACCTCATACATAATGAAATGGGTAGCTTTATCATTTCATAAGAAAAAAATTAGAAAAAATATATTAATTCAGGAAGACTTGGCTTATTAGGCAAATCGGGCCTTGAATAGTAGGCCAAAAAGTGAGTTCTGGCTACTAGGTACGACATATATATATATACGGAACACGCAACAGTAATTTGGGCTGTAGAGCATATGGATCACTATATATATAAACAGTTATTAAACAGACATACAACAGGTATGATGTTAAAACAGATGACATATATATAGACGAAAACGGAGACAAGCATGGGACTTGGAGGGTGGACTCTCATGTTCTGAAGCATGTCAATTGTTTCAGTGAATTAAATATTATTACTAAGATCTTTAATCGAGGGAAAATGTCCTTGGTAATTAATCGAATACCTGCGAGCAATCAATTAATGTATTTTTTCTCAAGTTACATGTGTTCAAAATATATATATATATAGTTTTTGAATTACGCACAGATTATTTTTTAATAGTTACTCTTGGTTTAATGCAGCCTATTCTCATGTTTTGATAGTACTTAAAGTAATGATGAGGACCATAGTACATATACCGACGTATAATGCAGTTAGAAAGTAGAAATCGGTACTATTGAATTTGGACATAATTTTTTCGGACTATAAAGTGAATAGCATAATATTCTACTATCTTATTGCTTAGTACGTCGATATTTGTACTATGGTTCACATAGTTACAAAAACTACTATCTAAACAGGAGGATGGGTTGTTTAATGAGATAAGTGCATTGTACTGTATATATAAATACAAATTTTTAATAAAGGTGCAATATCTGAAATAAATAATATATATTTAAGAAGTATATATGTACATTGTTGATATTTCTAATTCATTCTCTCTTTGTCTTTCTCTATGAGAGAGAGAGACATTGACACCGTCTCTGTCACTATGTCTTTGTGTGTGTGGCGTCTCTCTGTCTTTGTCTCTCTTTGTCTGTCTCTCATTCATGTCTCCTTCAGTGAGTGTGTGTGTGTGTGTGTGTGTGTCTGGGGTATTTGTATCTCTCTCTCTCTCTCTCTCTCTCTCTCTCTCTCTCTCTCTCTCTCTCTCTCTCTCTCTCTCTCTCTCTCTCTCTCTCTCTCTCTCTCTCTCTCTCTCTCTCTCTCTCTCTCTCTCTCTACTAACTCCCTGTCTGCCTTGTTGCTGGCCCTGCAGGTTCATCAAGGGTTCGGAAGACCTCTTAAGAAACAGTTTGATTTTCTTCTCCCGGCTCATTGGTTCCTTCTTCTTCTGGGGCGAGTATGAGTTGTAGAGCAGCTTGTGGAACACCCTGGGGAAACACGGAATATAAGTAGCAGCTTATGACACACTCTGGGGGAACACGGAACAAAAGATAGCAGCTTGTAAACACCCTTGGGTAGGGGTGGGCCTTTGACAAAGGGTAGGTGTAAGTCTTGGGGAAGGTGTAGGTCTTAGGGAAGTGATGGGTCTTGGGGGAAGGGAGCCTTAGGAAATAAGGCTAAATAAGAATCTTAACAAAGGCTCTTATTTAGGTCTTATTATATTAATAGAGAAAAAGAGACCAATAGAAACTAAACATTCGGCAGAACAGACAAGTACGATATTTAAAGGCATATTTTCTGCATAACAAAAATGTATCTTTACATTATTTCGAAAATTATATCCCTCGTTTAATAATTTTCCCATATATAAGGGATACCGCATCAATCTAACTTTACAGCCGTTTTCTATTAGTTGTTCAAGTTGGTCTCTATACACACGCGTCCACAATATGCTGATATACCAGTATACTAGTATACCAGTATACTAGTATACCAGTATATATACTGGTCTTCTGCTATGGAATGTCTTCAACGCTCCTCTTTACTCTCTATATATATTCCTATGTCATACAACTTTACCATTGTAATCATTGCTGTTATCTTTTATCACGTTTTACACATAGTTTGCTACATTATAGTTTGTGGCAAATAATTTGTAGGGCATTTGCTACATATATTATTTTATACACATAGTTTGCTATATTATATTTTGCAATAATCCTCAAATTATGCTAAAATGTACCAATGGATAACCCTTAAATTTACTTTAATGTATCTACTTTTTTTGTTAAATTACTTATACAAAGTATCTTTTTACATATTCTTACAATGCATTTTTATACCTTCTTACAGTGCATTGTTATACATTCTTACTATGTATTTTTACTTTCTTGCTATGTATCTATAAACATTTTTTTTAATTTTGCTTGAATTTACCTTCTTAAAATTATATGAGCCAATAGGACTATATAACACTTGGATGGGATATGAAGACAGGATAGGAGCCTGGATATGAGGATAGGATTGGAGCTGGGATAATAGGACAGCGTGAGGGAACAGTACCCAACCACTTGGACCATCAGGAATCGAATGGCAACCTTATAAGAAGCGAGGTCGTCGTTCTACCGACCAGTCCAAGTGGATAGATAGGAGAGCCGAGGAGGAGGAGGAACAGCACTTTAAGATGAGTCCCTACCTGCTGCGGGCGGCCAGCACAGCCTTCACAGCACAGACGGGCTCTCGCGTGTCCCCCACCAGGAAGGTCACGTCACACAGCTCCGGCATGGACGCCAGGAACTTCATGTCCTCCGCTAGACCCGTCTTGTTCTCAAAGGTGGAGAAGTCCGGTTCGTCGCTGAGCGCGCCCGCCATGGCGATCGCCTGCTCCAGCATGCTGTACCTGATCCCGGAATAGTAGTAGAAGTAGTAATAGTAGGGATCCTGGTGTCATATAACTGGAACCATATTCCAGTTATAGTGGTCCTTGATGACTCTATTGCTGTATTCACTATTTGTGTTTACTATTACTGTCTGCAGGATCGAGTTCTTTGGTCCTGGACCCGACCATTCAGCCGTCGGTTGTCTAATGTACTGACTCCCGACTTATTTTTCTTTATCATATATGCTACATATGTTCTCTTCCTGTGTGTCTGTGTCACACAAGAGGGTAGAGCAGAAGACGCCCTCTGACCCCTACATGAGAGAAGGCTGAGAGCTTCCCCTCTCATGCCTTATGGTAACTTACCTTACTGGGGTTGCCCTGAAAATACGACCCGACAATCTGTTTTATTCCTTGTCCTCATTTACTACTGGTGAAATGGGGTGAACAGTTATGGATTGGTTTCCAGTCAGTTCTTCCCCCCTTTTGGCAAAGGGCGGTGTGTGTGTGTGTGTGTGTGTGTGTGTGTGTGTGTGTGTGTGTGTGTGTGTGTGTGTGTGTGTGTGTGTGTGTGTGTACTCACCTAGTTGTGTCTGCAGGATCGAGCATTGACTCTTGGATCCCGCCTTTCGAGCATCGGTTGTTTACAGCAATGACTCCGGTCCTATTTCCCTATCATACCTAGTTTTAAAATTATGAATAGTGTTTGCTTCCACAACCTGTTCCTTAAGTGTATTCCATTTTCCCACTACTCTCACTCTAAAAGAAAACTTCCTAACATCTCTGTGACTCATCTGAGTTTCCAGCTTCCACCCATGTTCCCTCGTTCTGTTACTATTCCGTGTGAACATTTCGTCTATGTCCATTCTGTCAATCCCCTTGAGTATTTTATACGTTCCTATCATGTCCCCCCTTTTGCTCTTGAGTTATGTGTTGAGAGAGAGAGAGAGAGAGAGAGAGAGAGAGAGAGAGAGAGAGAGAGAGAGAGAGAGAGAGAGAGAGAGAGAGAGAGAGAGAGAGAGAGAGAGAGAGAGAGCAAATAGGTGTGTGCGTGCGCGCATTTCAGACCTCTAAGCCCAGTACTAACCAGTCTCAGGATGCAGCCCCTAGAAACTGTCTTAATTCCTAAACACCAATATACTGCTAGGTGAACAGAGGCATGAGCTGAAAGGAACGGAAACACTTCCTATTTGTTCTCTCTCTCTCTCTCTTCTCTTCTCTCTCTCTCTCTCTCTCTCTCTCTCTCTCTCTCTCTCTCTCTCTCTCTCTCTCTCTCTCTCTCTCTCTCTCTCTCTCTCTCTCTCTCTCTCTCTCTCTCTCTCTCTCTCTCTCTCTCTCTCTCTCTCTCTCTCTCTCTCTCTCTCTCTCTCTCTCTCTCTCTCTCTCTCTCTCTCTCTCTCTCTCTCTCTCTCTCTCTCTCTCTCTCTCTCTCTCTCTCTCTCTCTCTCTCTCTCTCCTCTCTCTCTCTCTCTCTACACCTCTCTCTCTCTCTCTCTCTCTCTCTCTCTCTCTCTCTCTCTCTCTCTCTCTCTCTCTCTCTCTCTCTCTCTCTCTCTCTCTCTCTCTCTCTCTTCTCTTCTCTCTCTTCTCTCTCTCTCTCTCTCTCTCAACAAAGGAACTCAAGAGCAAAAAAAAAAAAATTTGAAAATCAACAGTTGGAGTGAAAGGTTTATGCCCCACAAACAACAAACAATAGCCCACTTGTTTGACCTGGATTCACAGTGACGAGGTGCCTTCAGTGATCCTGTCTGCATCTCACTCACGCACTCAAAGAGTGCGTTTGAGTGCGTGTTTGAGGGCATTTACACCTTCACCTCCGAAGGATCACGATAATATTCGACAAAGAGGTGTTTAAGGAAACGCCTTATGGGAACCAACATTTTAGAAATGGGAAAGAGGTCTTTTGTAACAGTTTACCGGGTAACACAATACACGTGGGATCGTTGGGTTGTTTCAAGCGTAGGTTAGACATATATGTGTGTGAGTTTGGGTGAATATAAATAGGAACTGCCTCGTATGGACCAATAATCCTTCTACAGTTTTAATTTATTCTTACGTTCTTAGTTATTCATTGTATTACTTTCATATTCTTCTATTGACAATTACTTACGTTCATATCCTTACGTTCTTATGACATTTCCCTCACTACTGCGGGCTAAATCCATTTCTGTATTGGAGGGAATTCTCGACATATCTATTAAAAATAAAAGTAATTTTTTTATCGATTATGGCACTCAAATTTCAAAAATTTGTAATAAACTTGACGAGTTTGGGACGAATCTTTAAGAAACGGAGTCAGGATTTATCACAGCGCCTCAGTATCCACGAACGAAACCAGTACATCTATCCTCAATTATGGAAGCTTAGTTTCCGGAGCACTACGAGGTTGTTTATAACAATAACAACCTTGGGTCGGTGACGACCTCGCAGCGTTTCACAACTCGTAAACTGTTTAGGAAATACAGACTCAGCTGCCATGATCGAGGAAAGATGTATGGGTTTCGTAACTCAGCACATAAGTGCTTAGTGAATTCTAGCGAGTGGACCCTCAACACCTGTTCCTCCTCTTACCCCCCCCCACCTGTAACCTGTTCCTCCTCTCCTCCCTCCCCCCCACAATCTGTCCCTTTTCTGCCCTTTCTTGTTAATAATCCCCTTCCCATATCACCCCCTCCCCTTCCCATATCACCCCCTCCCCTTCCCATATCACCCCCCTCCCCTTCCCATTTCACCCCCTCCCCTTCCCATATCACCCCCTCCCCTTTCCATATCACCCCCCTCCCGTTCCCATATCACCCCCCTCCCCTTCCTCGTGACTGACCTGCGCCCCTCCGTCATGGCGTCAGGGGTGATGACGTTGGGGGGGGTTCCGTCAAACATGAGGCTGGTGTTGGGGATGCTTGCGTGGTGGGAGTGGGTGCGGGATCAGGCGCGCCTGTGCTCCCAATTGGGTGTTGTTGGTCACGACTCCCCTAGGCCTGCCTCACTAGAATCCCGTCTCACTAGCGGCCTGGCTAGCGGCCTGCCTGGGAAGGGCGCCCATCGACACCACCCGCTCTGGTACCTGGAGCCATTTTCATGTTATTCTAAATTAAATTCGTCCGGAAGTTAATTTTTTTCAATTATCACAGAAGTTCATTGGACGTTTGAGATACATTTTCGACGTTAGGTTCTTGTGGCTGCTGCATCTGTCAGCAGGTGTTAGACACAGCTGGTTCATCCATGTATTTCCAACACTCCTGCCCTCCACGCTCTGCCTCTGTCACAACACACGGCTCTCACTCATAACAAGAACTTATAGATCAGTCACTAGGTGTTCCCCCGCGTTCAAGAAGAGGTCGCCTTCTCTCCAGCATTCGAACAGCAACATCTCCCACTCGCCGGAGACTGCCTCGTCCGTATGGCTCAACCCTGACAGGTGGTGGCATCCGAAGTCCAAACTGTACGACCTTCCTGCAGCGCTTTCTCCCGGAACTTCGTCCGGGTGAGAGGTCTCGGAGGCTCTGCCTAGCTCTTAGACCATTTTCCTGCTGCTGTGACTCGCAGTCGTTTATACGAGAAGGTTATAAATTGAGGAAGGCACTCGGTGGCAGGATATCGGACTGGGGTGTATTGATCGAAAGCAACAGGCTGCCACTGGTGACGCCCCCGCGCGCGCGCACGTAACCAAAGAACCCATTTTCTTTATATCACCTCGCCGTCTGCACGTCAGTGACGTACTGCGATAATAACTTATTTATACAAATATTCACTTATTTATACCCACAGCGTTACGTTCTTTGTGATATTTCCATTTATTTACTTTTATCATTTCATTTATCACGTGTTATGAAGCGTTTGTATTTAGCTTACTGGTATAAAGCACTGTTGTTCTAAACAAAATTGTAATTTCAGAGTTATATAGATAATTACAAAATCCAACGCTGTTGAGATCTTTGAATTATAGAAAGATGTAATTACATATAATATAATTTTTCTTCAACGCAAACGTATTGGCTTAGCGGGAAAAGGCTTGCTATTTGCTAATGACTTTTAGACATAACATTAAATGATATTTAAATGTGATATTTGAAAAATTATTGAATTTTATACTAAATAGTTATTAATGATACTGCTGGAATTAACATTTAATTGTATGGGTTCCTCTTGTAGTTAAAGTTCATTTTATACAGGTAGTCAAGACAGGTGGTTGAGACAGGTGGTCAAGACGTGACACTTAACGCTAATAATGTACCTTGGGAGATTAAACTTACAATGAAAAATTATAGTGTATCATAACTTTAGCTTTTTAGTATCGGGGAACAAATAGGGTTATATTGTTCATGAGCTGGTCGATATCATTCAGTTTCAACTTTGCATTGTAGAATTAAATAGAAGCGTTAGAAATGGCGGGTAGATGCACCGATATGGAAGAGACGTGTTGCCAGAGGTACGCGACACAACGGTGATATTCCCACTTGTCCCACAGAGAGGTGCAGTCAAGACCGTAAGCTGTTAAATATACCTGAATGAGTTACAGCATTTGGGCCGTCCTAGTTCTTCCCCTAGGTGCCCTTAAGGGCACGAGAACATAAACATTAAAATTATAACACACAGAGATCACACTAAAGTGATGCATTAAATGAACAAATCCACAAGGGCCGTGACGAGGATTTGTTCATTAAAATTATATACCGACGGCCTTCTGCTCCTTGCGACGCAGCACCTGTATATATATATATATATATATATATATTAAACCACTCGTATTCAAGAACGTATTCAATGAGTGCATGAAATTGTTATGTGAGTTTGCTTCGACGTTGAGAGTTGATAACTGATCAGTAACCAAAATAAATTACTATTTCATATGAAAAATAGATATGACATGTTGCCTGAAAAGACTTTGAAAAGTTGCACAAGTTGCTGATAGCTATTTGGATAAGATGGGGCAAACAGGACCTATCTTTCTGCAAGCATTGTAAATCAGACCCACAGAAAAAAAAATACCTGAGATTTAATTCAAAACAAGTTTGTTTCACCTCATATTCCACGTGACGTTGGTAAGCAAGATGACGCGAGCGTGAGAGCCACACTACCGGGGTGTCTAAATATACTTTTATTTTCCTGGAGTGGAGTTCCGGCAGGTATGTAAAGTGGAACAAGGTGTCCCCGCACGCGGAAGCGAGAGAGGACAGTAGGATATGACCACCGGGAAGTGTATATACCTCGCTTCTCGGTGTATATACACTGAGAGTTGACTTTAGTCTTGGACGTTATTCAGGACTAAAGTATACTTGCTGGTCGGTCAGTACTTGCGGTGGCCTTAATTAACCCTCCAGAGGTTGATAAGCTTTAAGCCCAACATCAACCGAGGCTACGGGCCGGACGGCTCACATGGACGCTAACACGATTATCTGGCCATCACGGCAGCAGGTGTGTAGGAAGGCTTGGGGGTGTATGACTCACTGTGCTGTTGTATGTCACGTACATGTATCACGCATGATAAGGAAGGGGGGATAAACCTAGTGTATGATGTTAGTAACTAATGACAAATTGTGATCTATGGTGTCCTTTCTGTTGGATATGTATACAAGCAAATTGTACATGTTTCAGAACATCTTTCTTAGCCTAGAATATATAATTTGTGAGGCCGTCGCTTGAGACACCAATGTGCAAAATGAAATCACAATAGCATAATATATTTATGAGGAAATCTTGGGAGCAGGACAATGGGATCGAACGCACGTACTGGGTGGCACCAGACGCGCGCATTATGGCCGAGTGGAGGTACACAGGGAGAGACAGGGAGACATGGGATCCTTCAGACCACACAGAAGTCGATTAAGGCAGCGTCTGGGATGCTCTCGGACGTAGGGTTCGAATCCTCGTCACGGCTCTTGTGGATTTGTTCATCTTTCAGAAGCTTAGCATTTTGGCCATAGGGAGAAGAATTCCCATTTATGTAAGAGGAATTGTCTGGTTTTGGGTCCTTCTTAATGTAGTAGAGCCCATAAAAGGAAAGTTTTCATCTAGATCGTTTCTCATTACAGACAATAGTTTTGGTGTTGTTTTAAGCTCATTTCGTGTGTATGGTGATGAGCTTGAACATAACATCACATCACGCATACATACACGCACATTCATCATTAAACAATGAATAAATAAATAAAATAGTTGGATGTCCACTTACGACATAGCCTTAATGTCGAAGCATATGAATGGGTGACCCGGATGCGGGTCGTAACTTTTCGTTCTCATGGCCATCCTAAGCTGTTTGTGAATGAAGTATATTTTTACACCCAACTGCTACCCTATCTCAAGGTAAGGCAATTGTCAGGAGAAAGCGCCAAGCATTACAATTATATAGCATTTGGGAAGGATGAAGATAAGGATTTGGGAAAGGATGGAGGGAAGGAAAGGTGTGGACCTTGCCAAAGGCGCGTATATAGATATATCTCAGGTTGTAATAATATTTTTATTAACAAAAATTCTATTGCACACAGAAATCACAATAACGTGATGCATCAAATGAACAAATCCATCAAATGAACAAATCCTCGCCACGGCCCTTGTGGATTTGTTCATATAAAAATTCTATTGTGTATTATGGTTTTGGCATAAGTTGGATTGAAGCGGGTGGTTTGGTTCTGCTGCAAATTGTTTAAGCTCATCTTGAGGCCGTGATCGTCCAAACTGTGGCTGACTCTAAGGTAATATCTGATAACTTTTTACCTATGTAATAAAAATCTATAATTTCTAAAGCATAAATTAAATTTTTATTGCGTCGTCTGTTTTGTTAACTTTTTATTAAAGTTTTGTCTTGAGTTAGATCTAGGGTAGGTTAGGTTAGTTGTCTCAGTTCTGTTGAAAATTATTTGTATATGCATGAAATTATATTGTATTTTTGTCCAGGCCTGGTCGACGACCGGGCCGCGGGGACGCTAAGCCCCGGAAGCACCTCAAGATAACCTCAAGGTATGCAATACGTGCGTGAGATATGTGCAGAGGAGAACGTCCAACACCGGAAGTATAAATATACTTTGTTGAACGAAGAATAGTTCCATTAAAACTAAAACGTAATCACTTCAGTCACCTACATAACAAATTTAACTTATAAACGAGGCTACAGCTGCTAAATTAAAGAGCTTTGAACCATTGTTTTGATTATGATATATTTGGAGACCTCTCCTTTGAACATAGGCAGTGAATGAAGCCCTGTTTTCTGAGAGGAATTTACCCTAAGCGTTTTTGAGGCTGATAGATTGCAGAACTTTTTGTCCAGTGTTTTCAGAACGAGTTGCACGACTTGCAGTTGATTACGTCCGACCTTTTCTCCAAAAACTCTTACTCAAAGTTTGTACGTTAAATTAACTTCTGCACAAGATTCACCCGCGTGCTTGAAATGCAAATACATTCCAACAGACACAAAACCAAAACAGTTTTATCTCACAACATAATTATTATATTTATTTGTTAGTGTAGGTTAGGTGTTTTAACATATAACAAAAATAATAGTACATATGACGACTATTGGGTGTATCTACAAGATATGAACAGGTGCATCCAAAAAAAAAAAGATCAGAAAAACGCAACAGCCTATCTGAAGTAACAAGAATATTTGTTACCCGATTGCCCGAAACGCTATGCGTACTAGTGGCTTAAGGTATTATATGTACTATCTCTATCTTTAAATCCATCATTATGTATGTAACTCAATGGATGTACCTTTACCTGAATAAAGAATCTGAATCTGAAGAAACATTCTTAAACTTAATATAAACAAATGATAGATGTGCTTCAGTACACACATGTAGTGGATGGACGAGGCTTCCTGGAGCTCGGGGTAGTCCATGCACCAGTCTTTCTTGTTTTCTCAAGTGATTCGTCCAGTAGTGATAGAGTCTTTGCCGGGCACACACACGATGTGCTCGTGTGTGTTGAAGCATGACGTCACACGGTATAAGGAACTTCCGCTCTGGACAAGGCTACAGAGCTCGCTAGTGGTACGGGAACAATAGGCTAGAGCAGCGAGCCTCATTTAGCTGTTTATGGGCGACTGTAACCATGTACTGCATCGTTTAATTACTTTCATTTTTATATTAATGATTTGCATACGATCATCTGTCTTCAAAAGTTTTCTAAACATATTATGGAAACCTTTTCACTTCAGCCAAGAATGTATTTGATTTGTTCACTGTACTGCAAGAATAGGAACTGAAAGTGTCTAATTAATATAAACAGGATGGCAACTCGTACACATTGTGTAGTGATGGGCCTGTGCATGGTCACAATTGCAAGCTTATCTAGTTGATAGTCAGCATTAGAGGAGAGAGGACGAACCCCTAACAGTACCAGTTTCAAAATAAGCCAAGCTGAACACACAAACTTGGTATCATGAGTGCTTCAACATGGATTTTAAAATGTTACATTTTCTTCGCACCATTTGCTTCAGGAATACATGTATGTTTATATATAGCTGGTTCTTTATTGAAGTATGGTAAAAAAAAAAAAGTCTGGCTTTTCTGACAAACTTGTGAAAATTGAATTAGATATTAACTCTGTGCCTCCAAACTCTTTATAAGTTTGGCCAATCTTCAGGTGGTGATACTTTTAGTACATTATGGTTCATTGGGTAATGCGCGCGTCTGGAGTAACCTGGGACGCGAGTTCGAGTCCACTTCCTTGCTCTTAAGATTTTTCTCCGCCTTGCAAGATACTCAAGATATTTAAGGGTATTGAGATATGGAGACTTTCTATGACAGTCGGATATTTCTGCTAAAGACTCGTCTCTAAATGTTAGAGTTTTCGGATTCTTGTTACAATATTTTTTTTAAAGTGGATACACATAAGGTGAAAATTCCTGTACGGTTGTTCTTAGTAAAGAACTTGAACGATTAGACTGGTTTTGTAAGTGGTGGGGTTTCTCGAACAACTGTGTTACTGGCATGTTGAGGCTTCATATTCAATGATATTCTTTCAAGCACAACATTCTCGAACAATGAAGTGTATGATATCGTGAGGTTTTGAGTGTTCTTAAGCTTCAAGATGAAGTAAGTGTTTTGATATCGTGAGGTACTGACTGCTCTGAAGCTTTAAAGTTGAACGTTGTGGGGCCTTTATGTTTGACAGAAATGTAATCTTATGGTGCATTAAATCACCCGCTGCAGTGAGCGTCAAGGTTCATTTTGCCTTCTAATGTGTTGAAACTACTGCAGAATTAATCTTATTAGTTCGGTGTAGTCTTCATACTCTGAGACTTACCGTTGTGCGTTGTCAAGGTAATGTTAGAGTTCATGTTAGTTTCTCACCTCAACTTTAGGCTAAGCTCGTCTTAGTTACGACCAACTCCAAAGATACATTCATAAATTTATATTTTCTGAAAAATAAATGAATAATAATGTATACAGTATTATCATTTTGTGTATGGTGGTTAGGTGGTTTGATTCTGTTGACATATATGACATTTGCAGTACGTTGGTAAAGCATTCAAATAACCCATCCTCAGGGTAAGGCTGATTCCTCAATTATTCCTTGTCTATTAAACTATTGTTTCTAATTTAAATCAATAATCATATAATAGTTTTGTGTGTAGTTATGAAGGGGACTGTGTGTGTGTGAAGCGGTGACGCGCTAGGCTGTATGGTGATAAAAAAGTCTTTGGCGGACGGAAGTAGAGCTCTTGTGACTGAATTAATTCTCAGCAAATAGATGGGGACATTCAAGCATCGAATTTCCTTTGTATATAAACTCAAATAAAGTGTAGTTGTACATATGATAACATCTGATCGTTGTTCATGTTACATTAAGGAAAGGAGATCTTGCTGTCAGACTGCAGTGCTACATTTTATAACGGAATAAATCTCTCAGGAAGACAATGTTTGTTTCAGATCCATTTGGCGGACACTGGCCAGCATCTTCACCCAATCCTCGAGGCCTCCACCTTCCCTCTTCACCCACGTAAGTTTCGCACCATCTACACTTTTCCACCTCGAACCTTCACGCTACGCCCACTACCCACCCACCCCCATGTAATGAGCCCTACCCACCTCCGCCCACGCTGGCTAATGCCTACAACCCACTGACCGCTGAATTATATGGTGATACGTTAATTAATGTATCGTTTTGTGTTTGTGTTAATTGAGTTTACCTTATGGGTGAGCAGCGAGCGAGTACAGAGTGTTGCGGTGGAGGAGTCGCGCTCGTCGTTCCTTGGAGACCAACCCCGCGAGATCACTCTCCCTCCAACTGCCCTTCGGAGACACCGAGCTCAATCTCCTCCTTCACAAGGTCGACCTTGCCTCTCCCGAACTCAAGCTAAGGTAAGTGTTCTACGTCCCCCGATTGCCACTTTGCTTTCGCATATCTGTCATTGTGATTCTCTTTCTTGTACGTTAGGTGATCCTTCCCCAAATCAAGATCCCGATATTACATAATAGATGGTGTCAATGTCTGTCGACTTTCTTGAAAGCTATAGTCTACACAGCAAGCTCCTTCCTTATTTCGGTAACTCTTTCTCAACACTCTGTTCGTCTGGCATGATTTTTCACTTCTAAATCCGTGTTCTCTTTTAATTACGTTTCTTATTCTTTAAAGATCCTCCTCACTCCTCTTCGTAACTTTCTCCAACACTTTACAAAGAATGTCAGAGATACAAGTTTGCAGGTCGCTTGCACCCTTTCTTGAATATCAGCACTTCATTTGCAATTTTGCATATCTTCGGAAGCATATATACGGGTCAATTTAGCATATATATATCCGTGATATAGAGTCTGCTGTCCTTTCCTGTAATACTTTTAATTCAGTTAGTTTTCTCTTTATTTTCTCCTAAGTAACCAAAGTATGCATCATTGTTATTGATGTGCATCTCCCGTCACTCATATCCGGTCTACACTCTAATTGCATCTGGAAAACCTTTTGCAATTGCTTGAGGCGTTTTGACGCCTTGTGGCTCTCCGTAAAGTCTTTTCGATGTTTAGCCTGCTTATTTGGATCTTGATTGTAATTTGTTCTCATATTTGTAACATTCTAATAGTTAGGACTTGTGTTCACCTTCGTCGTTGTCATATTGATTCTCTGATGTACTCTTTTTCTCGCCCTCTATAGTTCGCTTCAATACACACAGAAATGACAATAGCGTGATGCATCAAATGAACATATCTACAAGGGTCGGATTAGCTCAGTCGATTAAGGCAGCGTCTGGGATGCTCTCGGACGTAGGTTCGAATCCTCATCACGGCCCATGTAGATTTGTTCGCTTCAATGTTTCGTTTCCTGTGCTTTATTTAACGATGAGGATGGCGATGATGACGAAGGTTGCTTTGATTCCCTCTCTTGCACATGGCTGTTTTTTTCTAATTGCCCTCTTTCGAGAAAAGGTTGACATTTCTTGCAACTTTTCAATACTTCTGGGCACCGTTCCGGTGTTTCATTCTGCGTCTTTTCCTCTGGTGTTCGCTGACTTCAGACACGATGCTGACTCTTATTATTTTCTCTGGTTTAGAGTTTCGTTTTATGTACAATAATTGGTCTTTTTCGTTTGTTGACTGGTGGGTCTAGTTCTCTTATTGCGTAGTGGCTTCTGGGGTTCCTCTCGATTTTCCACATTATAATTGCTTTACATTTGTCGGGGGTTAAAGCCAAGTAGCAACATCGTAGACCAACTTTGAATTTTGCTGAGATCTTTGTAGAGATTTGTGCACTACTTCTCCGTCTTGACCCTTCTCATTAATCTCCGCCATCCGCGAACATCAACGTGTATACAGGACTCTACTCCCATTATCAGCTCTCTTACACATACCAGGATCTACAGCCTTACACATGAAGGCTGTAGATCCCTATGTTTCCGACACCCCTTTGTGTGTGTGTGGAGAGAGAGAGAGAGAGAGAGAGAGAGAGAGAGAGAGAGAGAGAGAGAGAGAGAGAGAGAGAGAGAGAGAGAGAGAGAGAGAGAGAGAGAGAGAGAGAGAGAGAGAGAGAGAGAGAGAGAGAGAGAGAGAGAGAGAGAGAGAGAGAGAGAGAGAGAGAGAGAGAGAGAGAGAGAGAGAGAGAGAGAGAGTTAGCGAGAGAGACGCATTTCCCTAACACTGATATTTTCTCCTTTCTTTAAACTTGATATTTTCTTCATTCTCAGCTTCCACGATCAGTCCGGCAAGGACGAGAAAGTCAATGTTCAACTTGACTGTTTCTACGCCGGCGGCAACAGCAGCACCTGGGCGGTGATATCCACCTGTACTGGCCTGGTAAGTGGGCCAAGGTTTGTTGTTGTTGATTGTGGAGAGGACAAGTTGCGAGGGATGAAGCAGGTTGCAAGTCAGGCGTAGCATCTTGCAAGGCCAGATAATGCTTCGGGGGGCGTGTTGTATGTTGCAAGGATACATATATATATATATATATATATATATATATATATATATATATATATATATATATATATATATATATATATATATATATATATGTAGCATATTGCAAGTGGATGTACAATACAACATAGGGTTCAGCACGTCGCTAAGGCATGGATCATGTTGCAGGTGTACGAAACGACCCACCTAACCCATTGAGGCCGATGGATAGATAACGTCAATATTTTAGAGCTTAACCTTTTCCTAAAGAAAAAACATGACCTTCACGAATATAGAAATTGATTGGGGTTTTAGCATTATGTTTGTCTTAAATGTTTTGTTCCTTATCCTCATATCCCAGCTCCTTGTCCTCATATCCCAACTCCTTGTCCTCATATCCCAGCTCCTTGTCCTCATATCCCAACTCCTTGTCCTCATATCCTAGCTCCTTGTTCTCATATACCTTTCAAGTGCCATATATAGCCATACAGAGTTAACGTTTTCTAGCAATGACTGCTATATTTTCATTTTCGTCTGGTCTGAGTTGGTGTGGGTGTCCCGCAGATGGGTATGGTGGAGCAGGGAGGCGGGAGCTACCAGGTGGAGGAGGTGGAGCAGGACGAGCACCAGGTGGAGGAAGTGGAGAGGGGGCAGCGCCAGGCGCGACTTCGAAGAAGCGCCAGAGACACTCTGGTGGTGATCTATCCGCTCAAGACTGATCTCGCACAGGACACAGGTCAGTCAACTTCCCTCTCTCTCTCTCTCTCTCTCTCTCTCCGTTAAGTGGATTTTGGGAAAGTTTAAAGTTCGTGTTGATGAATATGTTGAGTTTTAATGTAGAAAGGTTATAACTTCTCACTGCCTCGGTGTTTTCTTCGGCGTGTTTCATGATAGGGTTCAGGCGTGATGTCACAGCCCAAATGCCTTCTCCTTTGCCACTACATCATCTTTCTTTACTAGGTTTCTATCTCTCCTCATTACTAGTTTACTAGCTCTCATCTTTACTAGTTTACTAGCTCTCATCTTTACTAGTTTACTAGCTCTCATCTTTACTAGTTTACTAGCTCTCCTCTTTACTTTACTTGAAGATGGTGGTCTTTAGCTCTTGTTGAATAAAAGTTCCGTGTCAAAAGTACTTTGCCGATCAGTTTTGTTTCCAGCTATTATTTCCTGTTACGTAGTGATGAATAAAGTGCAATCAACGATATTAATAATAATCCCCTGAATCCAACAGTTCTTTCCCCAGTTATGCCGGACTTCGACGAAAACATCGACAGTATCACCTCTCAAACGCCGTTCTCCACGACCTCAATGTCCCTCAATGATTCGACCACGGACAACGAGATCGCCACGGCACCTAGTTGGCGAGGAGGTCGCGTACGGCGTCGGACAAGACAAGACTCTCAATATACAGTCGAACTGGCAGTCTTCGTAGACCGTGAACTGTTCTCGTACGTGAAAAAGCGTTACCCTAATCAGAAAACTGGCGCCAAGGTGGTTGAAATCGTCATGACCTTGGTTAATGCTGTACGTTCCCCTGCCATTTATGGTTTTTTGATCATAACTAAACTGTATATGATATAATGATTATGCTGAATGTTAAAGTTGATTAGATTATGTAACACATATCCCCATCCTGTGGGCGGTAGTAGAAAAGGTTTCAGAGACATACAGTGGGCTCAGGAACTGAACCCTAGTAGTAGTTTAGGTAAATAAGTTACAGCACTGTTGAGCTAGTTACGTAATTTGTTAACTTAAATCACAGTATCTTCACAGTCCATTCAACTAACATCACCGTAAACTAAAGGGACCCAAACAAGAGTAAGTGTGTTATCTGAGCCAGTTACTTATCATAACATGCAGGAATATCCCTGCAAAACAAAAATAATAATAATAATAATAATAATAATAATAATAATAATAATAATAATAAGAAGAAGAAGAAGAAGAAGAAGAAGAAACTACCTATTGTGCACCCCATAACCATCCAGGGAAGACGTAGTGAGAACGTCACTACTAGAATGATATAGGTCGTATGTAGTGCAGATGTGGTCCCTGCTCTTCATTCAGACAATGCTAATTACCCCAGTTAGTATACAACACAGCCCTTAACAAAGATTATGAGCTAAATTAAGTCTAGTTAACTGAAATAATGATAGGAGTTTCAACGTTACACGGATACAGTATTCTTTCAAAGCCTTAATAACGTCCTCGATGTGCACAGGTGCACAGACTGTACTCTGACCCCTCGCTCGGAGACGTCAAGATCAAGATGCTGGTGAAGAGGATAGAGGTCCTGGGCAGCGGCGAGCCGGACAATGCAAGGGGCAACATCTTTAAATATCTCAAAAATTTTTGCAAATGGCAATCTAAAATCAACACCAAGGTAAACACCATCGGAAATTATTAGATTTATTGTTGTAAATTATTTTATTATTTGGCGTGTGGTTAAGCTGAGATTTTACTTGGACACTGTCCAGGACTAAAGTACTCTTGTTAGCTGGTCAGTAAGCTATTGTAATGGCCTTAATAACCCACAGTTAATAGTTCTTAAACCTTACACAAAACCTAAAACATCTATTACAAACTTTCATATATTTAGCATTTATTTTAAGTTTGTTTACCGGTGGTAACAGAGCACGTCCAAGGGGTGGGACCACGCCCTCCTGCTCTCGGGTCATGACCTGTGGAACTCGGCGCCCTCCAAGAATACAACAGTGGGTCTGGCCTACGTGGGAGGAATGTGCTCCCGCTCGTACTCCTGTACCGTGAATGAGGCCACATCCCTGGCTGCTGCCTACATCATTGCTCACGAGATGGGACACAAGTGAGTTCATAGCTGCCATCTTGACTACGATTGACAATGGATATCTCTGTGTGTCTTTTAATATTAAGAATATGTTCTTATTACTGACCGGTTTATCACGTTCTATCCGGGTTTTAATATTGAGTAGCTATTGTCAAATGGGATTATTTTGTACAAATATTTTATGTATAAAAGTAGTTTTTTTATAGATAATTTATTGTATATTTATCTGTCTTTCGATATTATGTTCTTTTATTCATCTCATATGAGAGTCTAACCCCTTTTCAAAAAGGGAGTTAGTTATGAAGAAAAGGCATTAAGCCATTATGACTATGGAGCACTTGAAAGAGGTCAGGATAAGGATTTGGGATAAGATTGAGGGAAGGAATGGTGAACTGACAACAATGATGTACATATTTTCATTTGATGCAGATCTGTAATGACATACATTTATTAATATATAATTCTGCGTAAAAGCAACATTGAAGACACTACCCCTCATTGGATAGTGAGCCGAGCTCACTATCCTTGCTAAGTAACCGACTCCTACTCCAGCTGTGTTGTGATTTTATGGTGACATTATTGACCATAGATGACAGTGAGGTTGTGGCCTGGGAGGAGTTACTTGCCTCCTGACGGGTGTTGCTTCCTGACGGGTGTTTCCTGTCTCCTGATGGGCGTTTCCTGCCTTCTGACGGGTGTTTTCTGCTCCTGACGGGTGTTTCCTGCCCCCCTGGCGGGTGCTTCCTGCCCCCCTGGCGGGTGCTTCCTGCCCCCCTGGCGGGTGCTTCCTGCCCCCCTGGCGGGTGCTTCCTGCCCCCCTGGCGGGTGCTTCCTGCCTCCTGACGGGTGTTTTCTCCCCCACAGCCTGAACATGAAGCACGACGGGAGCGGCCAGGCCACCCGGTGCCGGAGAAACGAGTTCATCATGTCCCCCGTCATGTCTTCGGGAGCCACCACCTGGTCCTCCTGCGCCAGGGACGCTCTCAATACCTTCCTCGCCAACAGGTAGGTAGGTAAGCCTCCGTAGCACGTGCACACACACAGTTGAGTTTACAGTTTATAGTTGTTTACACAGGATGACACACAGTTTGCAGTTGAGAGGCAGGACCAAAGAGCCAGAGCTCAACCCCCGCAAGCGCAGATAGGTCAGTACACACACACACACACACACACACACACACACACACACACACACACACACACACACACACACACACACACACACACACAAGGAGAGAAAGTCAAAGAAGGGCAGCGTGTTAATTATTTAATATAAAACGTTATATTGCAGGAACTCATGAAAAAGAATAAGCCTTCATAATAGACATCAAATATCACATATAAAGTTCTAACGTATGGTTAGTATTATCAAGACCTTCATTGTTGCAGCCAGGGCGGCTAGTTTATTGTGCACCCCATACTCGTCCTGTGAGTGGTAGTTTATTGTGCACCCCCATACTCGTCCTGTGAGCGGTAGTTTACCGTGCACCTCATACTTATCCTGTGAGCTGTAGTTTACCGTGCACCACATACTCATCCTGTGAGCGGTAGTTTATCGTGCACCTCATACTCATCCTGTGAGCGGTTGTAGGAGAGGAGTAATGGATAGTTTCATTCAACGCTGAATGGTCTTAATCCCATCCCAGTGAATGTTCTTTGACATTGTTTTTCCGCAATCTATCTGCACACAGTATATTTAATTACAATACCACTTTCAAGAAACTAGATGCCACAGCATACGCTGCAACTGCTCTACATGGCAATGTAATTAATATTACACAGTCAAACCAAGTCATTGATGTAAGGTGCTGTTAAGCCCGTCTCCTCGTCCTCTAGCAATGATTACCTCACTTCAGGTAGAAATAGAAATATAACAGAAGGAGGGTAGAAATTGCCTAAGCTATTCTATCCCTTTTGAGACGTATTTTATTGTCTCAATAAACGTACTTGAACTTAAACCTCACCTCAGACCTGTTAGGTGGTTACCTAGAGGTGCTTCCGGGGCTCAGCGTCCCCGCGGCCCGGTCGTCGACCAGGCCTCCTGGTTGCTGGACTGGTCAACCAGACTGTGCACTTAAGCCCGTCTACTCCTATCTTCCCCAGGGGCGAGTGTCTCACCTCGGCCAAAACACGAAGTCTGAGTCACACGACGAACCACCACGACGGCAAAGCCCCTGGTAAGAGATTCAACGCTGACGACCAGTGTCACTACATGTATGGAGAAGGCTGGCGGAAATTCTACAGCTCCCAGCATCCATTCAATGTAAGATTTTGCAAATCCAGTATCGTTTCTTTCAAGCAATATACACAGATTTATATTGTAATTGGTTGAAGAGTCTCCTTCCGCCGTAGTCTGTTACTGACGCGGGTCTTGTCTCCGCAGAATGTGTGTAGGGAGATCTGGTGCCGGAAAGGCCGCTTTCTGAAGACTCCCTCGGCAGCCGCCCTCGAGGGAACCCGTTGTGGGGCATCTAAGGTGAGTATTGTCACTCGTGATCATGTATAAGTGGGACCTTGTTGGCGTCAGGTAATCGAGTGAGACCTTGGAGTTTTTCAATCTTCATTCTGCTCCTTCTATCACACACGCCACTCTCCCATCCTACAAAAGACTTTCCCACAACAGCACACAACCATCTCCCTGCAGCCCAGTCTCTCGATTTGCAACTCCGTAAAAAATGCAACTGTTTTACCTAACCAGAAGCGTACGAACTCAAACAATCCACCTAACCAATTGAGGCCGATGCGAAGAAATCGTGCATATGACAGTACTTTAATTCTACCTATTGGGTAAAATTTTTAACGCATTCGTTGATTTCTGTAAAATATGCGATTACATAAGAGGACTGTGGGATCTATTCAGCCCCCATCAGTGTATTCACACATATAATACAATTCTTAGAAGTAAAAGAAACTAAGTTACTAAAAAGAAAAGAGGACAAGACAAGAGCAATGACAAGACAAGAGCTCACTAAGTTCTTCTTTACATTGTTTTAGCACCCTGGCATTCACTTCCTCAAGATCTTGGTACTTGTTTGTCCTTAATTTTTACTATTTCTTAAATTACTTCCATCCTGGTAACCATTAAATTTCTCAACCTTTCGCCCCCTCGCCACCTACATAATTTTTTTTCAGCTGTAAGCATAATGTTAAGTTCTTCTCTAGTATATATAAAGTACTTAGCTCATTTCCTTGTCATCATCAGTTTCCTGACCTGTCTCAATGTTTAATGGCCCATTAGACGTAACACTATCATGTTGTGTCCACTGGGATATAACACAAAGCATTAGACGTAACACTATCATGTTGTGTCCACTGGGATATAACACAAAGCATAGCTTCAAGCTTGTCACTTGTGTTAAAACCTCGTGTGTATACAAGTACAATTTAAGTGAGAGTTCACACCACAAGTGTATTTGGAGAGTTCAGCAACCTTCGTGTGCATTGTTATAAGTAAATTTACTTTCAGATGTGCAAGAGAGGAAGATGCTTAAAAGCTGAACATGCTGACAAAAATAAAATAAGAATGAGAAGTTCAACAATTACGACCAAAAAATCTCTAAAAAAGAAGCAAAATAAAAATACTAAAAAAGCAACAAGAAACCGACCCAAAAAGTTAAAAGCCATGAAAAGAAACCATTATGGAAAAGGAGCTCAATCTCGACTCCAGAACACAAGTGGACTGGATACACCGGAGAAACGCGGGAAACTGAAGAAGACGAAGCAGGTAGCAGCAACCAAAGGTGACAAGGACAAACGCAAGAATAGGTCACGTGTTCTTAAGCCAAGAGTCATACGCATCAAACAAAAGAAGAAGACAAACAGGAAGAAACCCAAGAAGTTTCGACGAATAGAGACCCCGACACACATCGTGATAAAGGAGAGGATGAGGTACGTGGAAGGTAAGGGATGGAAAATAAAGATAATAAGAATAAAGAAGACGAAACGAATGATCGAGGAATCCAAAAGGAACAAAATAAACCGCAAAATCAAATGTAATAACATTCCGAAGTGCAAAAAAGGCAACTTTAAAATAAAAAGAAAGAAAACCAAGAAGAAACCATCACGGAATGTACGAAAAATGAGCAGTGTACCGATTAAAGGTGCGACAATGTCGTTGGGCCGCTGCAAGCCCAAGAGGATCAAACACGTCCCTGGGAAAGGTTGGTGGGTCAGGATTCGCAGGAACTGTATAAGACCCGCCAAGACTCGCACCATATAATGGGCACCACTTCAGGTCCAATTTTCAGGATCTATAGCCTCAGAGAATGTAAAAAAAAAACATTCAGAGAAAATCTAGTCATTTGTCTTTGAATTCACCTTAGTATTTGCTTGTTCCTCAAACCTGTACATGTCCTTGAAGAGGTGTTGTGACTTTTCAAGGGTCTTTTGCCTGGCATCCCGTGCAATGACTTAGACTTGGGAATGGCTGGCATGCAAATACTTGGATATAGCTATTATGAAACAGCAGCGTCAGGTATACATGCTAGCTACAGCTTCTGAACTACAGACATTGTTTACTTAGTGTGCCGGGATTATGTATATCAGCATAGAACTATTATAGTTGAGAAAATACTGAAGCCATACGGTGGGCTCGAACCTGCATCTCTGGACTCAGGCACACGTACTATATACTGGATTCGATCCCACCGTACTGCTTCAATATATTTATCTTAGATATATTACATAAAATGTGATTTCATTTACCATTTGTAAATGACTTTCAAATTCATCTCCATGACGTTGACTAATTTGTGGGAAATCTTGAAACTTTGGCTGCTGTATTCTGTATATCGAACTACTGTATATTGGAATATATTTCTTAGATCCTTGATAGTTTTTATATATTATATTTATCAATTTATAAATGTTATTAGTGACTGTTTCTTCTGTTAATAAAATTGTCTTTCCTTTTCTAATTTCCGAAATATTTGTGCAGTTATAACGTTAAAAGTTGTAATAATTTCTTGTATGTTAATAGATAACCAAAACACAAATAACTAGAATTCGAGTCTGTTAGTGACAGTAGCTGGCTTACAACAGGCGTTCCCTTGGCCAAGATGCTTTACAACTTGAATTGATTCTTTTTGTATCATTGAACTCTCCTGCCATTTTCGAACTGGATTCCTTCTCGTCCCTTCGAGATTGAGCCTCTTCCCATTCGCTTCAGTGTGGGCTCCTTCACATACCCCTCAAGAATGTGCCCCACTCCATCCCCTGAAGAATAGGAATGGGAAATGGTCTCGAGTTCAATCCCAGGGGCAGAAAGAGACGTTTGGATACGCACTCATACACCTGATGCCGCTGTTCACCTAGCAGTAAATGAGCATCTGGGATTTACGTGACTGTTGTGGATTGAATCCTGGAGAAGGTCAATATAGTTAGGGGGGGACCTCAATAAGCCTAACAAGCTGTCTCCAATAATTAGAACAAAAATAGAAAATCACATCTGGCACTAATGGGGAAAACTGTTAACTGGTGATATATAGAAAGATTTGCAAAAGTAGACCAATTGCCGGATACAACAGCTTCCCCCTCACCCCGGCAAATACAATAGATTATAACTGGCGCAGCAAACAAGCTGTAACTAGGTGAAGGTGGTTTGTTCCCGTGTCAGCGATGACGTCAGCTCTGAGAGATAGTGGCCCGTTCAGTATAGAAAAAGTGCAACTGTTTTACCCAAACAGAATCGTACGAACCCAAGCAACCCACCTAACCCATTGATGCCTAAAATAACGGCAATATTATGGAGATTTAGTTGTTACTAATACGGCGAATTTTTTATCCGTTAAAAATCGAGTCTGATTTAAAAAAAAAAAACGTTAACGGTCGAGTCCGTTAAAAATGTGACGCGTTTGGTGAAAGGACGGAAGGACGGGTTGCCCCATCCACGAGACAGATGCGGATGTCCACCACCGTGGACATCCGGATCTATCTGCTGCGGCCACACGACATGTCACTCATTGACCGAGTAGATGACCGAGTAACCGTGTGAATGTTCGAGCTTTTTGCAAACGGTAACTCGGTAGTACAGTGGCTACGTTCTCGATTCACAATTCAGGATCTCTGGTTCGATCCCCAGGCGGGATAGAAATAGTTGAGAAAATGTCCCTTTTCACTTGAAAGGGAAACGAGTCTTTCCTACCAGGTGAAAGGCATATACCATATGAGTATATGCATATAGTATATGAAAAGCTATATATATAGCCTTTATAGTATATATATAGAAAGACTATATAGTATATGAAACTATATTTGAAAAATATATAATAAAAATATATGTTTACTCTTGAGTAAATGTAAAATGTGAGTTGTTCTCTCAGCGCTGGACGTTGAAACGTAAAAATATATGTATGTGTATGTGTGTATATATATATATTATACAAATAACTAATTTCTCATTCACTGTGAGTATTCTTCCAATTCAAGGTCACGTGTTTTGTAACATTGTCATGTACTGTATAATACAATAAATACTGTATAAATACAATAACCTCTATTTAGAATATAAATATTGTATTTGAACGCATGTCTTTGGGATTCTATTGTCACGTGAATGATGAATATTTTATGCCCGTTGTATAATTATATTAAAATAAGTAGTATGTAACTGGCTGTTCTCTTAATCCTATATATAAGTTGATGAAATTTATATAAACTGTTGCAAGTCCTTTACTCTAACGTGGAAAAATTATATATCAATATTATATGCCAATTTCGTTATTTTGAAATTGATTTTAACATATATGTAACAATAGGATTCTTATCAAGCTGACCTAATTGTGAAATTTTTAGGTAGAAAAAACTATAAATATTTTAGTAACTTTATATTATTAGAGTACAATAGAATCTTGTAAATTTAGTAATTTGTTTTCTTGCCATTGGCTATTATAAGTGGTAAATATCTTACTTGGTTCATTAACTTTTTATAAGAAGTAATGTCATGTGTGTGTCACCGTTGCGTGTTTCATGGAAAAAAAAAGGTTAACCTGTAACAGAATATTTCCCTCGTCATTGTTGAGCGTTTGGGGGGATGAGAGTGTGGTACTTCCGGTGACAACCCGGATGTTCCGTCACGCGCACGTCACTTCCGGCAGTGACCCGGCTATTACGTCACTTCCGGCAGTGACCCGGATGTAACGTCACCAGCGCGGCGCCCGTCACCTCTCACCATCCAACACCACTACACCCTTCGTCATCACCATCAATCCTCCCTCCACCCCTACGTCCTTCAGTCTACACCTGCTCCATACACCCGACACCTGCACCATAGACCCTACACCTTCCCCTATAGACCCTACACCACTTCTCTTTCCTCGGCTATTTTAGTAATGTTTACCCTCCTGATGACAAAATTAAAACGGTCGAACTAGGAAGCAATCAATCTCTGTCCTGTTTACTTATAACAAACACAGTGCTGTCCCCCATCCAGTGATCGTGACTAAATCTTTCACGTGTCAACCATGCTTCATTCGTATCGAAAAATTACAATGGAATACTAATATATTTGCTACGATTAGCATCAGGCTCTTACAACCAGCAGAGCACTACAGGTGCACATTTACAGAGGTGCAGTGCTGGCCTCTGTAGAGCAGACGTGGCCACACGCGGGGAAGCAGACGGGGATAATGTGATATTAAAGAGTGATGGAGACAGAGAGGAGACGAACAACAGCAGAGTGTTGTGGCACGACCAGCAGACTCCTCCCAAGGACCTGCTGGGGGCTGCTGCTGTCTGCACCAGCGTCAGGAGAGGCTGTGGGGATTATTCCTCCTTCCTCGCCTCTTTGTAAGTTACACTCATCTCTTAAGATAATAGTAATAAGGGTATTATGAGATATTTTTTACGAGTTCTTATTTTTTACTTAAAATGCTGAGTTTATTGTCAATAAAGTTAGTTAAGCTCGTATTTGTGCACTTGCTTTATTAAATTTATTAACGAAGGCTCATTAGAGCTTTTCTCAAAGCTGGACTAGTTCAGCTGTGGATGAGGGCTGAGTTCAAAGCGCTAAGCTGTTAACCTTTAATTTTTTTCACTGTGGTTAATTTCTCTCTCTCTCTCTCTCTCTCTCTCTCTCTCTCTCTCTCTCTCTCTCTCTCTCTCTCTCTCTCTCTCTCTCTCTCTCTCTGTCTCTGTCTCTGTCTCTGTCTCTCTCTCTCTCTCTCTCTCTCTCTCTCTCTCTCTCTCTGTCTCTGTCTCTCTCTCTCTCTCTCTCTCTCTCTCTCTCTCTCTCTCTCTCTCTCTCTCTCTCTCTCTCTCTCTCTCTCTGTCTCTGTCTCTGTCTCTGTCTCTCTCTCTCTCTCTCTCTCTCTCTCTCTCTCTCTCTCTCTCTCTCTCTCTCTCTCTCTCTCTCTCTCTCTCTCTCTCTCTCTCTCTCTCTCTCTCTCTCTCTCTCTCTCTCTCTCTCTCTCTCTCTCTCTCTCTCTCTCTCTCTCTCTCTCTCTCTCTCTCTCTCTCTCTCTCTCTCTCTCTCTCTCTCTCTCTCTCTCTCTCTCTCTCTCTCTCTCTCTCTCTCTCTCTCTCTCTCTCTCTCTCTCTCTTTCTCTCTCTCTCTCTCTCTCTCTCTCTCTCTCTCTCTCTCTCTCTCTCTCTCTCTCTCTCTCTCTCTCTCTCTCTCTCTCTCTCTCTCTCTCTCTCTCTCTCTCTCTCTCTCTCTCTCTCTCTCTCTCTCTCTCTCTCTCTCTCTCTCTCTCTCTCTCTCTCTCTCTTTCTCTTTCTCTTTCTCTTTCTCTCTCTCTCTCTCTCTCTCTCTCTCTCTCTCTCTCTCTCTCTCTCTCTCTCTCTCTCTCTCTCTCTCTCTCTCTCTCTCTCTCTCTCTCTCTCTCTCTCTCTCTCTTCTCTCTCTTCTCTCTCTCTCTCTCTCTCTCTCTCTCTCTCTCTCTCTCTCTCTCTCTCTCTCTCTCTCTCTCTCTCTCTCTCTCTCTCTCTCTCTCTCTCTCTCTCTCTCTCTCTCTCTCTCTCTCTCTCTCTCTCTCTCTCTCTCTCTCTCTCTCTCTCTCTCTCTCTCTCTCTCTCTCTCTCTCTCTCTCTCTCTCTCTCTCTCTCTCAAATAGAGAAAATTTGGTCAGGAGTCAATACATTAAACAAGTGACAGTCGTTCCTGCTGGTACAAATAGGTAAATACATTCACTAATGTTTTAAATACATTCACTAATACAAAGTTTCTCTGCTATTCCTGCTCCACACTGGTCGAGGGGTGTACTTCATTTATCTGTGTATACACTTAGGACTTAGGACCTTTATCAGTGATAAAAGACTCAGGACCAAAGCATACAAAATCTCATGCCGGCTTGTCTCTCATTCTCTCAATATTCTCACAGATTCGGTGAGAATGTCGCCGGCAGATTTATCAACAGCGTCGTGAACACTTTTGGGATGTGTAATGATATTTGTTGAGGCAGTGAATCATCCGCACAAAAGATAATTAGTTTAACTCATCCTACAAATTTTTGTGTATTTATTGTAACTATTGGTCGAACGTAGAAAAATAAACTGTTGTATCCAGAAACGTTCGCGTCTTGCACTATTGGAATACTTAAAATGGCATATTAAAAAGTGAAACAGTAACTTAACAACCTAACCTAACCAAACAGCCTAACCTAACCTGTAATTAGTATGTCCTCGCCAGGGTATATCGGCTGAGGTACATTAAATTTAAATCATACTTTTGGCGCACTAGATTTTTGTGTTAATGGCATTCCTTGGGAGCGCCTCAAGATCAGTTTACGAATTTGTACTTTGATCATCACGTATTAGCGGGGAAAAACTTGGTCATTCGTCTATGATCCTGGATGCTGTTCGTATATAGCCTACACGTGAGACTTGCCACAAATCCCATAAACTATATCACTGTATGTTCCAATTAATAACAGTAACAATACATAACATTAACAGGCGATGAGTCACAATAACGTGTCTGAAGTATGTTGACCAATCCACACACTAGAATATGAAGGGACGACGACGTTTCGGTCCGTCCTGGACCATTCTCAAGTCACAATCGACTTGAGAATGGTCCAGGACGGACCGAAACGTCGTCGTCCCTTCATTTTTAGTGTGTGGATTGGTCAACACATAGCATTAACAAAGCATTCAGTAAATGTATGAAGATATATTAAATTCATATTATCTTTGTTACAATGATTGAGCATTAATTTGCAGTGTAGTTTGACAATAATAAAATGCTTGAAAATTATATTGCTTAATTACACGAGTCCTGAAACACTCAGTTGACCTTCTTTTTGTGGGAGGGGGGGGCAGGGATATTCCTGCGCGGGCCCTAAGCCTCTGGCTGACCCACTAAGTGTTGCTTATTTCTGTTTTACTTAGGCGGAGTATGAGTATTTATGACTCATAAGATTTTGTAAGATTTTATCCCATGTGTTTAACAATTTCTTCTGCTCTGTTGAATCTTAGTTAAAATCCTATTAGATTTGTAACTGTGCACTGTGTTAGATAATGTTCCAGTGGTCTGTTGTGGCTGTAACTGTGCACTGTGTTAGATAATGTTCCTGTGGTCTGTCGGGCATTTCTCCACAGTGTTGACATTTCCTCTCATCTTCTGGAACCTGTAAGCCTATTTCCCATGCACATGGGTATCCAAGTCTGATGCGATGTAAGTGTACTTCTCTTGTTCTACTGCTCCCTTTCATCAAGCCAAGTGGTTCATAGTTGGTTGAATTTGTTGTGTGATTTAGCTTCCACGATCTGGTGTCTCCTCGCCGTCGCTCCCGGCGGGTGTCGAGGGCGAGAATGGCTACTTAAACTTCTCCACTGAAGAAATTTGAGTCTTAGGTGTACTATAGTTGAAGTGTGTGATGGTGAGACGTCTCGTCCTGGGACGCGTGACCGTGTGCTTGCATCTGATGCTCCTCTCCCGCTGGGTGCCAGGGAGCCTGGGTTGTGAGGCCTCGTCTGATGTTCCCTCGGCCAGTAGGACAGGCTGTCGGGAGGATCAGGCTGTTATTCCCAGTCAGTCGGGTGTCGGGGTGGTGCGTGGGTTGTTTGGCAACGCTGCGGTGTCTCCTGCATGGTCCTGCTTGTGAAGTTGTGTCCAGTGTTACATCGGATGATCGGTGGTGGAGGGTTGTGGAGCTGATCGATGGTGGAAGGTTGTGGAGCGTGACCAACAACAGAGTAAGGTTTTAGATAGATGGTTCCCTGTCCGCCGGGGTCGAGGAGGTGGGGGAGGGAGTGCGGTTCCTTGAGAGTGTGTTTGAAGCAGAGTTAATGAGCATGAGTTTATTCTTGGGTGATTGTTCAGCCCGTCCACATAAACAAAGGCCAAAGTCCATTCCATGCACCCGCCAAACCCCCTGTTTATGAATGAAAAACGGTTTACACACGACTCACAACTGATGACGTTCAAACAGTTCCTGAACAAGTGTTTCGCTGACGACATTTGTTCAAACCACAACGCTATAAATGTTTCACCCACGTACTACAAACACAAATAATTGCCAACAGACCCTAAACACCTAACCTAACCTAACCTATGCCTATATATGCTAATATATTATAATATTAATTTATATTTGAGAAAATTCCTGTTTTGAATGAACATCATGTAAAAAATTATGAATGCGTCTGTGGGGTCGACCGCTAGATGTAATGGACTGGAGTCGAGGACGGATTGGATTGTTACGACCAGGTTTTATTCTCTTTATTAAATAATATACAATATAAAGGTCATATATACATCAGTTTACAAGGAAAATATTACATTACGTATAGTTTATATAATTCTCAGTAAACCAATATTTCATATCATCACAGAACATGAGCCGTAAACCCCAAACTTGATCCTGCCTCGCAAGATCTTCAATATTATGTCTACTGAGTAACCTTCCTGCCTGCCTATCCACACACACACAGTAACCCTCCTGCCTGCCTATCCACACACAGTAACCCTCCTGCCTGCCTATCCACACACAGTAACCCTCCTGCCTGCCTATCCACACACAGTAACCCTCCGGCCTGCCTATCCACACACAGTAACCCTCCTGCCTGCCTATCCACACACAGTAACCCTCCTGCTTGCCTATCCACACACAGTAACCCTCCTGCCTGCCTATCCACACGCAAAAATGTAATCAGAAAGTAGCATAACTATTATATTCTTAATTTTCTTGCATTTTATGTCAATATTAAACATTAAAAACCTCATTGAATCCACTCTAGTAATTAATAAGACCTTGCACTTAATAATTAAGTATTGCAAAGTCGGTAGGAATGTTAATTTATACATCGGTTGGTTATTTGACAAGTTAACTTAACGGAAGGAAGGGTTACAGTAGGAGAGTTTTCCCGATACAGTAAAGTTACTTTAAAACAAACATGAACATTTGTTATAAGTGGGAGTGGCTATTGTTAATAAATATAACTTTTAATCAGTTTCTCCTATCCGTGGGGCTTGGTGAGGACGCCATCATATCTCTATGATTATTTTTGGATATCACATCCACTTACGGGCTATTAATAGCCGTGCTACCTCTTGGGTGGCTTAATCTTATATCAATCAATCAATTGGGTACAACCCTGGGAGCTGGGCCAAGCACCCGTCAAGTAGACTGTTATCTCAAGCTGTTACCTATGGGAAGCCTGTACCACGATTCTCGGTAAAACTAATATGTGGTAAAAAATTTAATAGCACCCTGTCTTCAACCCACTGCTCAGGTGTGACAGTGATTATTCGTGGTTTTGTTTTTGTTCTCTGTGTTGTGGGCGGTATTATGTGCTGTGGGCGGTGTTATGCGCTGTGGGCGGTGTTATGTGTTGTGGGCGGTGTTATGTGTTGTGGGCGGTGTTATGTGTTGTGGGCGGTGTTATGTGCTGTGGGCGGTGTTATGTGTTGTGGGCGGTGTTATGTGTTGTGGGCGGTGTTATGTGTTGTGGGCGGTATTATGTGCTGTGGGCGGTGTTATGTGTTGTGGGCGGTGTTATGTGTTGTGGGCGGTGTTATGCGCTGTGGGTGATGTTATCTGTTGAGGGCGGTGTTATGTGCTGTGGGCGGTGTTATGTGCCGTGGGCGGTGTTATATGTTGTGGGCGGTGTTATATGCTGTGGGTGGTGTTATGGGTGGGTAGGTTTGTGTCCTGTGTCTCTTGACTGTGGTATGGCCTAGTGAGAGCAGGTCCCTGTACTTGATTCTTTACTGCTAGAATCCACTCAGTAAAACATCTAAACTATTGAGCCTGCTGTGCTTCATGCTGGGTTTGAGTTGTTGCTTTATTATCATCTGTGCTCTGCTCTAAGTTAGTATGCTGGCTATGGATTACTTGTGATTTATATATTTGGTACATCTTTGTGTTACCTTCTTTCTCTTCTTTATTACATTCTTAGATTTTTTTGGCATAATGTTTGTAACTACCTACGACACAGTTTGGTAGTTTAGTGTTGGGTAACGGCCTACGTATTTAATGGACCTTCTACTGTATGTGTATGAGTAGACTTGTCTGTTTTAGGCTTTTTTCCCCCTTGACATTTTTTTTATTAAAACATTTAGGTACATCTTCATTTGTGTAGCTACATTTGTAGTTATTTCAGGGTAAGTTGCGGGTTTATATTGTGGTTTGTATTCCATTTACGTGTAGATGTACTTTGTTATATAGATGGTGCTGTTGTTTATATGTGAGCGTGTTTATAATTGTGTGGTCTTGGTACGTGTGGTACTCTGGTTGTGTTTGCTTTGGTATGATTAGTAGTACCCAAGGTGACTGGTGGAACTTAACTAGTTGTCTTTTATTGGTGGTGTGTGTGGTGTTTTATTTATATTTTGTACTGAAGTACATTGACATTGATATTTTGACTGTGAGGACTGTTAAGTTGGTCTGTTTAGCCTATCATAACTGGTCCTCTATTGCTACTACGCGTGTTGGGGTTAGTGTGGTGGTGTACAGCCTGGCTTCAGTGGGGCATACGTGCAGTTGGACCATAAGTGTACGTATACATTAGTGTGTATACTTAGAACTTAACTAAGTTTGAAACTGTAATTAGTTAAACTTTGTGAAACTGTGCTTTGCATAAAAATTGTCACGGCACCGTTTCTGCATTTCTTTCCGCATAGTTCATAGTCATGAATTATGTTCAGGATGTGATGACCAAACGACAACTCATAAGATGGAGAAGGGACGACGTTTCGACTTGATAATGGTCCAGGACGGACCGAAACGTCGTCGCTTCTCCATCTTCTGGTGTTTAGTTTGGTCGTCATATCTTCAGCCACGTTATTGTGACTCATCGTCTGCATATGTTCAGGACTATAGCATACTTACTGGTTGGTCAGTAAGTTGGTGTAGTGGTAGGTAATAACCCTCCAGAGAGTGATTGCCCTTAAACTCCAAAATAAAGTAACATACTAGCAGTGCAGTGCTAATATATTATCCTGTATCAAAATACCATGTCTCCAATAGGGCAAATAAAAAATTCTCCATATGGGCCATATGGGCCTTCTGTATCCAAATTGAGCAGTGTCTCATTAGTCAGTACAGTATTCAAAATATCAATTATTCTTGAACTGCTCCTGAAAAGATGTGTACAAATGTTCCAGAGATGGGTCAATATTTAATTCAAAATGATCTGCTACCAGAAATCTTAGCCAACATATCAATTGTGACACTAGCTCTCCACATATGTCAGTTGCTTAATTTAAAACTGTACTTGTGGTCGATCTCGTACCCAATGATGATGTGACGATGTGTATTGAATATTGTAACTAGCTCATCAAGATTGTAACTTGTTGAGCTAAATGAATTGTGGGGTTCAGTCCCTGAGCCCATTATGTGCCTCTGTAACCCTTTCCACTACCGCCCACAAGATGGGTATGGGGTGCATAATAAATGAACTAATCTAGCTCCTGAAAAGGCGTTGCGCGTTCTAAGACAAGTGCTCAGTCATGATTATATTCTATTCAGTGATATATCAATTTGGGTGTACTCATGTCGGAAGACCTTACCTTTAAAGAACACAATAAAGCAGCCGTCACAACTGCAAGAAAATGGACAGGTTGGATAACAAGAACTTTTCACATTAGAGATGCTATACCAATGATGATAATCTTCAAGACGCTAGTGCTCTCTAGAGTGGAATACTGCTGCACGATGTCAGCCCCTTTCAAAGCTGGAGAAATTGCTGACCTGGAGAGCGTGCAGAGATTCTTTACTGCTAGAATCCACTCAGTAAAACATGTAAACTATTGAGTCCGACTAAAATGCCTAAATCTGTATTCTCTTGAGCGCAGGCGAGAGAGATACATAATAATTTGCACGTGGAAAATATTAGAGGGGCTGGTCCTAAACCTGCACACAGAAATAATATCACGGTGAGACCAGGAGGCATGGCAGGATGTGCAGAATACTCCGTTGAAAAGCAGAGGTGCAACGGGTACTCTGAGAGAGAATTCTATCAACATCAGAGGTCCGAGACTGTTCAACACGCTTCCACATCTCTTGCAAATTGTCTATACAGTATACCTAGGTCATAAAAGTATTTGTGTGTACGTCTGATAACATACTACTTGTGTAAAGGAGGAAATGTATATGTTTATCTCTCAGAATGTCTGGTAATATGTTTATTGTTTGTGATGTGTGTCTATGTATGTATTAACACGATGTACTGAACGGGGTGAGAATAGCTTGAGCTACCTCATCCCTTTGTGTGTATTTTACCTCAACAAACTTATTTCAATTTCAATTTCAATTTCCACTACACATAAGAGGCATAACTAGCAGACCCCTCACAGTGTTCAAGAGAGATCTTGACAAGCACCTCAAAGAATACTTAATCAACCAGGCTATGATTCATACGTCAGGCTGCGAGCAGCCGCGTTCAACAGCCTGGTTAGCCAGTACAGCAACGAGAACGCCTGGTCGAGGACCGGGCCACGGGGACGTTGAGCCTCGAAATAATCGCAAGGTTGGGGTGTTCGTCGTGAGAGAACAGTCGCCAGTGTGGCCAGGAATGTCACTGAGATAGTGTGGTAGTCGCTCTGCACTCCTCACCACCTTGTTGGCTGTCCAGTGTGTTTACTCTCCGATTTAGTAAGGTAATTTTAGCACAATGCGCCTTGTAGTTTTGTAATTTATTATGGCCTCCAACGCCTTTTCTTACATTTGTTAGTTAAATAACTTACATTTGTGTTGAACTCTTTATATATTTGTCTTATGTTTTGATTGTTGACGTCAGCGTCACCCCATATATATATTCATCATGTGAGCGGTGGTTCTAAATTACTTCAGAGACAAGCACTCAAATTTGCTTTGCTGGATATTTTATTACACAGAGCCCAAGTTCTCACGTGGCATTTATTGATCTCCAAACTGCTTTTGACACAGCAAACAGTAGTAAAGTTAAGACTGCTGACGTGGCTAATGGGAGGTACCTCTTTTTTTCTTGATTTAATAAAATACAATATAAATCATATATACATAAATTTTACAAGGCAATACTACATTACATATACAGTAGTATGATTCTCAGTAAACAAGTGTTTCATACCTCAGTAATATAACTGCTTCACTCCTTTTCAAAGGGGGTTAAAAGTAACAATTCTGCAATTTTAACGCGAGCACAGCCCAAGGTTGGATGCTTTGCCCTTCACTGTTCATGGTTTTGAAGCACAAATTAATAATTGACTTTCACATACCAGCTGACGAAGCTGGCATGTGTTATATTGATGACATCTGTATTGTTACAAAAAACTTGACTGCAAGCTTTACTTTATTCTCTTGCTGCAAAAATCATTGAATGCGGTCTTACTAACTCTAACAAAATCTAGAGTTCTTCATCCCCACAGAAGCACAAATGTCCCTCTAGCTTTTAAAGTCAATATCCAAAACCTAGAAACATGTAGGCAACACAAATACCTTGAAGTGGGTATCAAGAGTGGCATTGTAAACGACCTACATCATAGGCTAAAAGAAAGACTTAAACCACTGAAATCAATTGCTGGTAAGAATATTTGTATCAATGTTAAATATGCAAGACTTTTATTTTTATATATTTTATTTATTTATATATACAAGAGTTCTTACATTTTTGTACATCCACTAGCACGCATAGCGTTTCGGGCAAGTCCTTAATCCTAATTTTCACTCACACACACACACACACACACACACACACACACACACACACACACACACACACACACACACACACACACACACACACACACACCTAGAAAGCAACCCGTAGCATCTGTCTAACTCCCAGGTACCTATTTACTGTTAGGTGAACAGGAGCATCAGGGTAAAAGACACTCTGCCCATTTGTTTTCGCTCTTAGGACTACGAACTCCGAGCGCTGTCCACTCAGCCGTCAGGCCCCCAATTTTATGTTATGTTTATTAGAGCCCTAATTAATTATCATGCATTGCGCTTAATTTATTTGCACACCTCTATTTTGAACAAACTAGAACACAGAATGAAACCATGAGAGTGATTCTTGGTGTCCCAAAATCAATAAAGATAATTAACACGAGGGAACTAGAGAGGATTATACAAGTCAACACATTAATGTAATGAAAGACCCCCCTACATCTCCAGCACTGCTCAGAGACAAATTATCTTGTGTCATTAATACTACAATGATTGGTGCTAACATGCCAATTATCATACAATCAGCCCTCATCAACACAGGCCAAATGCTCGTTAATCCAACCGCCAGACCCCTGTTTATGCATACAAAAACGGCTTACACTCGACTCACAATTGATGATCTTCGAACATTTCTCGAAACAGTGCTTCATTGACGACGTCTGTTCGAATCGCAACTCTGTAAATGCTTTATATATGTACTTCAAATACAAGTAACCGCCAACAAAATCTTTACACGTAACCTAACCTATGCCTAACTTTACGTAGAACTTTAATATTTAATAATATTAATATATAAATGATAACAAGCATATTTTTAATACACAATAAATTACTATTTCTGAATGCGTTTGGTGGGGAGGGGGGGGCGGTTGCAGCGAATACAGTTCTGTATGCAGGCGATGAGTCACAATAACGTGGCTGAAGTATGTTGACCAGACCACACACTAGAAATTGAAGGGACGACGACGTTTCGGTCCGTCCTGGACCATTCTCAAGTCGATTCAATCGACTTGAGAATGGTCCAGGACGGACCGAAACGTCGTCGTCCCTTCAATTTCTAGTGTGTGGTCTGGTCAACAGTTCTGTATAATCAGGTGACCTTCATATGTTTGGCTCAGAAGGACATGCATACCACACAAGGTTAATATCAAGGGTTGATTATCATCACTCTTATCTGAAGGTTAAGAGACGAAAACAATAACGTATTGACCATTGATAAACGTATGATAAACATACGGTTAGATAAAGTCAACATTAGTTTTATGATTGCTAATATAATTTTGTTAAAGCATTCTACATTTTCACGTGTTTGGTTATGTTTTTCATGCCCGTTATTGTGAGTTAGTCTCTGTACTCTGCACCAGTTCAGTGCAGCAACAGCCTATTAAATAGGTTGCGTAGATTCACCAAGGCAAATAAGACGCTACTTGATCTTCAGACCTATCAGATACACTCTGATAAGATTACATACAGACGACCTGTAGGTAATACCACTCAAGCTACTCTCAAAACATTCCAATGTTGTATTCCGCTGTTTAGTGACTCTTAATTATATATTTGTGTATGTCAAACAATTAGTGATTATATACCTTGACTTGTCTCTTGTAGACGTAGGTTGATGATGGTACTAACCCACTTATGAGGTACTTTACAGTTACTTCGGTCAATTTCTATGTACTTAAAACTAGTATAAAAATGACTCTTAACTCAGAGAATTCCGTCAATAGGCTACATATTATTTATGTAGGTTTGATTTTTAATGTTTAATAAGCGGTTTTATGCTAAGCGTACGATAGCTGCGTTTGTTTTATCGTTTTATATAGGTTTAGGTTCAGTAGTTTGGCAAGATGTAAATAAATTAAAATCGTTTAGAATGTAGCTCTCAACATAGTTTCGAGAATAGTACAAAAAGACTACTTTTTCCTCCTTTAATATGTCATTATTTGACGTACACGTGGTGACCCCGACCAGACAAGAGGCTGGGTATTTACAACCAATCATACACTACTGAACAATATAAGAAGCTGTATACAGATATGTTCGTATTTTGAACACGCGGTCATGCAACACAAAATGCGGTATATGGTAGGGTTGCCATATCTGAACAGAGCCGTGTCCGTATCATGTGTCAGCATGTTTCTCATGTCAGTTTGTGTCACATGCTAGTGTGTATCACCTCTCAGTATGTATCATGTTAGTATATATTATCTGCTAGTACCTGTCATGTGTCATTATGTATCAAGCATAATTAGGAACCTTTGGGGGGGGGGGGGGGCAGGCAGTAGGGGAGAACGTAGAGGCGGAGCGGGCTGGGGGTGGAGCTGGGGTAGTGTTGACATCTTCAAAATTGACATTATTACCATTTATTGTCTACTTAAAGCAAAGTTTGAGTAGAATATTAATTATAATTTTCCCAGAGATTAGTACATAATGTTTTACGATATTGTAATTTTTTTTCAGTGAGGAGCTGATACCAAGTGACAGTATCGTTATGTGGGTTCAATATGAGACAGTGCCATACTGTTCTCTTAAACTGAACAACCTGCCATGTTGGGAACATACCCCACAACAATCACAGTGAAAAGAATCACTAACTAACTGTTCCTCTTCCTTTAAGCATCAGGCCTCCCACTTTAAAACACAGACATTATATTTTATAGATATAATATTTCACTCCGCTGCACGAGTTTTCCCGTTAATATTTCTATAAATTTACAGCAAACTTCATAACAAGAACTTCGTGGGATGAGACTGGAATGGCTGCGATGAATATTTAGCATTCTTATTATTAGGTTCTCTGCACTAGTGATCCCAAACAATGTTTACTGCAGATGCAGTTGTGGGTGATGGTGGTGGCGTGCGGCGCTGTACTGCAGGTGGCGCAGGCAGCAAGTTCCTCTTCCTGGGACCTCTCTCCTCTAGGAGCCACAAGAACTTTTATATGGGCGTTGTCAACGCCCTGGCTGATGATGGCAACCAGGTGGGTCAAATGTGATGGTAACGGATGAGTCGAAGATGGTGGTAGCCCGGTGAGTCGTAGATGATGGTAACGGATGAGTCGAAGATGGTGGTAGCCCGGTGAGTCGTAGATGATGGTAACGGATGAGTCGAAGATGGTGGTAGCCTGGTGAGTCGTAGATGATGGTAACGGATGAGTCGTAGATGATGGTAACCAAGTGAGTCTTAGATGGTAGAAAAATATAATTATGTGTCAGTGAGACGCCAGACAATACAAATAATTGTGTTTATATACAAACTTTAATGTACATTTGATACAGGTACAGTATTCATTGCAGTGACACTATATAATAACATAATACAAATTAATACTATATTAATTAATAATTATATAAATTAATATTAATAAGTAGGTCTATTTAGTTCTCAACATCGATTAAAACTAAAGTAAACTCAAGAGTATATAAACCAAAATGCGGGATATACACTTCTTGAAGTAAACCTCCCTTGTTAGGGAACGCTTCTCCTTATATCTACATGTAATAAACATAAGATATTTTACTACATATTAAATAGTTTAAAAAAGTCCAAGAACTAGCAACAGTATAACTTGTTAATGATAGAATCATCATTGTTGTTTATTATAGGTTACAGTGGTGACTTCATTGAAGCCGTCCAAAGTCCGGGAGAATGTGAATGAGGTGACCTTGAGCGGCGTTGATTTACAAGACTACATGCCAAATTTATTTACTGGAACTCGAATGACTGGTCCATTTACATTTATGGCGGCTACAACAACACTCTGCTCCGATGCTCTGGGAAAGGAAGAGGTACAAAATTTGCTGAAAGAAGATTTTGATTTCGTTCTTCTGAGCGCATTTATGTCAGACTGCTTTTTGTCAGTGGTCCATCAGCTGAAGGTGAGACATTCTCCAGTCTTTTGGTATATATTTTAATATTCTGAATTTTCAATTACTGAATTATACAGATAGAGTACAGTTTACAAAAGTACAGTAGTGGATGAGGTTCTGGGAGTTCTTCTACTCCCCATCCCCATGACTTGTGAGAGCTTGGTCCAACAGGCTGTTGCTTGGAGCGGCTCGCAGGCCGCCGCAGGGCGAATTATCTATCAGTTTATTACAGGTACATGGAATAATTACAAGTACATTTATTACAGTCATTATGGAATACCTTCGTTGATGAAGCTTTCTGTGTCGTATAGGCTGTGTGTCCGCGTTGGTCGGAAACGGTTGGACACATTTCCTTCTACACAGTAGTAAATAGGTACCTGGGAGTTAGGTAACTTGTGGGTTGCATCCTAGTAAAAGTTAACCTCGATAAGCTTAACAGGCTCCCTGTCCCCCAACAGTGAGAAACCATTCTATATTTCCTCCTTTTTCCAGGTCCCTTTTGCATATGTGAGCCCCGCAGGACTGATGGGACCTTTCGCATTAATGGTGGGCAACCCACGCTTCCCGTCTTACGACCCTTCTCCTGTCTTAACGTATAAACATCCACTAACCTTCCTGGAACGAACAATCAGCACGCTGTCAGAAATTGGATTTCATTTTATGGTCAATTATATGTCCTCTCGGTATGTACTGCTTTAATGGTTCCTGAAATTTTTCGGCTCTAGTAAAATTTATAAGAGAAGATATCTGTAGGTCCTTACAATGACTCCTGGAAAGTCAGAACTGTAGGCTTGATTTTCCATAGCAGTTTTTCCAAACGAGTTCTCGGCTGTTATCGATGTTGAATCACCCATCGATAACACCCGACGTTGAAATAGACAGAGACCCAAGCACTGCCGGACCCCATCAAGTGTGTGTGTGTGTGTGTGTATATATACATATATATATATATATATATATATATATATATATATATATATATATATATATATATATATATATATATATATATATATATATATATATATATATATATATTATATATATAATATATATATATATGTCGTACCTAATAGCCAGAACGCACTTCTCAGCCTACTATTCAAGGCCCGATTTGCCTAATAAGCCAAGTTTTCATGAATTAATGTTTTTTCGTCTACCTAACCTACCTAACCTAACCTAACCTAGCTTTTTTTGGCTACCTAACCTAACCTTACCTATAAATATAGGTTAGGTTAGGTTAGGTAGGGTTGGTTAGGTTCGGTCATATATCTACGTTAATTTTAACTCCAATAACAAAAATTGACCTCATACATAGAGAAAAGGGTTGCTTTATCATTTCATAAGAAAAAATTATAGTAAATATATTAATTCAGGAAAACTTGGCTTATTAGGCAAATCGGGCCTTGAATAGTAGGCTGAGAAGTGAGTTCTGGCTACTAGGTACGACATATATATATATATATATATATGTATTTATATATATGGCGTATCTAGTAGCCAGAATGCACTTCTCGACCTACTATGCAAGACCCGATTTGCCTAATAGGCCGAGTGATTTTCTTTATTTTAAACAAATCGTTTCCAATTGGTTTATTTGAATTTTTATTGTTTTATTATATTAGGAACATAAATTATTGACTTAGTTATGTTAGTTTAGGGTAGGTTAAGATAGGTTAGGTTTAGGTTAGGTAGGGTTGGTTAGGTTCGCTCATATATCTATGTTAGTTTTAACTGAAATTAAAAAAAATTAACTCACACATAATGAAATGGATAGCTGTATCATTTCATAAGAAACAAATTAGAAAAATATATAAATTCCAGAAAACTTGACTTATTAGGCAAATCGGGTTCTGCATAGTAGGCCGAGTACTGCGTTCTGGCTACTAGGTACAACATACGAGGTATAAATGCCTCGTATCGATATTCAGCAAATACTTTCTTGATTTTTTTTCATTCATCTACATTTCTGTCCACACAAGAGCAATTAAATCATCTATTTTGTTTCTAATATTCCTACTCTTTACGTAGTAAACATTGTGAAACCCTGCATCCACCCCATGATATTTTTAGCCAGAATTTTTACATTTTCCTCATTACTATCCTCTCCACTCCAATGAGCTGAGCCCCAGATCATTACACCACTTTGTCCCAATAATGCCTTTTAGCTACATTCTTATCGTTCACACCCAACCTTACAGAATCCCACAATTTAATGCTCTACTAACTACTACTTCCACAGAGTCTGCTAAGGTCGTCACGCCATCTCTAGATAGGTAAACTTGCATACATCGTGTTCTGGCCCATGAAAGAGACGCAGTTAATGATGAATGTTATTTCACAACTAAACCAATGCATTTCAAGTCGGTAACTTATCCTAACTGTCCTTGACAACCTTTCGCCGTCAAAAACGACAAACCGCATATGATAGGAACCCTCCTCCGCTTTTCGTAATATTTCTAGTACTAACTTTGAATCTGCTAATAATTACTCACTTCTACCCTTGCCAACATCATTTCCTCCAGTAGACAGGCAGACAATAGGCTTGTTCCCATTTGATGGCTAAAATGTTGTCCATGCTGTCTGCTGTCATCTACACCAGCCTCAGGAAAATACCCTCATCCTGTTACGGGCATCTCTTGAATAAAATGGCCCATCTATAGACCTCATCTATGAATCCCCAACAACCAAGATTTTTCTACGCCAGCTGTGGCGTTGCTTCGTTATTCTACCTTCTGCATCCATTCTCTGTCTCCACTGTCGGGCGAGCAGCTACCTCACTTGAACACCCGTTCATTCAGTGCAGAGACTGCGTCGGAGGTTTTCACAACTAGTACCAATGACCTCTTCATTGTTTTCCCTTAAGCCCTTATGCTTGGGGACAACGTGATTTGTTATTTTCACAAGAACGCCATCCGCCGTAGCCTCATCCTGTGGAGACACAATTCCGCATCTACTTCACTTTTTCTGTCAATCGGTCTAAATAAGCTAAGATCCGGAAATTAGGCCCCTAGATAGAGCAACAATCAAACACATGCAGCGTGACGGTTACTCATTACTCTTATGTTCTTACTTTTACTCTTATGTTCATATTCTTATGTCTTATGTTCCACAGAATGGAGGGGGAATGTCGGAGCCGCGGACTGTGTCCAGATGATATGCCAGGGTTTGCTGAAGTGAGCCGTAATGCAAGTCTTGTATTGATCAACAGGTTTGGATTAACTTCTTTTACTAATCAACAGGTTTGATTAGCTTCTTTTACTGCTAAATATGATTGGATTAACAGGTTTGAATTAATCTTTTACTACCACAAAATCAATAAACCACTCCATGCTCTCTCTTTCAAGTCGTCTCAAATGCAAGAATAAAATATAGTTAAAGACAATACATTTATGCCCAAAACAATACTCTCTACCTTGTTCTGCAGAACTGCACAAACTCAATGGGGAGGAAAGGGACGGTTTAGTCGAGTTATTATTTAAATGTCCAGCTCCTACACTGCTGTGCCGCGTGCCCTTGTTGTCCTGACGCATCACTGATCACCAGATGCACAGACTCCTCTACTATTAGCAGTCACTGTCGTGAATTATTTAATTTCTCTTAGCACTGTCTTCTTTACTCTTCGTATCCATGTGCTGTAGTACGATTTAATACTAAGTGAAAATAAGTACAATTCCTGACTGCTATGAATAGTACATAATTGCATTTATTTGTGCTCTTACATTTATCTCCCCATTTTTGGAGGACGGGCTGTATATTGACATCCCGGGGCAGGCTTCATACTTGCAATACATAAAACACAGATACAAGAAAATCTTTGGAGTAGTGTGGTGGGATCGAACAGTTGGCCTGGGGTCACCCAGGACGCTGGTTCACTGTTGAGCGATGATAAGTGACAATGATAAATAATGCTGAGATTCTTCAATTTGCAGTGTACAAACTATGGAATATCCACCGCGCCCAATCGTGCCTGGCGTGGTGCATTGTGGGGGAATCCACATCCACCCAGCAAAGCCTCTGCCACAGGTAGGTGGGTAACAGTTTAGTTGCTTCATGCAGTGAGGTGGAAATATAGGAGCAGTGATATAGGGAGGTCATCAACAGATCAATGCCTTACGGGCTATTCATGCCCGTGCCACCTTTGGGTGGCTTAATCTTCATCTATCAATCAGATCAATAAAACATAAGAATCAAGGAAACTACTCAAGGTTTATTGGCTCATGTTTGCCAGCTCCTATTTATATCCACCCAAACTCACTCATATATGTTTAACCTTCACTTCAAACAATCCAGCGATCCCATATTATGATACTTAGTCATTTGTTTCATAGATCAGCAGCCCTATTTTCATTCCAGTATTTATCCAAATCTATCTTATCCAGTTTATATCCATTGTTTCTTGTTTATTTTGTGTTAACATGTTTAAAACTTTATTAATTTTAAGATCATTATTTTAATGGACGAGAGTTACTAAATGGTGTCCGGAGATAGCTCATTTTGAGACGAAATTACTGTGTCTGTCGGGGGTATTGGGCGGATTTTTTGGTCCACCAACAACCCAATATATATACTGTATTTACATCACCAAATCATATGTTTTCCGCTACAAAACCAAATATTAAATAGGTTCACATACGTCAGCATATAAAGTATCTCTTCAGACACTTTACTTAATGTTTTAAGGAATATACCTTTTAATGTAAACGTCATCAAGTGGAAGATTAGCAGGAACGTCTCTACAATTATTACGATGTAAGTCACTAACTTTTCCTCAGAGAAGATGTATCCTTCCTTGTCTTGTGTCCTCTCACGTCCTCACAATGCACTTACCCTCAGCCATTTTGACTTACTCTCAAGCATGCGCTATTTAAATTACCATTTTATTGTAAGTTCAGTCTGGATCATTAGATAAGGATCATAAGTCATGAACATGCGACGAATACCACAGGAATAGAGGAAACTTCTGAGGTCATTTTAGCCCATGCGTAGTACTCTTGAAACAATTCAGCAAATTGGGCACGTTTCATTCCATCTGTTGTCACTTTTCAACTAGTTGTTACTAGGAAAATGGGAGTTAGGATTCTGTTGTGAGTTGATCTTGAGACTTGAGAATGGTTCAGGACGGACCGAAACGTCGTCCTCCCTTCACCTTCTAGTGTGTGGTCTGGTCAACATACTTTAGCCACGTTATTGTGACTCATCGCCTGCATTCTGGGGAAGGTCTGTTGTTGGCTTGTTATAAATTGTTAGGTTTAGAGCCATACGTTTATCAGCATTAAACTGCATCTCTAATCCTTTCTCCAGTTTAAAAGGCCATCTAAGTAGTCTTTTAGCGATTTGGATTTTCAGAGTTTATTTTCTGCCCTATTTTAGTGTCATCGGTAATTTTTTTTAAATGTTGCTATTCAGTTCTGTATGTAAATAGTTCATTTATGCATATTTGATTCACTAAGAATCTGAACAAGCTCTTAAAACTTGTCTGTAAATTTATTTTTAATGAGTTTAAGAGATTTATCAGTGCTCAAATATGAATGGAGAATTAAGTAGTGTTTATAGTACTACAAGTTCAAGTGTTTATATAAAAATTAATGGAGCTAAAAAACCTGATTCACCAAAGCACTGACACTTATATTTCGTTAATATAAACTATATGATATATTTCACAAATAACAATCGCTTCTTGCAGGATCTTGAGGAATGGGTTCAAGGTGCTGGCGACGATGGCTTCATATACTTCAGTCTTGGTTCAGTTGTCCCAGGATCCACTATGCCAGAAGAGTGAGTATGTTGTTTCAGAGCTCTTTATATTCCACTTGAATTTATGGCCTGGTCGGCACAGGCGACGACCTTGCTTCGTGCAGGGTCGCTGTTCGATCCCCGATGAACCAAGTGGTTGGGCATAGCTCCCTCACTCCGTTCTCAAATTCCAACTCATTGTTCGTATATTCCCTAAGAGAGCGGTAGTTTATTGAGTACCCTATTATACAAACAAAAAATTCAGTAAAGTTCTTTTGCATTGACTTCTTAAAGTTATTTAGTACATATCCTACAATACTAATAAATTGCCCAGAAAATACAAGATACATTGATTCAATGAGAAAATCTAAAGGACGAAGTATGGCTAAAAATGTAGAATGCAAAGAGTTGTCATAAACAGGGAAGAATATGACTGCAATTACGTTTTGAACGAAGTTCCTCAACAGGTACTTGTACGTTCATAGCAAACGGCGCCATCTATTTGAATGCCGCTGCGTTTCATACGCCATCTGTATGTAAACAGAGAGAACGTGCAGGACGCCCACCATGTTTGGTGGACTCTTCGTTCAACCTTGATGACGAGCGGACGTCTGGACAACTCCTCCGTCTGGGAGCCGCTGGATTACGTTCTGTTTTTGCGATTTTGGATTTGATACTGCCGTTTGGCATCCCTCTTCAACGGTCCGTACGAATAAGGATGCCTATTCCGTGTAAACCATTCAACGATTTGTACGACGCCTGGCCCACATATCGCCTTGGGTCACAGGAGTGTTGATAGAATTTGAACGTTTTCTGGCTGTTATCTGGCGGGGTGACGCCAGATAACAGCCAACTCCCGGCGCCGGCTTGGCCGAGAGGTGGTGGGAGTTGGTGGGGCTCCTGGTGCGCAGTAAGCCGTGGTGGGCGTCTGCTCTGCCAGGGGCGCACTGGATGACTTTTGCGTTTTAGTTGGTGGCCGAGTATTTGGTTTTGCTACCCAGAGTTCTCTGTGAGAGGTGGGACCGGTGCATGTCGCCCTGAGGTACTCCTGGGGGCTCCCCAATCATCTGCCTGTCATTCGGTTTTGCGATTAACCCTATACGGGTACGCCGGGGCGCATCCGATCCCACGATCGTCGTCGCCCCTAAATCAACACCACCATGCTTGCTGCACTGCTAGTCATGTATTATAAGTATCATTAAAGTCAGTAAGCAAGCAATGGCTTTATGCCCACCCAAGACCCACGACCATCCACAGCAACGCAAAACACCACCGTACCCATGTTAGATCCATCGATGTTTTGAGAAGTTCCTCAACAGGTAGGTACCCATGCAGCTTGTCCTCCTAAGGTTTCCCAACGTTAAGAAAACAGTCAATTTAAAGTGTCCTCTCCTAACCTACCAGAGGACCCAAAACAGAAAACAGGACAGTACGTCACTTTCGCAAGCCGCTTCCATTTTCTATTACAACAATTTTTGGCCTTATGTAACGCATACGATCGAAATGCGACGTTCTTTGTAAGACGCATCAATCCTTGAGAAAGTGGACGGGGGGGGGGTTGCTTTTTGATGCTGAGAAAAAAAAAGAGACCTGGGGTGATAGTGGTGCAGAGATAGTGAAAGGGAGCTGGAGGGGGTAGTGGTGCTGAGACAAATGGAAAGGGTAGGGTGGAAGTGGTGTTAAGATAGAAAGGGTTGGGAAGGGGGGTGGCCGAATTGGGGCTGAGAGACAGAGGAGGGTGGGGATGAAGTAGTGTAGTAGCAAGACGGAGAGAGTGGTGGGGTGGGGGAAGAGAGCCGATCTATTAACAGGAGACAGTGACATAGAATGTTAAAAATTATTATGTTGACAGGAGGCAGTGTGAAACGGTATGTAGTAACTAATATGTTGACAGGAGAGAGAGTGATATAGCACGTTAGTAACTAAACTGTTGACAGAAGACAATGTGAATCAGTATGTTAGTAATTTAGATGTTGATAGGTGACAGTGTGATACAGTATGTCTTTAACTAATCAATTGAAAGGAAACACTGTTAACATGCTGAAAGTACATCTTTCGCAATGCACAAACAGGTACAGGAAAGTGTTCGTTGAAGTGTTTGGATCCCTGAAGCAGAGAGTGTTGTGGAAGTGGGACCAGGACACTATGGAAGACCTGCCCCCAAATGTGCGCATCAGCAAATGGCTCCCTCAACAAGACATCCTCGGTCAGTCAGCATCTGTTATGTTCACTACTTTGTGCATTGTATCAAACTGTGAACGCTGAATGTTATCGGTATTAATATTTTAGTTTTGAAATGCTTGCTTTAATATGTGTTCAAATTGTTTCCATGACTAAGAATTTTAGGCAATTCTTATATTTTAGTATTACAATATTAGGGAGAAGGTGCAGAAGTGATTATCACAAGCTACAAGAACTATTATGACGAAAGGCGAAGAAATTTATTTAATTGATTTTCATTTTTATTTAGTTGCAAAATGTTGATGTTTGTTTACAGTGTACTTAGTCAGCCCATCCTCCTGTTTTGGTAGTACTTATAGGAAGGATGAGGACCATAGTACATATACCGACGTACAACGCAATTAGAAAGTAGAAATCGGTACTATTGAATTTGGAGAAACCGGAAAACTATTTTCCAATTTTGTTGCAAAGACAAACTTAACTTACCTAGCCTAACCTAACCTTCCTAGGCCTAATACACGCTATCTGAGGCTTAATATAGTACATATGTGTGCTATACTAGGCCTAGGAATATTTTAGTTTATTTTTTACCTTAATTTTTTCGGACTATAAATTGAATAGTATAACGTTCTAATATCTAATTGCTTAGTACGTCAATGTTTGTACTATGGCGCACATAGTTATCTAAATAGGAGAATGGGTTGACTTAGTACAGTTCAACCAGAATTGTTCGTTATAACTCTTCTACAGGTGATCGCCGTCTGCGTTTCTTCATCACCCACGGTGGTCTACTCAGCACCCTGGAGTCCATGTACCATGGTGTACCCGTGGTGGGCATGCCTGTGTTTGCGGACCAACATGCCAACATGGCCAAGGTGGAGAGAGATGGCCGGGGACGTGTGTTGTTATGGGATCAGCTAACCTCCGAGTCTTTTAGAGACACGATAAACAAAGTTTTGAATGACTCCAGGTATAATATTACAGCCCCAAGTGTCGTGTAGTGTAGCTTAGTTTTAATGAATAACATTTTAACATCAATATCAAGGAGACTCCAGCTAACATCTACAATCCAAAGATTTCGCATTTTATAACATTTCTAGTTAGAATATTACAAGATGTGATTAATTTAAATGTTCATAAGGAACTTGGCTTGACTGTAGTCCTTGTTTGAGAAAGGCAGACAAGATTAATCCTACAGTTCTGGATAAAGAGTGAATGGGATGAAATGATTTGGCATACAGGTCGCTGCGTTCCTTCAACCTATAATTGGAGTCGATATATACATAATAATAATGAAAGTTATATAAATGAACCAGAAATTTCTACTGGTTCATTTAATAAATGCAAGTTTTACAAATTAGTACACTATTGTCACAAGGAAACCTGATTACTTCAACATTCCTCATCTAAGATTTGATGTTTTGCCGCAAAATCGGAGGAACAAAAGGTTCCTAGAAGTACCATCACTTTCCTTTGAAAATATGAAGTCTTGTGTGTCCTCCAGGACGCCGTCTTATAACTTCGAGGTATAGTAAATGGAACAGATAGAACGTGATAAAGAATTTAGTCAGGCCCTGTGGCGCGTCTGCTGCCCTGCCCAAGGGAGTGGTGGAGACAGCGGCCCCAAACGCCACAGGATTGACAGTTCCACCTAATATGAAACTAATTAATAATATTACTATGGCATTAGCCTCGCTCAATTTTTACTAATAATTAAATGGAACAAGTAGTTCTTTATTGTTAAATAATATCGTTACGCTCCAACAGATTCTTCTTAGCGCGTAACTGCACTTTTACTCGAAGCCTATTTTTGATAAGTGTTGATTAATGGAACAGAATAAATTATTTTAATCAACTTCATTCGTTATCAGTTTCTCTGTATATTCAGTGCCAACCGCACCAGATAATATTTCTGGTGATGAACATTTATAGATTTAAATAATAACATAAATCATTGACAATTAGTGAGGAATATTAGACACGTTACGTACAAATCTGAAATGAAGAATTGACGTTTCGGTCCGTCCAGGACAATTATCAAGTCAAATATAAATAGTGTGACAAGACTCATCACATAATCTTTCCAAGACACTTCACTAAATCTTGAAAATTCAGTTTGATTTTCCTCTTGAATTGGATGAGCCAGTCAACCGACACTGAGGTAAGCCCCAGACTCGTATTTTGAGGTCCGGCTTCCTAAACTGACGACTATTCCATCTTATAAGGGACACCTTACAACGAACACCCATCCTCAGTGAGCTCTGAGACAGGAATGGGGTCTCTTAAGTCCAATCGGAAGCTTCCTAGCCTCTCCTCGGACTCCGGTGACCTCGATTCACGACAAGTCTGTAACAGCATGTATATATAAAGAACACTAATAGGTATATATAGGCACCTATGGGAAGGAATAGCTACTTGTAAAGTTCTATAAGAGACGACACAAGTTCACAAGTATTGGTAAACTTATACATCACGGTTAGGTGCTTAAACAAGACAAGAGGCTCGCGAGATAGTCTGTCTTCCTAAAGGACAACAGCTGTTGAAATATTTATCTCCACAAGAGACAATCTTGTGGAGCTACGCTACCTTTCTGGTGGTATCTTAGCATTTCAATATTATTTTTTATTTTCATTGACAAATTAAGTACACAGCAGTGTGACAGAACATTGATCAAGAGCTACTTATAAGTTGATCTAATATCCCCATCTCACAGGACGGTTAGTCATATGTGAAATCAGGGAAAAGCATGAAATGAATATTATCCAACTTACACCAATAGAAAGGTTATTCAGATTATATCACTAAATGCAATACTCTGTATTAATCGAGTAACGAGATTGAGAACATTGAGTTATTAGATTGAAATTAGTTTTACAAAAATGGTGTTTCTATTTTTGCACATATAACATCAGATTTAAACACAGCATAGTATGAGATAAACTTAGTATAATTTCAATTCCCATTAACTAATGTTATATTTTGACCCAATCCCTGCTTGGCACTTGTGAACGAGTCAGTATGAAAGCCGAGGTTGAAGCAAGCTCAAAAGTAATGAAGGACCAGCCACAGGATCCTGCTCAAGTGGCACTCTATTGGATCAAGTATGCCATGAGGCACAACGGTGCCCCTCATCTCCGCTGCCCTTCTGTCGACTTGCCCTGGTCAGTATCATTCACTCACTCACTGTTCCATTTATTTTATGTGGTAGTTTACCTGTAGTAGGTTTTGAGAGTTTTCAACTTCCCTTTCGAGAGTTCTTCTGCTCCCGAAACCCAGTCTGGGGCTAGGATTGCCTGGTGTTAACTTGATCGTCTAAGTTGTTACTATTGGTAGCCCGCAGGCCTATATATCCATTGCAAGCTGGTTGATATGGCATTTCTTGCGGAAATTTATCCAATTACCTCTTGAAAGCTATCCGTTTTGTTCCACTTTCTTGTTCGGTTCTCTTACTTAAATTTAAAATTAAGCTGGAAAAAGTCCTCGGGAATTATGGTAGGACCTTTGAGAAGTCATTCCCATCCTGTGGCCTTCGAGCCCACTAGAACATAATCAGTTATGGAAATGAGAATTACGGAAGTAATTTACCTTATTTGTTGTAGATGCTTATTGACAGCTTTTTTTGGAGAGGAAACATTCAATTAACGGTTTTCAGACATTTTGAAACCTTATGAGAACCTCCTGCCCTCCTAACCTACCAGAGGACCCTTAACTTGCTGTTTTGGAAAACAAAACAAAAAAAATGCAATATTTATTTTAAATTATTTTTCATTTTCAAATTACATCTATTTTCGGTCATACGGGCAAACGGCAAAATTCAGACGTAATTTATAAGAGGACTGATTGGGTAAACTGTTTTCATGAGTAAAGCTTCAACTCCTAGGCCTCCCAGCTGCCAGTCGACTGGTATGCTTGTTTATTAATCCTTTTAGGCTTTCACATACTTGCCTTTTTGACTCCAAGTGTCTCTCTCAAAGTCTGTCTCTGGCTTTGCCTCGACTTTAGTTTCTTAATGCTGAAGAAACTTCTAATAAATAATAATGGAAACAACATTGTAATAACGTCAAGAACTTTGTGGTTATTTTGTCACAATGATGTAATAATGCTAACACCGTTGTGTTGCATTGTAATAACATTAACAAACTTGTAATTGCATTAAAACGTTAACAATGTTGTAATACCGTTAAAACGTTAAGAACCTTACAACGTTGGGGTTACGTTGAATATGTGCTGGGAAATTAATAGCTATCCATTTATCTTGAATTAAATGTTCCTTCACTTGTCACTTTACTTCAGCCTTACTTTCCTATCAAATGTTGAGAGTTATGTTGCTTGTCTTAGTGTCAATATTGTGTTTCTTGCCTCACTAACAATGTTTTCATTACAGGTACAAGCTGTACAATGTGGACGTCTGGGCAACTGTGCTTGTAATTGAGCTCTTCTCTCTCTACATCTTCTTACGTCTAGTAATAGCCTGCTATTCTTGCCTCTTTTCCTCCAAATCAAAATCCAAAACTGATTAAATAGTTTAGCACCAAGTTACTTGATGTAGAGCAAGTTTACAATCATCAGGACACTCTACGAGGTGGTATGTGACTGTTGGTGGATACACAGTCTGAATCCAGGAGGTTTATTCTAATGATTTGGGCAACACATGATATTAAGTGCCAAAATAGTTAATGAACTTGATAATGATCCCTATTAATATTCTATAAAATGTTACGGGTTGAATTCAGAATGCAATTTGGTGAAGTAATCTGGCAGGTGGAAATTAGTTTTAATTGGTTTATTTTATATTGATAAGAACGGATAAGTTATGTACTATGAACCTGATCCTATCTTATCTGTTCTTCTCAATACTATAATGGGTTCGGGACCCCACAGTGGGTTCAGGATACCACAGTGGGGTCTGGACACTAGTGGGTACAGGATTCCAAGGTAAGTTCAGGATACCAGAATGGATTCTGCATGCCAGAGTGGGTACAGGATTCCAAGGTAAGTTCAGGATACCAGAATGGATTCTGCATGCCAGAGTGGGTACAGACACCATAGAGGGTTCAGGATACCTCAGTAGGCCCTGGATACAGCTCTCTACATGTGAAACTGTTATTATACTGGGTTTAGGTGTTACCAATACCATGTAAACACTAAACTACTATGACGACTATTTGAGTGATACATGGAAATTCAAAAAATTTAATGGAAATAACACCAAAATGTTAATGAAGTAAAAAATTATTTGCATTGCGTATAAAATGTGATGTTATTACATATTACACAATTGTTTTGAGTTACAAACTAGACAAATATCAGAGTAAAAATACAAATATACGAGTAAAGTTGCTGGATATGATTATAAATGCGGCTATTAAAAAATAAAAGAAAGAAATATGCGAAAAAAATGAAGAAATAATACATGAAATTTGTAATTCGTTCATGTCCTAGGTTACATATTTAAATATATCTTGTGTTAACAGTGCAACACAAAAATTTACATCTTATCACACTTAATAGAATTGATAGTACAGGGATATGTTCACCGAGAGGTGAACCCTAGCTGCTTCTCGATGTATATACTGTATACTTAGTTTACTTTGGCTCTGGACTATGTCCTGATCCAAAGTAAACTCTTGCTGGTTGGCCAGTAAACTATTGCATTAGTAACCCTCCAGAGGTTAATTGGTCTTAAGCCCAGTATCAAACCAAATAATTTTTTATCATAAAGACCATAAATATACCCAATACATCCTCGACACGCAACCGAGGGACCCAGGTTCAGTCCCCAGGAAGAACAGAAACGGTTGGGTACGATTTCTTTCACCTGATGCCTCTGTTCACCTAGAAGTAAAACAGGAGTGTTGGAGTTAAGCAATTGTTGTGGATTGCATCCTGGGGAAGGTCAGCAGTTGACCTGAGCCTAAGTACAAATTTCCTGTCCCCCGTAATGGGAATTATTAATGTGGATATTTGATGTGCCATACATTTTAAATAAAGCTAAATACAACACTTTTTTCATTTGCTGTAGTCAACAACCACTTGGGCTGGACGGTAGAGCGACGGTCTCGCATCATGCAGGTCGGCGTTCAATCCCCGACCGTCCACGTGGTTGGGCATCATTCCTTTCCCACCGTCCCATCCCAAATCCTTATCCTGATCCCTTCCAAGTGCCATATAGTCGTAATGACTTGGCGCTTTCCCTTGATAGTTCCCTTCCCTTGCTATAGTCAAATTCCCTGTACATATAAATTCTTACGGGACACGATGTGGATCCAGGACCAAAGGGATGAGGCTTTTATGATTGTCGGAAAATCCGACCCCATTTAATAATCATACAGATAATTGCTGTTGTATAAGCAAGTTACCCATAGAAAACGTAACTTGTAGTGGAATTACCGTCTATAGAAAACGGGATATCATCACCACATACTATTATAATTCACCAGCTATTCTGCTGGGAATTGTTCTTAAATACATTAGTCTTTGGACTTTACCATCATAAAAACATCTTATATAAATTAACTTAATTATCAATATTAAAGTAGAGTAAATGTGACCCTTCTATCACTTTCTGAAATCTGGACAAAGTAGGCCAGGCGTCAGGGAGGAAGGAGGCAGCCATTGTTGTGTCACCTCCGAGACGTGTGGAGCAAACCAGCTCCTATCATATCTGGACAATGTCGGCCAGACGTCAATAGTATGGAGTGCTAAACAGCCATTGTTTATATAGAGACCAGAGGCTCACACGGGAGCAAATTCGGCTCCTGTTAATTTTACTTGGACGTAGTGTTATGGATACCAAAGGTGTACCATCTGTCAACACGCTGTCAACAAATCAAGTTAAGTGTTCTTTCCGAAACCCATTATCTATCATTAGTGGCCATTAATGTCATTATATAGGGTGACCCGGTTAGAACGCGAAATCGCCTCATACTAAAGGTAATTAAGCCAGGTCTTCATGTTCCATGTACTGTTTTCTCTGATATACTTGTCATATATAGGTATCTGGCTTCACAGCTAGCGCACTTTTGACAGGTCAAGACGAGGAAGGAAGATTTGTGCACCAGTTACTGGGTGATATGGAAGCTACCTCAAAGAGGATAATTTGGTGTCTACACCCTAGTTATACCTGGTGGACTAACCTGCTGTACTATAAGATAAGGAACCTCTTCAATGTATGTAGTTACTGTAGTTTGATTGGCTGCATACATATAAATATAAACCCCCCTAATGTGTAGAGGATCGATTTGTGAGATTATGAGATTATTGCAGAAATACAGTCCACTTATCATTATACAAATTGCTATCGAAGTATATAAATTAACGTAAATATAAATTCATATAAATTAAATAAAAATAAATCTCACAGGTCGGTTCCCACATTATTTGGACCTTCGGAACCGGAATATTCGGTCCTTTGAACCCACATTTGGTCATCTTAGTACCGGATGAACCAGTTATCCAGTGGATTCATTAAATATACTAGTGCAGTGTTATTTAAACAAAGCCAGCAGTCATGACGGCAGCGTAGCCTCGAGGGAGCTCAGGAGCCTCCCTCAGCCGAGTTCAGCTTCGTCAGCGGTTTCATGTTCACCCACATATTTGGTGGCGTGTTATTTCGTGAAATGACAGCGCTAATATAGAATCCAGCCAAATTAGTGACTGTGTCTTCGCGAGATTGTTCACGGATTTCGTGGTGTTACATTTCGCGAGAGATTATCTACGAATTTTGTGGAGTTTATTTCGCGAGGTCACTAATAATATTTAATACTTCTTGATAATATTAGAAGTTTCATAGAGGCTAATTAAGAGGCTATTATCAATAATTGTGTATATTATTTCTCCAAAATAGAGAATTATTTAATATAAATTGCACTAGTGATCACAGTATAATATTTACTAATTGCCAACCCACAACAGGGTAGGATATGACTAGTTGAACTATTATTGTTCATCCTAGTCCCATTATTACAATAGTCAGTTGTACTATATTGAACAACCTAACACCATTAATGAATGGTCCAGACCCTATTTTGGGTGTAATTTTATCAACTCGAATTGAGTTGTATATATAATAATTTACTTATGATCATTACACCTTTGAGTGATTAATTAGTGTCTCTACCATCCTAGGGTGATATAGAAGAGCTAACCTAAAGGTACTTCCAGTGACACTGGTTTATCACTCAAATCATTAGTGTGTATGATTGTATATATATAATGTGTATTAATTTTAAGTGCTAACCTCTAGTAGAGGTAGGATTATTGCCTAGTGAGTGCAGAATTTACCCTAGGCTACCATTAGTGTTTGTTCAGTATTATGAGCAGCCCAAGTACAAGTCCCACAAGGCTTCACCAACGAGCCAGTATGGATAATGCAGGGAGAATGAAAAGAACCCTTGCAGGTCTTAAAGGCCACTTAACAAGACAGATCAAGAAATGTGAAGATTTGTCACAACAATCTCAAGTTGATTATGCTGACCTGGAAAGCTATTATCAAGCAGCTGCAGGTAAATTTGAGCAAATCAAATGCCAAATGGCTGTCCTTGTGGGGACAGACTACTACCATCGATTCATCGGTAGCCCTACTAAATATCAGGGTATAACCATGTTAAACTCTGCAGGAGGTAAATTACTCTCAGGCCCAGTATCAAGCCTGAGGAGACCTATGCCTGCAGATAAACAATACCAGTAGAAATCTAAATTTGTCAGCTGATTATATTTCTCCAGTAGCATTATACTAAGGAGATTACAGCTGACTATAGTAACAGAGGTTGATGTTAGTATCATCATTTGAAGCTGAAGATGAGTTCATGGGGCCTCAGTGGCAAATCAGTGAACAGTAGCCTAAAACAGCTACAAGTCACTGCGACCAATGTCACTGAACCCACTGCAGTCTCAGAACCATACTTTACTTTAATGATGAGCTATTCAATCTTCTGAATCAATTAACTAAATTAAACCCCAATAAATCTGATGACTGATTTGATACATTTATTATTTAATCAAGATGTATTCCATGGGCCTCAGTGTTTATATATCAGTGACCAGTTACCTGAACAAACTTCAAGTTATATCTAATGTCACTGATCTCACTGCAGTCCCTGAATCATACTTGACTGTAGTACTTGATCACATTCAGTCTTCTGGGTTAAATAATATGTAATAGGCTTGAATATTAGCCTTTCAAGAGTTGACAGGGAAATGAAATCGCATTAGACTTCTAACCCCTGCAACTCTAGTACGGGACATCCGTCCTGTACGAACAGACGCACAAATGTGTGATTAATCTAATAATTCGAAGGAGGAGTATCGGTGTTCGTCTGTTCTAATTAGGACTTCGACCCGTGAGCAGCCCCCTGGGGAATTATGTCGGAAAATCCGACCCCATTTAATAATCATACAGATAATTGCTGTTGTATAAGCAAGTTACCCATAGAAAACGTAACTTGTAGTGGAATTACCGTCTATAGAAAACGGGATATCATCACCACATACTATTATAATTCACCAGCTATTCTGCTGGGAATTGTTCTTAAATACATTAGTCTTTGGACTTTACCATCATAAAAACATCTTATATAAATTAACTTAATTATCAATATTAAAGTAGAGTAAATGTGACCCTTCTATCACTTTCTGAAATCTGGACAAAGTAGGCCAGGCGTCAGGGAGGAAGGAGGCAGCCATTGTTGTGTCACCTCCGAGACGTGTGGAGCAAACCAGCTCCTATCATATCTGGACAATGTCGGCCAGACGTCAATAGTATGGAGTGCTAAACAGCCATTGTTTATATAGAGACCAGAGGCTCACACGGGAGCAAATTCGGCTCCTGTTAATTTTACTTGGACGTAGTGTTATGGATACCAAAGGTGTACCATCTGTCAACACGCTGTCAACAAATCAAGTTAAGTGTTCTTTCCGAAACCCATTATCTATCATTAGTGGCCATTAATGTCATTATATAGGGTGACCCGGTTAGAACGCGAAATCGCCTCATACTAAAGGTAATTAAGCCAGGTCTTCATGTTCCATGTACTGTTTTCTCTGATATACTTGTCATATATAGGTATCTGGCTTCACAGCTAGCGCACTTTTGACAGGTCAAGACGAGGAAGGAAGATTTGTGCACCAGTTACTGGGTGATATGGAAGCTACCTCAAAGAGGATAATTTGGTGTCTACACCCTAGTTATACCTGGTGGACTAACCTGCTGTACTATAAGATAAGGAACCTCTTCAATGTATGTAGTTACTGTAGTTTGATTGGCTGCATACATATAAATATAAACCCCCCTAATGTGTAGAGGATCGATTTGTGAGATTATGAGATTATTGCAGAAATACAGTCCACTTATCATTATACAAATTGCTATCGAAGTATATAAATTAACGTAAATATAAATTCATATAAATTAAATAAATATAAATCTCACAGGTCGGTTCCCACAATGATGGTAGAGCCTCGTTATTTATATTTACGTGTTTTCGCCCCTTTATGGCCATAGTATAATGAATAAAATAGTTGTTAATTTTCCCTATTCAGTACATAATGTGTTAAATATAAAATAAATTTTAGATTTTGTCAAAGTGTATAAGGAAACGGGTGCTGGTGCCACTGGTAAAATAACATCCTGGGGCGGGTGCTGGTGCCACTGGTAAAATAACATCCTGGGGCGGGTGCTGGTGCCACTGGTAAAATAACATCCTGGGGCGGGTGCTGGTGCCACTGGTAAAATAACATCCTGGGGCGGGTGCTGGTGCCACTGGTAAAATAACATCCTGGGGCGGGTGCTGGTGCCACTGGTAAAATAACATCCTGGGGCGGGTGCTGGTGCCACTGGTAAAATAACATCCTGGGGCGGGTGCTGGTGCCACTGGTAAAATAACATCCTGGGGCGGGTGCTGGTGCCACTGGTAAAATAACATCCTGGGGGTATGTGATCGTATTACACTTCCCTCTCAAAATTCTGGCGACCCCGACCCAACCTCATTGGGCACTGGGCAG